TAGAACAAAACCATTGGCTACTGTCTGCCAAACCCCTTCGTTTCATTTGACCCACGATTTACGGTCTTTCAGCAAATCAGCATCCTTCATGGTTGCTAGAAAGGTCGCATGGATAGAAGAGTATTCAATTTTGAATTTGGGCATTACGGAACGGGGTTGTTCAGTCAGTGGTTGAATTGTCTGGTGTCATGCCCTGACCATAACCAGACCAGCCCCAGCATCAGCCCACACGTTCTCACATTCCCGACTCTCCTTGCACCTCCCCAGGACATCCCTGAGGCAGTACGCACCTCCCCAAGACAGTACCACCACCCCCTGAAAACGTCCGGACAACCATTCCGACACGCGTATGAAGCCCTCCGACACCAGCCCCATTAAGTACCAATCTCGATCGCCTGTCTCTCTCGATTATCTGCCTCATGCTCCCTAGGTTCTGATGTTCCCTTGTTCACTTCCCGTACCTATTTAAGTAGCTCCGCAACGTCCCCAAGCGCCAGCTTGGTATATTTTGAACACACACCCTTTTGCATAGGTCCAGTCCCTGTCCCTTTGTACCTGCTAACCATACGGATTTCTCTTTACTCTCTGTTTCATTACCTCTGTTTCTCTCAACTCTTGTCTATCGTCTCTGTGATCGTCTATACGACCCAATACACGCTTTTACTTTACGTCTAAGCAATCCGAGTGAGTTCCCGAGCTCCCTCGAACAATACTAAAGCTCCCCAATGCCTACCGCCTTGGTGAGCTAACCTCCCCAAACCTCCTCGAGCTCCCTAGCTATTCTATAGGCTTCAGGACCTCGATCTAGGTAACGTCGAAGCTACCCCTCACGTCGAACTACGTACTGCTTCTCCGTTACCACCTCCCACACTCGAGGACGTCCATCCTCAAGCCTAGCCCCCAGGGACCTACCCTCCCTGGCACATCCCTTCTCGGGAGCTTACCACCTCGAGACCCATCTATACATACGACCTACTCGATCCTATATTGACGTTCTAGCGAGTACAACTCCTACTACGCAATATAGTACGGTCCCGCACTCTTCCTTAACCTCCCTACGCCTTAGGGACCTCCCTGGACCTCCTAGGAATCCCTCAAGGGTCACCATCCCGTCGTTCCAGCCACTACTAGGTCATTCCCGTCCTCGGTCGCGGTTCCCGTAGCTCCCTTCGAGCTCCAGCCTGCTCCTAGCACGCTACAACATAAACCTCCACATACCAAAACCTACCCTAAGACCTATTTTGACCCAGGTCTTACATCTGGTAGACTGGATAAGGAGCGTAGTACGCAGGATATGGATGACCTTCATGTACTCTGAGTGGAGTTGGAAACCATTGGTGGTTCGATTCAGGGATATGATGATAATGATCCTGCAGAAATTCTGATAGGATCGCCGGAGCACTCTGAGTCTCAGGAATAAGTTGAGCTGATGCAGATATGTGATCCAGATCCATGACACGGTGTGGATGTGGTTGGTGCATGATGCGAGATGGAGTACATTCGACTGCAGGATGATTTGCCATGCGTGATCCGAGTCGAGATGGAAGACAAACGGATGCAGGTGAGACCGAAACAGGTGACCGTACGTAGTTTATAGGTAAAAATTGAGGAGAACCCGATTGGAGTGTATGATTCAGGTAAAAAATTATTTGATGAAGGAGCGGGAGGAAGAGGACGGTAATTAAAAAGATTCTGAGATGTGAAATTATGAGTCAAGTTTTGGAATGTAGGAACAATGTGATGATGCCAAGTTTCAGAAACAGATTGAGGAAGTGTTTGAGCAGAAGGAAAAGATGGAAGTGACGGGACATTACTGTGATTAATAGGTGAATGAATGGAGTGAGGAGAAGAATGAACAGAGTGAGAAGGTGAGAAATGGTTGATCATCTGTCCTGGTCCTGTATCCATTGGTGACGTGGCATGAGAATTTGTATGCATATATGCAGGAGAATGTTGAGTAGGACAAAATGGAATAGAGACCAGCGTTTGATACAGAATCGATTGAGTCTGAGGTGGATCGCAATGGACTGGCATTGTAAGATCCATTTGAGATCCGTGATTGTCAGTATGCATCCACGGTGGCAAGTTGCAAATTAATCCCGCTAAGCAAGAACAAATGCGTCAATCCAGAAAAAGGTTGTTGAGCTGTTGCAGAATACTGCCGCGAGGTTGGTTCAAAATCAAATCTCATATAAAAAGACCTAGGGAAGACCCATAACCTCTTAGAGGTCAAGTATCTATACAAAGATTGAATAAGACCTCAGCATTGAACCGATGAGGTAGAAAACAGCTAATGTTATACCTATACAAAGATTGAATAAGACTATCTAGTTTGTGAGTAATGTAGTGTAGGTATAATGAGACAAAAGAAACTTACCCTCAGCGTTGAACTGCTGAGGGGAAGGGGCGTGTGAAGAGTGAACTAAGTAGTCTGAGTCACGTGGGAGCGGAATGAATCGGCCATGGAAGAGAATGCCTTTCAACACCATGGATGCATAAATGGAGATCACACTAGGTTCCGCTTGGTTATTCTTAAGCTTGGAAGCTATCCAAAGGATCAGCACTTATCAAAGAAGTATAATACTATTATTGTGTTCAAAAACTTGCTGAAATTTGCCAAAGTACTTGGTTCTTTTTTTGCCGGCTCCTAAACAACTCTACAGTATGCATTCTGAGAGAACCCTAGTATGAGCTCTGTACAATCTTGTCACTTTATCTCAAAATCTATGTCTTCTGTTGGGTTTGGAATTCTCAGGAGGATTGGAAGTTCATTCAAATTTGACTGCTCATGTCGGCTGCTTGTTCAAGTGTTGTGTCCATTTGATTCTTGTGAGACTATGAAGAATATAAAGATAGATAGATAAATACTAAAGATGATTGTAATAGAACAAGACAGAATCAGAACTGGAATTGAGACAAAGTAAGAGACAAATATTTGAATGTTGGGAAACAAAACACATGCTTACCGAGAGCCAGGTGTTATTTAAACTGAGCAGTAATTTGAGTTGAGGGGGTATGATGTTGCTGTAGTACCTGAAGTGGTGATTGATACACTCAGGCTAGAGCATAAGTATGAAAGTGAGAAGGTCAAGAGAAAAGAATTGTTCGGACATACCGGAGGGTCAAAACTTGTGAGAAAGGCCTTGTGACGAGACTAAAATGTCAGTGAATGTACCGTATCTTCATGTGGGACTCACCCTCAATATAGTCCTGCAGCGCAGCAATCACCCTTCAAGACTCAATTAGTACTAGTTAAAGCAATTCAAAGCAATGGAAACTCACACATGCCTATCTAGAGGTGGGCCATCAGACCCTCTACCCTACCGAGGTGCCCGGTAGAGAGTCCGAACTGAACAATATTCTACCTGGGAGACCATACAACATCAGCATTTTGGTCCAGAACATTGAACGATCGAGAACGAAAAATTCGAAGCCGGGATAAGACCAGTGAATTGTTGTGAGCGAGTGCTAATCCCGACTATATTCCAGAGACATAGAGACATCGAGTAAGATGACTTACGAATGCTGTTATTTTGTCCTGGGTATTGGTGTTGTGGCTTCGTGTATGCATCAAGTTCGTTGTCAGGGTATAGACTAACGAGAAGAGTAAAAACAGTTAAAGCGAGGTGAGGAAAAGAATTAAAGGAATCATCTGCTTTTAAGGCAGACGGATGATGTGATCATTGCAAGATTATTATCTCATTTTCCAGCTCACCTTCGTTTTGCTCAGTCATTCAATTGTAAGTGGAGAAGGAGGAGCTCGCGCATGGGAATGTGAGGACTAGGGATATGTGAGCGACTATAGTTTAAGGTTTGACAGCTCTACAACGTACGTCCGGAGAACATATACTATATGTCCCCTACCATACTATGCTGAAAAACCCAAAGAAGTTCCGAAATACCAAGGACTGAAGTAGGATCTCAAAGGGGACTGTGGGGACTGTGAGAGGCTCGCTGTTCAAGTGGAATAAGAATATTGAAGAAAAAAATATGTGGAGAAATTTTCACGACGCCGCTCCATACCGAAAGAATCATACGTCTTCATCTTTATCCAGAATCATATTGCGGCTCCGTCACAGAGTTGAAAAACAATACTGTATACGTCTTATTCAATGCGGGTCCATTCTAAATATTCCTGCTGCTAACTAAACTTCATCGAGATGAATCCTGTAGACGAATTTCCGACACAGCACACCCTGGTGCTCAGCGGGAGGCCCCAACACAATTCGAAACTAGACTGCAATAACGCTATCGCAGCTGGAGAGAGGGAGAATACACGGTAAGTTAGAAGCTAGCTTAGCCTTTGGCTCTTGGAATACGTTACGTGCGGGGTAATAAGTAGCCGCAGATCAACGGGATGACAACTACACGCATGATATTTGCAGCCTCTGTCATGTCATATAATAGTCACCGATCGTCGAGCTGCGACTGCGGGCACTTGGGGGACCAAACGCTGATACTTTCTCCGTTTGAAGTCTCGGCGAGCGAGTTGGGTACGAGGACAGAGCTGGGCTGCTATGAGGGAGCTTGGCATTGGGTGTGGAATTGTGTTGGGCCAATATCATAAAAAGTGGTCGAAGCAACTGCAATGGGGTGTGGAGCGTATGACTTACCCATCTCAGTAGTAGATCGAAATTGAATTGTAATTGGGCCAGGGCGCAAATGAATGCTGGCAAACGAAGAGGGCGAGCATAGCTCATCTCTAGGGGTATGGAAGTTATCATGCTTACAAAGGCTCTCCGTCTCAATCCACGTCGAGGAAGTATAATAATAATAATGCCACGGAACGGAAGAAAATATTGCACCGATCGTTTACATCGAATTTTTGCTTGTGAGTTGCACCACACCGTATTAGCTAAGACAAAGATTACCTTTTAGATATAACCGTTTTCAGGTAAATGACGATTATACAGTAACTGAGGTCAAAACTAAGTCGAGAGGCTGAGTTCAAGAAGGGGCTGAGTTGAGCAGAGTAGTAATGCTGCAGATTATGAGCGTGGGAGAATAGAAAAAATGATTTGATTCCGAGGTTGAACGGTTGACGATAATGAATAACCCCTATAGGGCGTTCTCTGTCCCTCTTGCCACCATCCATCCAGTCTTTTACTCGGGCATCCTTCCGATAACAGTCCTCTTAAGGTTATTAATAAACACCACAAGTGTCTAGAAGAAAAGAGACAGCCGACGAATCTTTTTCGCCACTTGAAAGCTGTTGTGTCAGCTTCACCCCTGTCGTCGAATGTATCACGGAGACCCACAACGCAAAGTTGTCGACCAGAACTTCAATACTCGATCGAAGGACAATTTTTCAGAGAGTGCTAATACGATGCCACCAACAGAGACAGAGGAAAGCCGCGTGGACAGAGTGTGTATATTCATTTTATTTATTCGTTCATATGTAATGTTTTTTGGGACAGAATAATGAACTAACCAGCAACTCTTCGCCACGAAGGACCAAGAAATCTGTAGAAAAATCCGCGTACTCAGACGAAGCTGGACCTGCTTCCGAAAAGATAGCACCAATATCATCGGGCACAAGAAGACCCGTTACTCGTTCTTTATCAGGCCGACCCATAAAACGCCGCATTCGAGAAGACAACGCACTTGATCTTGCCAGTTATTCTGGTGATGACTACTCACATCCAAATGAACATCCGTCAGCCACGAAAAAACAGAAACTTGCGGCTTCTTCGAAAAGGACTACACGGAAATTTGCAGCCGTTGCGAGTAAAGATCCTCCATCAGAAAAATCTTCACAGGCGCATGAACTTTCTACTGAGAACCCCGCTCACGCTCCGTTGGTAGGCCTTCAGGATGGTGAAAATGAGGGAGCAGCTGTGCCATCTACAACCACTTCCTCTACAGCCGCATCTACACCACAGCCCATGCCTCTACCATCTTCATCGGGTAGTACTTCTCCGCTTGTCGCTACCCGCATCGGTACCACACGCGCCATGCGTGCCACGCTTCCTACTCCTGTCCCTAATCTGACCAAGAAAAGCCGAGGACGAAGGGTTCCCGTACGCGTGGTAACGACGAATGGGGTGGAAGTTATTCAAGATCCGCCTCCTGTTTCCTCTACGTCCAGCACAACGACCACAGGAACGGGTAATGGAAACGCAGATTCTGCCAACCCCAAGGGTAAGCGGTCTTACGTCTGCTCCGTCGAAGGATGTGGAAAGTGTTTTCATCGTGGAGAGCACCTAAAAAGGCATATCAGGAGTATACATACGCACGATAAACGTAAGCTTTATTCTTATCCTATCATTACTCGGGGCCCTTGCTCAAACTGTCTTCCAGCATTCAAATGTACATACCCCGAATGTGACAAAAACTTCAATCGACACGATAACCTCCTACAACATCTCAAAGTTCACAAACAAGCACAAGCCACTGCCGCGATGACTGCATCCGGTGGGCCTGTCACTTTTATATCAGACGGGAAGGGCAAGGCCAAACTGAAGTCCAAAGGAAGTGCAGAATTTGCTGGCGTTGGATCAAAGTCGCGCTCCAACAAGAACAGCAAAGGAAAGAGGAAGAAGAGACGCAAATCTTCTTCTTCTCCAGATGAAGAGGACGAAGAGAGGAAAAGCGAAACCGAGAGTGCTGAAACTGTATCTTCAGATGACGAAGATGAAGTGGACGAAGCGTCTGCGGTATCGAACCTTCTTTCGTTACGTGCCCATTCGGGGCTGAAAGGCGCATCAACTCTCCAAGTCGTTGCTCCTCTCCACCACACCCTCACTTCGTATACACACACATTGACGTCCTTAGGCTCGATGTCATCTACAGCAACCCTCGTCGGATCCGTATCAGGGTGGGGATATCCCTTGTCCTCGTCGGCATCATCGTATACTACTACGAATGGCAACTCCATCACAGGTTCAAAACCGTATTTCTCGCCTTTTCACACATCGTTCTTGGACGCTACATCCAATAAGACCTACTCTTCAATGCTTCCCAACAACGGACTGGCTAATGCGATGCCACAATTTTCTCTGTCGAAAGCCTACTCATCTGGTGCCACACCGTACGAATCTTCTGCGGTCGCTACTGCTAACGGCCCCGATGCAGACCGCATACACGATATGCATAACGGTTATCATCGTCATCATAATGGGCTTGGGCATGTACAGAACATGGTGAGCGACGTGCGGAGCGCTAATGGAATGAACGACTCGGAGCTGCTTGGGAAGTTCCAATCGAACATGGCCACGTCGAGCTTAAGGAGCACGAGCACGAGTTCTGCCTTGAGAAGCACGGATGGCTTGGAGGAAACGAATGGATCCAATGGGGGCAATGCCACTGTGAGTTCTATGGGTCGGTCGAGCCCGACGACGCCTCTAAGCCGCCTCGGTAGTGAGGGTCATGATGACGTGGATGTTACTGTCAGAAACTTGGATCCGACGTTGCACGCCCTTCCGACTATTCCTAGCGTCCCTGCCAATAGCGTCAGCAAAACTTCCACGACTGTCATTTCCGCCGACGCCGTTCATTCGAGTTCAAACTCGCGTTCTACACCCGCTAATCACTCTACTACTGCGCCTGCTTCGCTTCCAGACTCCAAGCCCATTCCAGATTTTCAAAGTAACCAGTCGATGTCAATGGGGTCCGTGGAGCTTAATGAACCTAAGATGATGTTGCGTCCAGTTGAAAGCGAAAAGGATTGGCGGATGTGATCTGTGTCATCGAAACGAGTGGACGTCGATGCAGTTAGTTAAGACTTGCCTTCCAACCGTTTACCCGGGCGTCCATACTTCCTTCGTTGTCTCTCTTCAATATTCATTGACCATTACTATATATCTGTTTCTGCCATGGCCCTGTACCTAAAATTCTTTGTGAACAATGTTTACTTACCCGGAGTTTCTCTTCAAGCTTCAGAATAAAGTGTTGTGGATCCTAATTTCCTGTAGGTATAATACTCATGATTTGCTTCGATTCCAGTTTATCTCAATGTACATATCCTTATTTGAGTTTGAAACAGTCTGGAATTCATCGTTGACTTTCTCGAATCTCTTGGCTATGTACACGCGAACGTTTGGCGTCTAAAATATGGTAGCAAACGACAGCCCTGACGACACCTCAGCTCTCTACAGCTCGGGGCTACCTTCGTGGCTTTATTATACCTCTAATGCATATCCTTCGATGTACTGCCCGTTGATTCAAACAACGGCATACGGGCGAAAGAGCGAGTGAAGCCGAGTGTGAATTTGGTGCGCTTTTTTTACAACTTCACTGGTTCATGATGATTCGAATTTCGAACGTCTCTTCAAATTGTCCATGGAATTCTTATCCTCGAGTATCTTCATCATCATAAGGGCTTTTAGCGGCATTCGGTTTGAGAGTAAATGCGCCCCAGGTCCGTGTAATGGGCTTGAACGCAATTACAAACATTACCATCGCACTTTATCCTACTTTATCACCATCGTCACTCTTTTCGACTGGTCTTTTACGGGTATTTCTCATTGCAAAACAATAACTGATTCGCATTCCTTTCAAAAAATCCTTCTCCGCCGGTCCTACCGCCACTAGATTTACCTACAAAAAGCAGAGTGTTGTTGTCTTTTTTTCATGACCAAGAACGAGTAGTGTCGCTCATTTCCTTATGGCCCGAACCAAAGTAGGTCTTCCAATATAGCTGATAGAACGCACCACGTCGGTGCACTCAACTTCTCAACCCCCGGTCGTTCCAGCTCGAAATTGTGATACCTTCCAGGGATCCTGCAGGATGTGAGTCGTATCCTGTCGCATCTTGATCTCATTTTGCTTCAGCTCTGCCCTCTACCTTATCTCAATACTTACTCCGGCTTTGAATTTCAGATACGCGAACGGTCTGGGGCGCAATCATCCCTCCTTCGGCCCCTATAGCACAAATGAAAAAGGAAGCACTGTCGAAGATGAAATCCACTGTGCGTATAAATTACCGTTACATGTGGCTCTGATTGTTCACCAATCTTTACAGGATGAATCTCGACCAAAAAAGAGAGTCCGTATTGTTGAACCATACCTCAAGACGAAAAAGCGGACTACGACTTCGAAAAGCGCCTCAAGTGTTCCTCCTGTGCAAATTGCTGCGAAGCGGCAGCCAGCGCGGGAGTGCAGGAAGGCGAAGGAATAAATCTCTCGTAGGGACCTGGGAGAACAGAGAAACGGCATTGCATGATAACTTATAGGTGCGTACCTACCCCAATAGTCGAGCTTCGATATCTGACCTGAATTCTATGAATAGTGTATATACTTATGTCCTGTCCTTGTAAATTGGCAAAATTTTTCCACCACTTTGGATGAGATTTATCATCAGTGCGACTGAAATTAATCCCTGTTCGTAATCTAAAACCTCGACGTAGACGAACATTTCTTTCCTTTTCCATTCCCTATGGCTAACCGAAGAAAAGTCGTGTACGGAAGGGGAGGCTACCAAGTTTCGAAGATGAGTCCTTGTCCTATATATCGCTAATTTTTTGACAGACCGCAACGAACGACACCGTTCATCTGCACGCCATGCTCAGTATACCTCGGCCTGTATGCTGACAGGACAGTATGAAATTTGTGTTTTGTGGTCCAGGCCGTTTCTCGACCATCCGATTGTCGTATTCAATTTTCAGTTGTTCAATGAATCAAGAGCCGGTCTACTTACTACAACTCATGTCTCGATACCTGACGCAATTCTCCTGCTATCTGTCGACGTTGAAGCTATGTAGCAGTTGTCTATCCCGTTTTCTTTTCTAGAAACTTCACAAGAACGAAGCAGCTGGCCGATGATTACCACCTTGTTTACACATCTGCCGGTGTGACCGAATATCGACATCAATGCTTGTCAGCACATACGGTGGGCAACATGCATCTTCACCGTTTACCTTCCGCATCAATCTCGCATGTTTAGTTATAGCTTATACACTTCGAAGCCTTTCTATCTTTTACAATTACTAGTCTCAGCCTACAGTAACAATGTCGAATTGCGAACGAGAGAAGGCTCGAAGCTCAATATCCTTTTACTTGGTTTCTCCCAACAGCATCATGATATCGTCCTGCAAGCCGGCATCCTCATTACAATGGGCTTCTGGCCAGCCGTCCTCTAACGACAAACCTTTCAAACCGCATTTGTTTGGATCATAGAAGGAGACACATCTAATGGCAGGTTTGGATACGATTCGGGCCCGAGTGACACATCGTCCATCTTCACTTTGACTTACCGCTACTTTTCAGTGTATTGTCTTCCTATGAAATTTATGCTGGTCTAAAGTTCGACTCCAAAGCCTACTGACCCTATTTAACATGACCTAAGAAACTCCTAAGCCTGTCAAAGGCGATAATATCAAAAGGTCAACGCGAGCACACGAATGTATTCAACGTTAGAATCTTTTTAAATTCGGAAATGCGAAGTGTTAATTTAGTGGTATCCTGAAGTTATAACAATCTAGTCTCCGATGATACCAGTCCCAATCCAAGCAGAACTAGAAGAAAACAACTCATCAAAGAATGACTGAAGACCGAGCAGTCGCGACCTTTCCTCTTGTTTCTAACCTCTCCGACATCGACCCTGTTCTGCTTTTTTCGCTTCGGAACAGCTTGGTGGTCAGGATCTCGAGGAGAATAATCTCTGGACAACTTCTGCTCGTAGAGTATAACCTCGCTAGACGATTTTTCTAACTTCGAATAGGCAACAACCTTTGATAGAAAAAGCTCGACATCTCTCGGACCCCATCCACGGTAATATCCCCGTTTCATCTCGTTCATGCGAGTCTTCATGTACCGAACATGATATTTTAGCACATACTGCCATTCGAATTGGTTCGACATCTCCGCCAGAGATGACATGTACAGGTTGGTCCCAGTGGATAGTGCGCATGAATCGTCGGTGTCCCCACTTATATCCGCGAACAAAATGAGGATGTTGAAGTAGACGAGTAAAGGCACGTGTAGAGACCGGAAATTAGGGAAAAGTTGAGTATGATCTCGAATGAAATCAACCGGGTAGTCATGTTTAGCGACACAAACACAGAAAGTGTCAGTAAGCGTCCAAAGCTTGAGCGGGGAAAGTGTATGACAGGTGATGCTCTGGATGATATCTTCCTCTATGTGAGGATACATGGAATAAATAGACTCGTACAAGCTCTGCATAGCAGGCTCTGGCGTAGGAGGTTGAGATGCCGATCGATTCGACGGCGTAGGAGCTCCTTTGGAAGGAGCTACTTCCTCTAGTGTGCGCAGAGATTCTGTAGAGAATTCGAGTTCGCTGATCTCTTCGAAATCGGGCATAGATGGATTCGGAGGTTCAGAAAGTTGGAAATACGATGGTAGTAAGAGTGGCGCTGAGACTAGTTGGCTGTGGGGAAAGAAATGTCGATTGGATTTCATTTTGAAATTACCTTGTATATATACCAAGATGCTTCATCATAATCTTGAAAGAGCCTTTGTTTCTGTGAGTCGCGTCAGTATATTCAAGTTGATAAACACGTGTAGGACGCGCTGACTTGCTTTGAAAGTCGTTCATTCCCTGCACCCAGATCCCACATTTGCTCACGGCACCGAATACTGTTGTCGGACTACTCCCTAGAAAACGAGCACACGCACCATCGCCAATACTGACCGTTAATAACTCATTAGTTACACTTACGACACGAGATCTTGAGGACGAACTGACACGTTGATCACGTGTGCAAGCTCTCTTCATTCCCTACACCATGTACGGCGCATCCACCGTTCAAAAGTCTAAACGGCGCACACATTCTCGCCCGGAACTCACCGACGAGCAAAAACAAGAAATTAAGGAAGCTTTTGAGCTTTTCGACACGGACAAGGATAGGCGAATTGACTACCATGAGCTCAAAGTCGCTATGCGAGCTTTGGGCTTCGATATGAAGAAGGCAGAGGTGCTGAAAATCTTGAGGGATAACGATAAGACTGGGCATGGCTTCATGGATTTTGAGGATTTTGCGAAAATCAGTGAGTTGTCGTGCCGCTGGCGCGTTCATGACCATCATAACCTTTCGTCTTTGAAATTATGCTAACTCGCGAGCGATATGTTTTCCAGTGAGCGACCGTATATTGGCGCGAGATCCCATGGAAGAAATCAGGAGGGCTTTCCAACTTTTCGACGGCGATAACAAGGGCAGAATTGAGCTAAAAGACCTTCGAAGGGTGGCGAAGGAAATTGGGGACCGGTTGGAGGATGATGAACTGCATGTACCCTCTTCCCGGTTTCTGCTTGCTTTTCTGACGCGTTTTATATACTTCAGGCAAGCCATGATAGACGAATTCGATCTCGACCAGGACAACGCGATAAACGAACAGGAGTTTTTTGCCATTATGACGGATGATGCTTAGCGCGCAGGTCTCGTCTCTTCTATCTCCTTTCATTTGTCCTGCAATTTCTGCTGTTGTCGTTCACGCCGTTATTGTGAGTCTTCTCCACAAATACCGTTCCTTGTTTCGTTCGCTGACGCGTCGATTTTAGTCACAATCATATCCAGTCTTTATCCTGTATCACCACCACCGACCGACGTATAATATTATCATCGCTATATGTACTTCATGCTTGAGTGCATCCCAAAGGTCGAGTTTCTGTTTCTAATTTTTCTACGGCAGCAATGAGATTAGAGGCGCGGCTTTTCAAATCCATTGCTTTGCTAAGTTGCTCTGTAGCTCGTCCAACAGAAACATCCATATCTTGTATCACCAACACATGTATATGATTTCTTCATCGACAGATATATCAACGCAATATCATCTATCGTCTATCCTATGTACTGACTTCGTGTGGCTATTTTGACGGTCAAAGCTCAACCTCAATCCTCCTACTCTAATTCCTGAGTCTTCCTAATCGACCTCATGCAGATCCATCCTGAGGGTACTCAACCCGGCTCTCGCCTTTGCATCTTTCAGAGCTGCTCCCATCTCCTTCAACATCTCTGGGTTCATCGTCGAAGTCGAGAGGAGAGAAGTGGTGCCATCGGCATGGTGGACCGGAACGCGGATTGAACCTTGGGAGGTACCTCCTCCGCTGACCGTAGCAGTAGCCGGGTCAATGACGGAGCATGGAGCACCTTGTCTGCAGAAGAGTTTGTGATTCTTCCAGTCCTAGGTGACCACCATAATCAGTGACTGCAATGAAGATATATGGGACAACTCACTTCTTTTTCTGGGAGAGAAAATTCATTTTTATGATTGGTCGGAATGTCTGTAATAGATTGAAAGATAGAGCACTCACGACACCGTTTGCTACAGTAATAAGGCTTCTTGTCCGCGTCACATTTTCCAGAACCTGTCCAAGATCAATCGAAATATCGAATCAAGATCAGAAAGTCTTGCTTATGTAGAAACACATACATCGAGATAACATTTTTCCTGTGTCCGCCTCGATGCCACATCCAAACTTCGCGCACCGGTACCGATTCGGCTTTTTCATCATCTTCTTCTCAGCAGCCAACCGCTCAAGGTGCATATACGCTTTCCTCTCATCAGAGGCTTGGATAACCCACTTGGAATGCACAAGAAGCTCGGGGACAGTCATATCTTTGGTGAGAGACTCTATTGTGTTCATGGCAAATAAGAGAGCATTAGCTGATGCACAGTATACAGGAGTTTCATCGGATCCCGTAGCCTTTTCCGAGACTAGTCGGACAGCCTCGTTAGCGTGATAAGCAGCAGCGAAAACGAATCGAGCGCGAACGGTGTCTTCGCGGCCAGCCGTGTACCAGAAAATTAGCATGGAGTGAGCCATAGAGCGAGTTTGAGCGTTCGCGTTCTCGTTGAGAGCTGCCTTGATGAGATAGGACACGATCGGCGGTACATTTGAGGCCATATTTCAGCCTATGTATCATGTACGATTGAGTATTCAAAAACTAGCTTTATGTAAAAAAACCCGAATCTTACCTCAAAGCTGCGTCGATAGCATGCTGAGAGTCTCCTGCATCTGCTCTCCTTTGAACTTGTTCCAGTGATGTAGACGTTGTGACGGTTTTGATCCTTTCCAAAGTTTCCATAAGATTAGAAGAACGATTCAATCCATTGCCACTATTCACAGGCAAAGGTTCATTATTCATGAACTCTTGCGAATAGCCTATTATTTTTTGAAACTCTACTTCCTCTGGGGTTCCATGTAATGATCCAGGATTCATCAACCACGCTTCTGGGTCAGCCGGAGGAAGACCAGAGAATCCAATAGCGCTCGGAGTCACAAGAGCTGCGCGAACGATATCAGGGAGACCGAGCACAGCAACCAAAGACTTATAAAGCCCATCGAATCGCTCATGAGCCTCTTGAGTTATGTCAACAAACCCGACTTTGCATCGATCCTCTTTGACACCGAGGGATTTGAATTGCTTCTGCACAGCCTGTGCAAGCGCACGATCGTCCGTCGTGAATTTCCAAGGTGCGTAAGGGTCCATCATGGGTCCAGGAGTCATCTCTTGGTTGAAAGTGGTATTGAACGAATGCATCAAACCCAAGCAAATTTCAAGCGCAGCTTCTTTGGCTGTTTCTGGGAAATAAGAAAGACCGAATGCATTTTTAATGCTCTTTTTGGTTCCGACAGGAAGACTTTGTTGGTGTACAAATTGGCTTTCTTTTTGGAAAACAAAGAGCATATGGGAAGGAGGAGAAAGCGGGATGTAGCGCAAGTCAAAGTGCCAGACGTTGGGCACTAGTCCTGAGGGGGCAAGACGCTTTCTGGGAAGGGCATTGTATTTTTTGACGCATTCGGCGTGCCAGTCTGTGGTCATGGTATTATCGATAGTAATAGCCGCACGGCGCTTATTTCTTCTTTCTTTGGGAATACCGCCGATGATCTTTGCGCTCCAGGGGAACCTTCATGTCATCTCTGGTGTAACTCTCGACCATCATTCTTGACCATTTCCAACTTAGCAGGTGAGCTTTCCTCCATGTCATCTGTACTGTAATCTTTTAAACCTTCAGAAGGCCATGTGCGACGTGCGTAGCAAAGAATCACACCATTTCGTCACCAATTCGCCCCGGTCCATGTTCAATGTTCTTCAGCGGTCCGCAATACGTGGAGAATCATGTAGGAAAATATTTATTGTCCAGTTTTCAACATAGGTCTCCTCGCGGTCGGCGGGTCATGGGGCCTTTACCTACATGCACAAAGATATATCCTTGAGATGATATAAAAGCTCTTTCTTTTCCAAACTTGGATCTCGACGCGCAATGGAGCCCCCAGGACCCAAAACGCGCTTGCTATCATGGATAACAATTTCGACCGTATTCACCGTCTTGCTGGCATTCCTTGCTCCCTCCGGGCGAGCTTCAAAAGTGATCTCAGACCCATTTGCCGATCCTCTTCTCGCTCGGTCCAACCGCAATCGTGCAGTGCTCTCTCCGCGGTTTACCGATGAAGTATCCTTTGATAAATTCAGTCTTTCTTTACAAGGACAGCGGATTTTCCTCTAGTAAGCAATTGTGTTTCTCACTGTGCTTCTGTTGGAAATGCTAAATGGCCCTGCTTCAATATGTTAGTTCTGGAGAATTCCACACCTATCGCTTACCTGTACCAGACCTGTGGATCGATATTCTCGAAAAAGTCAAAGCTGCGGGACTGAATGGCGTTTCGGTCTACACCCTGATGGCTGCACTCAATCCTTCAAGAGGCGTGGTTGACTTCAATGATTGGAGAGCATTGCAACCGCTTTTCGACGCGGCGAAAGAAGCTGGGATATGGATCACATTACGGCCAGGTACTTGTTAGAGTGATGTAACCTCTCCTTATTCTGTATTGAACATTTACAGGTCCTGTAAGCCTCATGTCTCGTGTCCCCTTTGGTTTTCCCGACATGCAACCGAACTAATTGATGTCTGTGTCCATAGTACATTAACGCCGAGTCAACAGCAGGTGGAATCGCTCACTGGATTACCACCGAGATCGCTGGTCAACTCCGTACCAATGCATCCGACTATACCGATGCCTGGATGGATTATATTCTAGGAATCATTGATCAAACATCATCGAACCAGATAACAGAAGGGGGGCCTGTCATTTTGCTTCAAGTTGGTACGTATGCCAATCATAAACACACCGATATTCTGAAGATTTTGTATTTGCTTGTAGATAACGAATATAACCAAGCAGAAGGTGCAGGGTATTTTGCGGAACTGGAAACTGTGTATCACAACTCTAGCATTGTCATACCATTGACCTATAACGATCCCGGGGAAGGCGATAACTTTATCAACGGAACGGTGAGTATCATTTGGCTATTCACTATACTCTGTCTTATCCCTCATTTCATCATAAAGGGCGCTGTGGACCTATACGGGTAAGCAGTTTAACTGGTTCTACTTGACAATTTACAGCTAGATTGACTCTTATTTCTATTTTTTTCTCGTTTTGCATTATGCAGCTTCGACAGCTACCCACAAGGATTTGACTGTGCCACTCCAGAAACATGGAATCCAGTTACAACGAATTATCACTCCTACCATGAGTCTGCGAATCCTTCACAGCCGCTTTACATACCAGGTGCGTACATCGTAATCTGTTACTGTTTACTGATCCTAACGTTCACTATGCTATCATTACAGAGTTCCAAGGTGGTGCCTTTGATGCATGGGGACCTACTGCTCCCGGTACGTATCATTGTACTGACTATTTATAATTCTTTGCACCTGCCTCTGTTTCGTTCTTCTCCCGCGATAGGTTACCCACAATGTGAGATCCTCACAGGGCCAGATTTCCAATCAGTCTTTAACCGTCAGCTGTGGGCGAGCAACGCGAAGCTCACAAATTTCTACATGATCTATGGCGGAACTTCGTGGGGTGGAATACCGTTCCCGTGAGTTCGCCCTGGGTTTTCTCATTGACTTTGCTGATTGCTGGCTATTGACAGTGGTGTATGACATTCGTATTTTTTGCTTTCACTCTGAAGTTGAGTTACCCTATTTCTAGGTCTATACTTCGTACGATTACGGGTCGACAGTAAGTAAAATGACTTTTTCACAATTTTTGTATTTTCGATATTCACACGTATCGAAACACTGTGTTCACATCTTTTCAGATATCTGAAAACCGAGCGCTGACGGACAAGCACCTCGAGCTCAAACTTCAAGGAATATTCCTCCGAAGCACATCCGATTTTTACAAGACTAACTGGGTTGGGGATTCTTCTACCGGGTTCACTGCTGGGTCCGTCACCAACCCCGCGGCGTTCGTCACGTTATTACAAAATCCAGATTCCGGTGCAGGATTTTGGGTTGTGCGGCAGAGTAGTTCTACTTCAACGTAAGATCTTCGATGAAGTCATTGAGATTGAAAACCCTAATGCGAGATCAACAGTGCAACCACCAACTTCAAGCTGAATGTCACCACCGCTTCGGGTGATGCTTTACAAATTCCCCTTGTTGCCTCCACCATTACTCTCTCCGGACGTGAATCCAAAGTCCTTCTAACAGATTATGGTCTTGGCTCAAATTCAAGCCTCCTTTACTCCACTGCGCAGGTGTTTTTCTCCGGTGCAATTGGTACTAAACATGTCGTTTTCCTGTATGGCCCATCAGCCCAGGAGCATGAATTCGCTTTGAACCTCTCTGGAACACCGACTTTGAACTCTTCTGCAATCACTGTCACGTCAGGATCTAGCGTGGGCCTCACCGGTAGCGAAACCGTGTTCTCTATCGCCTCAGGCTTCTCTGGCCTCGTTGCCGTCTTCGAATCCGATTCCTTGCTTGTGTTATTCGCAGACTCCGCCACCGCGACGACGTTCTTCTCTCCCGTTGTCCCTGCTGTTAGTGGGGATTTCCCCAATTATTGGGGCCTAGGCACGAACGATTCGGTACTCGTTGGCGGGCCCTATCTCGTGCGTTCTGCGAATATCAGTACCGACGGGACAACACTTGCGCTTCGAGGAGATCTCAACATTACAAGTGGTGCTTCCGACACCACTCTAACGATTGTTGCTCCTGCTAGCGTAACCTCCATTACTTGGAACGGAGACGATGTGTCTGTGTCTCCTAGTGCGAACAGCTCGTCCTCTATTCTCGTTGGAACTATTCCTGCTTCGTCAGATGCACAGAATATCAGTATACCGGTGCTATCGGGGTGGAAATTTAATGATAGTTTACCAGAGATCTTGAGCGGATTCGACGATTCAGCGTGGGCGGTCGCAAACCATACGACGACAAACATACCTGTCCCGATGAAGTATGGAGATGGGAAGATCACGTATGGGTGTGATTATGGTTTGTGAGTGATCTTTGATTTCTTCTATTCTACTTTCTCTTATCGCTGGCGATTTCTATGTAGCTGCGAGAATATCGTCTTATGGAGAGGTCATTTCAACGCAACCGGAGCAGAAACGAGTGTCAACCTTTCGATTAATGGTGGTGAAGGTTCGATCATGGCTGATCCTCCCATCCTTCTTCTATCAAAGCTCACAATGATGTCTAGCGTTCGCTGCCAGCATCTGGCTCAATGATGTTTTCCTCAACACATCCTTCGGGAAGTATGTCAACGTCGATCTTCACAATGACCTTTAACTAACCATGTTCCAGCTCGACCAATGACGCGAATTCAATCGACGAAACAGACCAGAAGTTCATCTTTCCTGAAGGTGCAATTCTTGTGGGACAAGATAATGTTATCACGGTTGTACAGGTAGGCTCATCCTCAACTGAGAATCTTTTCTCCTTCAATGAAACTTGATCTCCAGGATAACATGGGCTTGGACGAGACATCAGGAAGTGCGTATGTTTTTCTGAGATTCATTACTACTTTTTTATTTTCTACCATAGGCAACACCGACGCCTCTAAATCTCCACGTGGTATCACCGGATACGCCCTCAATTCTGGCAACTTCACCGAGTGGAAAGTCCAAGGAAAAGTTGGTGGCTATACCGGCTACCTCGATAAAGTCCGTGGAGTCCTTAACGAGGGAGGCCTTTTCGGTGAACGTCAAGGGTGGCATTTACCTGGCTTCGACACGTCCTCTTGGGAAGCTCGCGATCTGTCGGACGGATTACCGGAATCTGCTGCGGGAGTGGGTTTCTTTGTGACGACGTTTGAGTTGGGCATACCTGGAGGGTTTGATGTGTTGACGTCGTTTACATTCGAGGAGGCCTTGGGGCAGCCGTATAGGTCAGTTATGCTGCATCATCGAGTGATTGTCTCTAGGCTTAAAGGTGACCTCTCAGGGTGTATTTGTTCGTTAACGGTTGGATGATGGGAAAGAGAGTCGGTAACCTAGGGCAAGTATTGTTCTGTCATATCATCTACTTTGTCGCTCAGTCTGTCTCTACAGACCCCAGTTCAAGTTCCCTGTTCACCAAGGCATTCTCGATTACAACGGAACAAAGTGAGTTACTTCGAAAATCTTGGTCAATAGAGGGATGACTAATTTCATTCTGTAGTACTGTTGCCGTGGCGCTTTGGGCTATGGAGCCTAATGTGACTGTAACTCCTCAGTTGCAACTAACCTTGGATGGTGTATTTTCTGGAGGTGTAGGGACTGTGTCTACGAACAATCCTCTTTGGTCTCCTCAGGGAAGGGTCTAAGTCAAGCAAAATCTGATGACCAGATGAAGGATGCATGAGCATGCGATGGAAAAAAATTCCTAATGTTGTAGTGAATGAAAAAGTTCAAATATTCGAAACTACATATCTTTGTATAAGAGATACGAGCAAGTATCTTGATGGCAACTCTACATATCAAACTGGAATATCGACATGCAATTGGAAGAGCAAACCGGCCAATGTGACAGTGCTTAGCGCTTGACGGCGTTATGCCGTCCCCTTCCTCATGTTCCTCAAATCCAAGAGAATCCAAGCTAGTGTTGCCGGCAGGTGAGACGTTCAAAGACAACGTCAGATCGGATCCGGCATTGCCCATAGAGTTTTGAGAAGGTTCTGATTTAATTTGCCGACGTTGAACGTTCTGAACATTGGGTTAGCCATTCGGAATGTGCAACAAGTTCGAATGCAAGAACATGACAATGAGAGGGACGTCACACTGTCACAGTGCAACAGTTCGCGTGACATGATCAATCATCGTGCTCATCGTCAAGAATACTCACCAACAAAACGGACTACGTATCAGTGACTGAGTAAATGTATCTGGATCGATACAAGACTTCAAACGAGTGGAAATGCGCGAGCGCAAGAAACGTCACACTGAGTAGGGAATATACGTACATGATGCTATTCCAAAGTAAAGATATTATTATAATGAACCGATTCCGTTGAAATATAAAAAAGCAGAGCACATAAACCCTCGTCAGCTAATCCAAACTGTTCAAATTTTCTTTACCTTTATTCTCCTCCTCGTTCTTCGTTGCTCCCAATTGAGCCTGCAACGTCCCCAAAGCGTCCCTGATTGTATTCACCTTCATCTCAGCCTGGTCCAGTGTTTTGTATAGAGCGAAGACATCACTAAGAGCATCGTCGAATGATTGAAGTGGTGTCGGACTCATCGGGTTTCGCGTCTGTTGCTGCTGCGACTGCTGATTAGGTACTTTTCCAGCCGCAAGCTCACTCCAAAGTGCTGTGACAACGCCATGTATCCATCTTTCCCGATCTTCCCTCTCCTCTTTTAAGATCCTCTCCCTCTCCTCGCCTTCAACCTTCATGAGCATCTCCGAAGGCTTCCCTCCAACACTACGGTGATCAAACGTGCCAGTTTTTGGAACTCTCATCCACGTCCAGATGTTGCTCACCACTAGTGAGAAAATAATGAGGTACAGAATAGAGGTACTTGAGAGAGTGGATGGCGGAGGTATCATGTCGCCAAGAATCTCGAGTGCACCCTTCGTGCTCTGTTTGGCCACACCCCAAGTACCCTCTATCGTCTCCCAAGCCCATTGTAGACCTCTTGAGCTAGGCTTTCCACCCGCAGCAGAAGCACTGTCAGCGTTCGCCTCAATCACGGAAGCGGAACCGTTCGATGATGCTGCAGTCGTAGGCGGAGCAACGACAACATCCAGCTTCACGCCCTCTGGCACGAACTCTGTCTGATGCTCCTGAATATAAGCTCTCATCGCCTTCTCCAAATCAAGATGGTATGTCTTCTGGCCATCAATAGCACCTCTCTCTATTAATCCTTTGATAAAACTCCTCCCAGTCCACTCGACCTGCGTCGTCACCACGACCCTGGAGCTTATTGCACTAGCATAAGTGATGCAAGTTCGCGTTTTGACACTGAACGCTCCGCCGGAAGGAACATCGGGTGTTCGGGTAGTTGTTAAGGTGGAGGAATATGCATTTGCGTTCGAGGGTGAGAAGTCACAGTACTCGACCTCGTCGCGGATTTCACATTTGGTTTGTTTGGGACCAACGGAGCCTGTGAGTGGTTTGATGTAGGACATTGTTCGAGAGAGGAGGTTGTCGTCACCAGGGGTCCAATCGGACATCTGAAGGTCTAGCGAAGTGAGGAGGATCATCAGTAGTGAAGTAACAATGAACAACAAAAAACCGTTCACCAATCAACTTCTGGTTCGTAACCAGAAAATCTTTGAGGAACCCACTCGTGAACATCAGATTATGAATTTTGTCCGGAGTTCCAGGGATAACGGTATCCATCGCCAACTCCGAGAAATGTTTACCCTCCTTCCCACATTTGCAGAACGTAACCTTGTTCTGCGTAATACCACCAGGAACCATTGCGCCAGGGGAATTTCCACTACCATCTACGTTCCCTCCAATGATAGTGCCTTCAATAATGCCTCCCTCGCGGGACCCAGAGCCAATAGATGCGTTGTCCGAAAGGGTGCCGGGACGAACTAGACGCCAGATATTATAAATCACGTCGTAAGTGGTGTCACGGGAAAGGAAAGAAGCAAATGTATATTTAGATTGTCGGGTAGTGATGAGGATGGCATTGGGAATGACAAAAGCAGTCATCTTTTTTTCGAGAGAAATTATTTCATCGATGGGGATTGAGAGCTGATATCAAGGAGGTATGGTGTTAGTCCCGAGGACGAGCGGGTACAAGTATAAACGGGAACATGGGAGAAGCTGAATACGAGAAGTGGACTCACATCCGTAATCCAGCCAAGGATATTCGCGTGAAAACATATATGATTCTCTGAAATATACAACCGGCCTTGGATGAGAATTTCCCGCTGAAGGGCACATCCGTAATCTGATTCGAATAAAGGAAAATCATTTAACAGTCAATAACTGAAAACGAGGAGCTCACCCTCGATCAAATAGTCTCCCTCCGGGATATTCCTGAACATTTCATGAAAATCTGCGTTCCTCCTCGAGCTCGCAACCGCAAATCCAGTGACGGGCATATCATGAACGTCGATCGCACTGACCAAATCATCCTCATCGCTGGAATCCATGCCCGAGTCATTACTGTCGTCAGACTCTAACCCGGAATAATAATCCAGATTTGCAGGATCTTGAATATACTCGGTGTTGTTGTCCGCGTTAGAGTTTGCTCCATTATCACTCTGCATGGAGAGACTGGGACGATGACGACGGCGTTTGCCTGCTGAGCCAGAACCGATGGAAGACCGACGAGATTTGGAGGATCTATGTGAACGTGGAGGAGAAAATTGGGTTGACGATGAAGCACCGGCAGACGTTGAGCCTGTCCGAAGCATGTACGGCGCACCGTCACCTATGGAGGATTTCCTATTCGAAGCTGAGGTCCCAGTCCGACTTATAGGTTGCAGAGCTGGAGGTGAGAATTGTAGCTGCTGTTGGGCACTGAAAGCTGGATTAGCCATGGCAAGACCAGATGCTGCAATGGCACTCGCAAGACCAGTGGGTTTAGACGTAGGTTGGCGACGCCAAGGCTTCGAAGCCTCCTTCTTCTTAGACGAAGATGAGTTCGGCGGTGACGCGTTAGTATTGGTGGATCTGATTGATGCGGCATCTGCATCACGCCTAGGAGAAGACAAGAGTCCGCTGGTCAAGTGGGGCTGAGATTTTGATACAAGCGCAGTAGAAGCCGGGACTTCGTCCGACGGCGAAGGGTATTCTGAAGTGGGTGATTCGACTATAGGCGTCATGTCGTCGACTTCATGGTAAAAAGGTGCAGATGCATTCCCTGCGCGAGAATGAGAAGGAGGACTCGCTCGATTCGTGGAGACATTCAAATTCCCGTTCAACGACCTGTTTGAACTCATTTTTCGAACCTGCAGCTCTGGCGACGGCAACAAACCACCAGTGGTCTGCTCACTGTTTTCCTGTCTTTGAGGCTGACTCTCGGCCGGCAGCGACGGCACAGGTGGTATTGGTGAGTTTAAAACTGAAGCAGCTGGGGAAGCTTCAGGTAAGCTATGCGTGGAAGAGGAAGGTGTGGTGGGACGAGACTTCGTTAATTTTGATTTTGATGATGACGGTCGGTCCGTGGAAGATGCCGGATTCATGCGAACAGAGGAATTCAAACTTGGCGCCGAAACCGATGCCGGTAGTCCTTCTACAACCGATATACGGTCATTATCCTCTCCATTTGGAAGGCCGTCAACCTCCAAGCCTAATGTGTTTGTTGCCGGTGACGGAGGTACGATTGTGAATTTGTGATTAAACAGGCTACTGCTGTCCGAGGCATTATCATGTCCATGCAATAACTCTTTCTTGATGCTCGGTACTTGACTGTGTGGTTGGACAGGCAACTTGTCAAAGTCAGATGGAGAAGGTGAGGTAGATGTCGAAGATGCTGCGGAATTTCCTGTGCTGAATGTAGATGAAAACGCTCGAGAGCGTGAGGTCGGAAGAGCGGGTATAGGACTTGAACTTCTAGTCCTGCTACTTGGATCTGACCGGTCTCGAGAGTGTCCGCTGGGATTCCGAACAAGTTTTGAGAAGAAATTAGGTGCCATTTGTGTGGTTTTATGCGTGCTAACATTATGTTTAGCATCAAGTCGAGCGTATCAAAAGCGATTCCAACGCACCAGAACTTCTCCAATAAATCTTTCCTGAATTGTGGTCGTGAAAGCCGTATAAGTTCGTCGTTATCGTTTAGTATATCTGTGTGTTGACTGTGTTTGTGTGTTTGAAGTTCCACGTTCAACGTTCATCCAACGGTGATTGGCCGATTCTGTTCAAATTTTCTTCTCCGAAGTCGTCTCTACCGCGGTCCCAACGCAAACTAATATTTGAGAGATGAGCATAAATCAGTTCATCTGATAGTCTGAGATGAAGGAGCAAACTCACCAGGGATCCGACCAAGCTCTCAGTGTATTTCGGAAACACCAGAATCAGCTCGCGAGATGGTCGCAGGAAGGGAAGAAGTGAATAGATCCAACTCTTGAATTCACATATTTTCTGATTGAGATTGCGGAGGTTTACGTAACCAATATACGATCGTTCGGAAGAAAAAGTTTGAGGGTCGACTCTGTCCTTACACTTCTACATTTCTGCCACTCATTCATACTCTCAGCTGTTCTCAATCCTCTTGGGTCTTCGTTGCTCCTGTGATAGACATTGGCATGAACCTCGGGGGAAACACGCGCATAGCAAAATCAATACGTCGTAATTTTTCAAGTTCAAGTTGCGTTTGACCACCACACTCACTCACCACTACCACCGCCTTGCATCGATGACCTGCTTGGCATACGCAATCAGCCCCAAACATCAACGACTCCAGGACCCTGGGACCTTGAAATCACTTTTATCAACGATTGGTCTAACTTCGTGCGCCCTGAAGAGAGCAGAAGAGAACGGCTGAACTCATACGAGGTGCTGCAGGCCTGTTTAGAGCTTACCCTTGGCTACCGCCGTGAGTTGGATTTCATTCAGGCTTCGGCTGAGTGCCATATATTGAGCTGCCTTTTCCCGTCCAGTGAATAGATAAGTCTCCAAGTTCAACCTACTTTTCCTCAGACAAGACCTCAAATAGCTGAGCCTGTATTCGGCCCTGGGAAGTGCGAAGGCGCATGCGTGAATATCCTTGTGTTAAAGCTAATGAATTTGTGTTCTTAGGAAACATAACGGATATTTGTACAATATCGTCCCCGTTGTAAATCACGGCGATGTTCTCGAAAGGATACTATTTCTTATCGTTGTGAGAGTCGAGGATAAGAGTTCGTTGCATCCTTGGATCTGGACCAGTTCGCAACAGTGCTCATTGCCTTCTGATACAGAATGCTCCAGAAGAACAAGACCACTTCACACGCAGCTCATAAATTTTGGGGGAAGGATTTTGGCTGGTACGTTTCGAGTTGCTTCGTTTTTAGATTCAATGCTCAATGCTCGCATTTCCTATAGCTATTCCAAACTTCTTTACTTCGTGTTGGTTAAAATTTCTTGTGAACGCCGTTTATCCGGGAAAATATAGACTCCGTGGAAAGAACGACAACAATCTCATCTACTCATGGGTCGGTCTCAGTGGCGGACGAAAAGACAAGAGTGAGCGCATGAATGACATCCACCTCTCAAGATGTGAATCTTTGCACTTTGGATCCGAAGACTTTCCTCCCTCATGTAGTGCTAAAACCTTGCGTATCTATAACGCAAATCTATATCTATTCCATTCGCTGTACATGTTCAACTTTGGAGTAATCCTTCGTGCAAGAGGCTCCGCATTCCGTAATCACCGTTCTCATTTCAACGAACGTTAGATGGCTCCTCAAGTTCACTTGAAGAGATCAAAGATGGTCTCATGTTTTGGGCCGGCATTATTTCGGGAAACCGTCGTCCTCGTTCTTGCTTTCCGCCGTCTCACTCAAATGAATGAAGGTTATTTGCATCCGGGTTTGCAACAGCACTCACTGCCAAAAAAACAACTTCGACCTCACTGGAAGTGGAGTTTTTCAACTCGAGGTACTAGTGCCTTAGAAAAGTGCGCGCACGCCGTTCAGTGATTTGCGACGTTTTCGGTCCGTTGACCATCCCAGGGACACTGCTGTCTTCATCGGTTTCCGGTGTCAAACGAGCCGGTATGCTCGCAGGCGGTGGTCTCCGCCGTGACAAAGATAAATATGACGACCGAATGTCGCACCAGATTTCGGAACCGTCGAAAGGGAACCGTTGAAATGTGAGTCCAAATTAAAATATGTTGCATCCACTGAAAAAGCTCACGAAAAGTAACAGTCGCCTGTGAAACAATCACCTGTTCAAAGCGCGGGGATCACAGTCCTGTAGCAGCCTGAGATAGAAGACTCTGTTATTGAATATTCAAGATAACTATGATTGCAAGATATTCAACGATTGCGTGCGCAGCTTGCAGAAGTAAAATATTCTCTTGAGCTGTGTACTATCAATATCTTTTAATTGAGAGTTACCAGCAGAAGTTCTTCCTTCTCATTATAGCTTCGGTACCATTCTAAAAATGCGCAAGATGATCTCAAGTGCGCGCGAGAATCACAGTGTTTGTTGTGCACTTGGCCCTTGACTCGATCTTCAGTAATGGAGTTCCTATGAGTCCTGAAATGGTGGAGTATGCCTGCAGTTCCGAAGAAACGTCGACAAATTCCCACCCCAGAGGGGACACACTATGTAGCGTTAGCAAGAAAATGGACACGATATGGATTCCAATTGTAGTGAGGACCGGTCTCGTAACCCTTTCGAGCGTTACTGATGGGCTACTTACCAGATTGTCCACCATTAACAGTGAGTATATGAGTACACAGAAAAGCAGGAATCTTTCTGCTGCTGCTGACCGTGGATTTGTAATGGCTAAGGTCATCCGCTGTTTCTTGCGTAGAACAGTGAGAATTGATAGGAAATTTCACTTCACTTCACATGCTTACCGAGAATCCAGGTAATGGTGAATTCACAGGGCGCGCCTGGTGCCGTTCCAGACGTATGTATACGCACACCCAGGATATCGAACGAAAACAATACCCTACATAGTAACCATTTTTTGGGGTACTAGAGGTGTTTATATTCGAGTGCAATATCTATCTGGAAGCTACACTGAGAGCAACGTATCATTCCAAGTACTGAATGAACCAAGAATTTGGAAACGACATCCAAACTGCATTGATAGGTGTGATAAATTTATGGAGCTGAAGTCCCAGGTCGATGAAGAAATAAATCTCAGAACCCCCAGTACTAGTCCGCAACCTGATTTCAACTTGAAACCATCGTCTTCAATACCGAGTGTGCACTTTCAGGCGCACTTGCACGGTGTCGGGAAAGAAATCACCGAGCTTCCTCTCTCTTCATGAGAAACGTTCAATATTTGTCTGCGATGAGAAGAATCAGAGTTCGAGTAATTGACCGAACTCAAATTATGGCGATACTGCGCTCGAACGTTCCTATCTACCCGCTATGCTGTTTAAGCTAGCTCGATATGAAAGACTCCCGGCTTTTTCCTTCAAGGTTAAAGAGAAAGGAATAACCTGACCTGACTACCGTTTTCGTATATGTTGAACCGCATACAGTGCAGTGACTCTCGCTAGTGTGGTGTCGTTGAGATTCAAAGTGTACCTGTTGGCTTCCAGCATGAATCAGAAGACAGAGAAGAAGTTTAACCAATGGCTTCATGATCATATTAATATGAAGAGGGCTCGCATTGCAGTGGAGAGAGGATATGCATCTGTACGTATCCTACATAGTGATAGCGGTGTTCTCGTATCGATCGAGTTCGAAGCCTGGAGATAGTGGTGCCCAACCTGCGTGCGTGGTGGCTACTGGCCCGAAGATAGGACGATTCTAACTCTCCTTTCCACCTACCGCACAGTCTCGACAGTCGAAACTTTGTTCGATGAGTTTCTTGACCCAGATAGACTCAGATAGGCCTCAACAATGGAAACAGTGGAGACGGAACCAACCCGCCTTGGTCTAAGGCGACTAAGAACTCCAAATTCAAGAAGGATTGAGGTGATTGCGCTAAACCTATCGCAGTTGCTGTGTATAGCATGTAAAGAATGATGCTTACATGCATGAAGCTCACCCAAGCTGAACCCGCGAACGTTCTGGGTCCGACGATGAATCTGCGAGTACGAGGCTATGAGCATGATTGCATAACCATGATGATCAACGGTCTGAGCAGGAATTCAATTGGTCCGAGGACAAAGACAGAAAGAATATTGCCTTGACTTGAGCGACAATGAGATCTCGCTTCACCACGAGATTAAGTACAATCGCATGTCAGATAGCAATTCTTAAATGCAGCAGAGAGGGAACAGAAGTTCCTGAGTATAATCGGATCTGCAGGTAAGTCATTAACTTGAGAAAAGGAAGAAGGTCAATCTCGAATTGATGTTTCTTCATGCTGCATGAAAGCGAAAGGGTGCAAAGTGTACATGCATGATACTGCGGCTTGCTTCAATGTTTAAGATATCGACGTTACTCTGACCAAAGGCGCGCACCCATTGCGATATTTTATTCAGTGGAGTTTCAAATTTTACAGTCCAGAATGTATCCGCCAGTACTAAGCGATGTCTTGAACTTGGCGGATGAGAATACACCTGAATACATAAAATCAGCGAAAGTTGGTGTAAAATGCAGACATAAGGATGTAAACCAATTGGCAGCAGAAACAACATGTTCAATGTCATGGATCATGCCAGAATGATGGAGTAGAAATGTCAAAGATTGTCAATCGTCATGATCAGAAATATCACAAAGGTCCCACGATTATCTTATCACCTGAGAACAAAGGCAGATTAGGCCCAGAAAGGGAAATGAGGACCAGTTGGTCTGATGATTGATCTGTCGTCGGGACGGAGTTCGAATCTACACCTTATCTGGCTTTGAGCCAGCTCACATTGACCACGAGATATTTCAGTCCAAAGAATCTGCAAACATGCTTTGGGAAAGCTGGGTCAGTGCTTCAGTGAACCAATCAATAAACCAGTTCCTCGGTGGAAATCTCCGTTGCAAAGGAAGTACTTACAAGAAATCCTTTTTGGATTATTGGAACCAGAATGATGGAGGATTAATCTGTGAGATGCATTTGAACCTCTTCCATTTATTCCCTTCCGAACCTTTCTTGTACCCCGTTATGCAGGTCCACTGAACACCTAGAGTCTGCAAAGTTCCCCATCGCTTGGAATTTCGACAAGATCACCCGACTTTTGTGCGTGCAGGTTAGATCGGTGCTTATTTTTTTCAATTAATTCTTCCGATTTTTTGGGATTTATGTCTTGCATTTGTCATGAGTTGTTGCAGACCAATGGGGCGCAATCTGGCGCAATTGGCAAAAAACTTCATTTATCGAGATCTTTTTCTTATGATTGTACCATACTGACCAGATTCATATCTCAGATAGAATTTGTCGGGACGAACCCTGGCGAACCTACACCTGTATGATCAAATTATTTCGATCCTCTTAACTCTTCCCTTGGAACCTCCCAAGTGCGAGTCTTTTTTTCATCAGTGTACCTTTCCATTCTCCTCTATGTCCTTGTCGTCGCCGGAAAGTTCGACATTCACCACCTTCGAGTCTTCCCCTTCCCCAAATTCCTCAGCTACATCAGTGTCTAACGAGGAGGAACTTATACCACACATGCACTCTACAACAATCGTCGCAGAGGGCTCAGGCAGTGTATACGACTATGCTCAACTTGAACAGCAGCCTAACTTATTTTCGGGAACCGATGTCTGGAACTCAACTGGATCCAAGAAAACTTCGCTAAGCTCGCAGCTTCCACTTTCTATCTACATTCCACAAAACGCTGTTGCTGGTCAATCAACCACTCGACACGTTCAAGGGTCACACCCTATCCTCAGCCCTGACGACGAGGAATGGGCAAGGTCGCAAAACGCAACCCTCTCCACCACAGCAAGTATTTCAAGTCCTTTAGCGAATGCTGTCGACTGTAGGCAAGAGTATCCCGACTATTTCTCCGTGAGTACCAATTTCATACGATGACAGTTCGTTTTCAAATATTCATTACTAGAACAATCAGGACATGCATCAACAACCCGCGCAACACGCCCTCTCACATTCCCAGTCATTACCGCAAATGCATCCGTCGCGGTATCCAAACCAACCACTACGAAATTCTCTGTATCAATCTCCGTATAGTTCCAGCGCCGTACATTCTCCGTACCACTCTCCTCAACAGCACCCAGTGAATTCTGTGTATGCTCATCGCTCGTATACTGCCATTTCGTCCGCTCCTAGCGAGATCTCATCTACTGATTCCCCTTTACTCTCTCCATCCTTGCTCTCTCCATTCATTCCAAATGAACAGTACAGCTGCAATGGAAATATACAGCACTCAGGCTCGTCTTACGGTTCCTTCGGTCAGTCGATGAACATACTCACCCAGTACTCCTACACCACCGATGCACCCGAAGGAACCGGGCGCCTTCAATCCCGAGCTGTTCAGGGTGCCCTCTTCGATGATACCAAAAGGCATACTTCACCTTTCCAATACGAATACAGTATGCAGTACAAGCAAACAGCAGTTAGTCGTGTTGTATCTTTGGAAGAGCAGGAACAAGCGTGTGATCCGCGATTTGTGAGTGGCCATGAGGTTGGCGGGATGGAGGTTCAAGATGCAGACGTGAAGCCTTCGCAGGAGGAGGAGGCAGACGCCGATTCCGACATGAGCGGAAGAGATTTTACTGAAATGAAGAGGCACTCGCATCACGAAAGGTCATTGGCCGGCCGTTCGTCTCTCGGATTGACGTACCCTTCATCCTTCCCAAACACCGACTCTCACATTAGTTCCCAACACGACCGCCATTTAGACTCCTACCATAGGGGCAGCCAAGGTGGCCAAGACCTGTATTCCGAGGAAGAAGAGGACGGGGAAGTTGAGAGCGATGAATACGATTACGACGATCCAAGTGATGGCGAATATGTTTTCCGAGACCGGTCTCGCGCAGCTCAACCGATTCCTCCTCGCCAACTTGGGCATACAGCATCTTTCAGTACTGCGAGCGACAAAATGGGACTTGATAACATGCAAGGTGGAGCTACTGGAGATACAACAGCATCAGGGCGTAGGAGAGCTGCTACTGAGTCTGCTGGAAGTTCTGGTGCGAATTCTTACAGCTCGTTCTCGTCTAGTAATCATGCATCTGGGTCTTCTGCGTACGATTGGAATAATCATCCCAACCCGCCTTATGGCGTGAACCCTAACGCTACATCGTCGGTTGGTATGCGTACTCGTGCAGGTACGACGGTTGGTTATTCCACACTGGCCAATCGTTATTCACCTTACCCTCATGGCTCTAATTATGACGAATATCCTATGCACCATGGATCTTCTAGGTCCCGCAGGACTTCTTACTCTTCTGAGGCGTCTTCAGCGGGTCCTTTGCTTAGTGCAAACTCTCCTCCCACTTCTGGTATTCCTTTGTCACCCAGCATTTCGTCGAGTTCATCTATGTCAGCCGATACTGCGATGGGGACACCTCATGTGGGGTCGCCAAACTATAGCGGACCGGGAGGACGCAGGAAATCCAATTCACTTCCTGTGCCTATACCAATCCCGAACCTGACGAAGAAGTCTCGCGGGCGGAGAGTCCCAACCGCTTCAACTCTCGATAACAGTACACGTAAGAGCGTCGATTTGGATTACTCGTCCTCGGGTGGTCGAGGCGGGAAGGGTGTCCGAGTTCATACGTGCAAGGTCCCAGGGTGTGGAAAGTGTTTTGCTCGAGGCGAGCATTTGAAGAGACACGTCCGTAGCATACACACGTATGACAAACGTGAGTTGCTTATTGAAGCGCGTCAGATCTCAACCCACTGATTGACATCTTCGTTTTTCTTAGCACACAAATGTCCTTACCCTGGGTGTGGCAAAGATTTCAGTCGACATGATAACCTGGGTCAACACATGCGAGTTCACAAAGATTACCGCTCACCACGGTAAAGCGCCAAAAACGCCGCAGGACACTTGTCATCATATTATACGTAGTTCAGCCCAGTTTCAGCCTATTTCGCTTACCCGTAAAGCGGGAATCTCGTTCGGATGGATGCTGGATGGATGTCTCTAACTCTGCCTCTCTATTTTTCACATTTAACCCTCCTTCCCCGTTCGCTTTACCGCATTATTCTATATTGTTATGATGTCTCGGGAATTTCTTTAGTTATTGCTCCTCTCACTTCTGTTAAACCATCCACGTACGGACTCGATTCCATCCTGGTAGATATTGATTCTCCCACTATCTCTCTCTGCTTCCTTAAGCACACCTCCCACTACTCTTGCGCTCTATGATCAATTCCCACCGACGATTTTCCATTTCCGCCGGCTATTGCATCCTTACGAGGCTACGTCTCATTTCGCACCACTATATGCTTCTATACGTTCTTTCATTCAGAGTCAGCCATGCCCTTGGGACTTCAATTCCAGACGTGGAAGAGCTGGTCACAGATGCCAGGTATATCGGCATTATACTACCACACCCACACACCGTCCACACAGCTTTCAAATCGTATCATACACTTATTACCGCACACTACATAGTTCTACAATTACAAGATGTATATATATACCAATATCGTACATACAGACCTGCATATTGCCTGCATAGCACCAAAGCTTTTTTATCGGGAATCTGCATTTCGGCTCAACGGCTCAACGGCCCGTAACATTCGGTATAATATTTACACGCGTCCATTCGACGCTCTTTTTTTTTCACCTTACGACGTTCGAATGAGTGTTTCAGCTCAGAGCTTAGAAGATGCTGCTAACATAGCCACCGAATTCATTTACAGTCGGTCATCAATCAACGTCAACACCGACCTTTCACAATTTCTCATATTTTGATCTCAGGTCTTGACAATATACCTAATGAAATTAAGCATATTTTGGAAGAGATAACGCACAAAGATTCTCGGACCCAAGGTTAGGTTCTGGAACTCATAAGAATTACACTCAACGTTCTCTATAGAATTGCAACATCAAATAGACTCAGACAGTGCTCGATGGATTCGTTACTCGCTTCGCGGAGCCAGTGCCGGTGCAGGTTCCTCCCCTTCTTCGTTACTTTCTCCTTCGAAACCTATAGGACATCTTCCTGCAAAAATCAAGCAAGCTTACGCTGAAATTGAACAGCTCTCTACTGAAAAACTTGCTCTTGCAGAGCGCGTTGTCGATCTTATAACCCGGACTTATACGCGCCTGGGCGTAGATCTCAATCGTTCCCGTGTTCTTCAAGGGGAACTTCCGACAGATACTACTCGAAGCAGGAGCGTGTCTGCTGCTCCGTCACTGATCGGAAATGTACCAGCTGCTTATCATGCAACTGTCATTACTGACGGCCTGAAGCAGGCTCTGAATTCAAGTTGGGCGGCGGAAAATCGCCCAGCTGTAGTAAATACGCCTGCGTCCGCTCCACTTCCGAAAAGTATGTGATTCTACCTCTCTTTCCCCAGATCCTATCAATATTTGTACTATCAATAGAGCGTAAGGTTACTTCTTCTCCTTCGATTAAACTGCCCCCTAGTCGTTCGATATCGCCTGCGACTCCTGCGACAAAATCAGCATCTCACACGCGCTCACGTCTTTCAAGACAAACGTATCCCCCACCGCGCCACAACAAAATTGAGGAACCTGAGGAAGATGAAGATGATGAACCTGAGGCTGAGGGAGATGACGAAGATGACGACCACAAATTATATTGCTTCTGCCAAAAACCTAGCGCTGGAGATGTATGTATTTTCTATTGGTCAATTCTTCGTAAAATGTTCATAATTATTGCAGATGATTGCATGCGACAACAACTCCGGATGTCCTTATGAATGGGTATATTTCTTGCTCTCACTGAATGCATCTGCAAAGATCAATCAATTGTTACAGTTCCATCTTGAATGTGTTGGTATAACAGAACCTCCTCCGGACACAGCGAAGTGGTATTGTCCACACTGCATTGACAAAGTGACGGCTAGGAAGGGGAGGAAGAAAAGTGCAAGTTGATGATGTCACACAGATCATGACCGTCCTTCAATGCAACCTTGGATATTTTTTTCTTGTTATCTTGCCACCAGTAACTTAATAGAGCCAACTGCACCAAATCGGAACGAGAGGTCTGATGATATAATTTCGATGGTGGAACGTACGCTCGAGCCAGGTATCTGGCTGGCCTCTCATCACTTATGTAGTTGTTTGAGTTTGGAAGATAAGGTTTCCGATAAGTCATACGGACGAGGCACAGATGCTTGTAATTATGAAGCTACAAGTAAAGACAAGTACCAGTATAGTACCTCATAGTACATGACTTGCTGGAAATTTGGAAACGTGATAGAAAAGCACAGAAACTTATTAATTCATGGTCTATGAACAATGATGATAAATTTCCGGCCCCGGCGAACTAGTGCCATTGTAGACGCCACAAGCAGTGAGAAAGAGAGAGCCTGTATTGATTTGACCGCCGCAGGCCACCAATTCGGAGCCAAGAGCAGGGAAAACTATGTACCAAGTACACACAAGTGAAGCAGACTGCTAGCTAGAGTCCACAGATGTATAATTATGCTAAAATATCCCTTAAATACTTAACAACAATAATAATGCCAGCTTGCGCTACATAGTGACTAGCGCTACGAAATCCAGGCATTTGGAAAGTCCCTTAACGCGTCAGAGTCTAGAGAGCACGATTGTGTTTTTTAATCCGAGGATGCATGTGCATGATCATCCACATCCCGTGGACTTAACGTTGATGAAGACGGCAGAACCTGGATCTAAGGGAAAATTACTTGTTTCGTCACAGAGAAACTTCAGGAATTAGGATTGACCTACTAAGCAGGTCGTTTATGCCAAAAAGCCGAGGAAGTCGCAAGGAAGTCGTCAAAGCCTAAGGAACAAATGACGGACAGCTTTTTGACGGCTTGCCACTTGGTTTTTTAGATAAAAATATGTTGTACTGTATTTGAAGAGAATCTAGGTATGGGAATCGAGAGAGAAAGTTGGACTTCAATAATCAATACAATCATTCGACCATGGACCACATAGAGCATGGGTCCATGGTTTTTTCTAGTGACCGTGCTTGGCCCCGCTCCCTCCCACCCTTATTATGAAAACCAGTAATTAGACGACTAGGAAATGGATGGTCTTCATTCGATGTCAGATCAGCACCAGGGTTATCTGTTTGTTGGCACCATGTAGATTCCATGGTAAGCCACTCAGACTTACCTGGGATGGTTACGTTGAATGCCGCACGCTACTGCCAGTGCACGCCGGTGCAAATGAAACCTGACCTGCATGATTCGTGTCTACACTGCCGGCTTCGGATCTAGAAACAGAGTCACCTCACATTCTGCAAAGAAAAAACGCTCAGATCAAAGAAGAAAGGGATTAGATCGCGACGGAAGATCCTGCCTATATCGGAAATTTCATCATGCAGAGTACTGTGAGGTACTGACGCGTAGTGAATGTCTGATAGTCAAAGCCTGCCTAGATATTCAAGATTATCTTTGACTTATACAGGCCTTACTTTGGGTGCGGTAAAAGGAATAATCAATAATTATAACATTTGGTTTGACCGAGGTGCATGGATTCAACGTTATAGCTGACGGTTGTCCCTGCGCGGCGGGTAGTGGAATTTTGGTGACACGCAGAATGGTTGAAGATTACTGGCTCACTCTGGTTCGTCCGACTCGAAGTCCGTCTGTGGAGTAGGGCCTCATGTACATTGTATGTAGCCTGTGAAAACTTGAGGCGACAGCGAACAGTTGCGCTTCTCCACATGATGGCACGACAATGAAAATGATGATCTGCAGATGTTGACGCCATCTAGTGATGAAAGATTTAGTATTCAAGGCGCACCCTGCCTGCCCTGCGCAATGTTGGAGAGAAAGGAAACTGGATGGGACCAACTGGGACCCATCGCCCCGCAGCATGTATCTATATTCAGCAGGAGAGCCACAAGAACATGATACGTATATTCAAAATGTACATAGCTTGACTCCGAAATACTACCTAGAGTACATATGTAGTTAATTCCTACTGAGATTGTACAAATAACTGTCTTACGTACAATAAAATTAACCCCTCCCAAGACCGCACAAAGCCAATGCAGCTTTGAGCATATCCTCCTCAATGCCCGGGTAAACATTTTTCGCAGGGTCTACGTCATGGGCAACTTCCTGTTTTCTTCTTTCTCTGTTTTCCTCCCGGGTGTCTGATACGGCAGACAGTGTGCTCACATTGGAGTCTGATCTCGAAAGAACAGGCTTCTGAAAAGCGATCGTGATATCTTCTTCGTCATCCTCTGCAAGGCTATCACCTGATTTTGCTGCCAACCGCCTTCTGGCACATGCCCATTCCAAAGTTCGCGTCTGTGTAAGTTTTCCAAATTCGACGTAATCCTTCCCAGATGGACTTGTCATTGGGAACGGTGGTGAGGAAGGCATAGCTTCCCAAATGGGTCGCGCGGGGTCACGTTGACGAGTAGGAGTACGCGGGGTAGATTGTGGGAGCTCGGAGCGGGAAGCAATCCGGTCGAGAGACGGACGTGCAGTCAACGTTTGCCCCGTCGTCAGCACAAAGCTATACGGTGCTGACGACGGCGAGGAGTGACGAGGACACCGGACGGAGGAGTTCGGAGTGGAGCCTTTGCGTTCCATCTGCCGTTTGTTTTGGAACCAGACGGTCACTGATTTTATTTCCCTGCAAGAAACACGCGTAAATCGTTCCGTGCAGCTCACAGAACGTGACAAGAGCACGTACATGCTACCAGCTCTTGCTACAGTCTCACGCTCCTGCCTGGATGGATGGGAATTATGGTGAAAAAGATTCTCGAGCATCATGAGCTGAACGTTGCTAAAACGTTTTCTAGTACGTCGAGTACCAGTCACGCTCTCAGCATCGTGAGATGACTCAATACTAGTCATGGAAGAAGATCGGGAGAAAGAGTTAGAAGGCACATTTCGCATAATCGCAAAAGATAGAAAACAGGAAATGAGGAAGTAAAGTGTAAATTAGAAAACCTTGCGTTTTGATTCCGTTGAAACCAATAGGGTTAGGGGTTACGCGGTCGCGCTTATCACGTGCGTGGTGTTTCTTACGTTGCTTGCTTACTGCCATTAGTAATAGTTGTACGAGAGACTCCTTACGAGATGGCATTAAAAAAGCTAATAACTCAATCTCAGTCTATCGCTGTGTGTCCTGCCTTACCACTGCAAGCACAAATATGCTCTGACCGTTGGATCTGTCCCATGAGAGTACTTCCAGAATCCCAGCATACAACCGTAACCGTAATGTTCGGTAGATATTTCTTTTAACTCACTCACGCATGATAATAATCAGCAGGTTTACCTTCTAGGTCTCATTAGGTCTCATTGCTACGTTAGCCATATCTTCGACCGGAGCTCCCTTTCACTTCCGACCTTGTGCAACAGCCTGGATGTTCACCGGACGTTCATAATTTCCTGGGCAGGGGACAGTTATTCAAATAATGAAAAGAACACACGAAGCTTCTCCAGTTACTCCAAATGATTGCATTACTCGTAATGAATATCCTTTCGCACGTAGTGCTATCTGACTTTGTGGGTAGTCCTCATTCCTTGTGTTGAACCTAGCATGATTGAATTGTTTAGCTTCTGTGCTGGTATCACGCGGACAGAATCAGTGCCACTTTACCCCTTCCTTGACTATAAACGCCCCGTGAATAAGCCGACATTTCTTTTAAATCTGGACTCCTCGTTCCTAGGTGTATTCACTGTCGTCCGTGAAACAACTTGGGGCCAGAACTTGACCGTACGTGCGCAATACATGTATCCAAGTTTTGTGCCTTGACCTAAACTTCTAGATATGTTTTATCGATGTCAATTTCAGTCGTGTCTGCACATTTAAATCTGCCCTGCTCAGGAAGCATTGCTTTCTCTAGCCGTCTCTTTTTCCACTGGTTTGATCTTGTCTCTTACAAGATCCATGACTCCTCTACAATCAATTGGGCTTTTTCTGGTGGGCTGTGTCGCTGCTTGGGCCACTTTGTTCAAGCTTCCGGGAAGTTCTGCTCCTTTGGAGAATGCGGTAGTTTTAGGTACCGGAGAGCAGCAGTGGGACATCAACGTCCCACCATCCGAAAACATTACCGGGCATCTCATATTTCAAAGTGTGAGCTCACTACTACAGCATTGGCCTAATACGCGCTATCGAAATGGTCTGTCCATGACCCGTCCTTCAAACTTTGAGTTTATTTTATGTGTTTTTAAGACGCTCTTTTAATTGCAGGTCACACAATCGTACCAGGATGGGTACCCATAGGGACCATCCTCTACCACGGGCGGTCAGATCCGAACTATCCTAAAGGAGCAGAGTGGACTGCGACCGACCCAGAGCACTCGTTCCAGTTCTGCAAGCGCCCGTGCTGGCATCTGACCGTCGTCACCACTCGGCCATTGAAAGTCTTGTATTTCGACGGAAGTAGTGCGGTAAAGATGCATGGAGGGTCAATGGATAGTCAAGATATATTGCTTTGGGGAGGGAGGAAAGCGGAGATGGTGTTCAGTGAGGAGGAGCGGTTAAACCAACTCTGTAAGTGGGGAAGGGAGTTCGAAATGGATGGCTTCGTGAGGTACGGTGTTTATCCCAATTTCAAGAAAGGGTTCGTTCTTAAGCGATTACAACATAGGATGGAAATGAACTTGTATGTTTGTCCCGGAGCTTTTCTTGGTCTACTGTAACCGGTTCTCTCCTTATCTCAGTGAAGTGATGCTCTGCGATTTTGAATCTGGCGTCGAAACAGTTTCCTTTATCCATCTCGCAAATAGCTCTCCTTCGGATCCCAAACCTCCGTCGACAAACAACGAAGCGCTGTCAGACGGAGTGGAAATTGAGACTGACTCCGAAATGGACGTGTGGAGTGGTGGCGGTCTCAACCCTGCGGTTACCATTAGGAATTTTGAGCTCATGCATTCGAGCTCCCAGTATAACCAATATCCGGGAGACACCCGCATTAAACTTGACCTCACTCGACTGGTCAGTTTCTATGATCCGGAACTAGCGCCGTCGTTGATACGAATGCGGAATAGTTACAATGACAGCAGATGGTTGTACGATTTAGCCACAATCGCACCAGCGGACGTCTCCACCCTCCATCAGAAACTCCGTGCGGCATTAGAAGTCCAAGATAATTTGACGAGGGTCACCAGCGGCGTGGATTGGCAAACATTATTTCGGGTCGTTATCAACCGCTTCGGGTCGCGCTTACAGAATTTGCGTTACGTTGTTATAGGCTCTGCTCGTCACTCGGGGTCAACGATCTTGGACGATGAGGATCGGGTCCTGAAAGCCTTTGCACAGATCAATGTCATGCTCACTCCGTACGTCCATTACGACCTTAAACCGAATGTAGCTGCAGATCTCCGAGTCGCGGAACGTGTGGATCATATAACCTTAGCTTGGGCTTCACCCGCATATGAACTGTGCAGTACCATTCATACATCGTACATTGCAAAGAGTCTTTCAGGAAGAATGACACATTCGGAGAGGCTACTGTTGGGCGCAGTGCAAGATACAACCAAGGAGATTTGTAGAGTTTTAGTGAAGATGTGGGCTACCGGAGTAGAGGCTGGTTTGGATGCAAAGTATTGGGTGCGTCGACCAGGGCGGCAGGAAAAACGGGATCACCATGATGACAGGTTCAGTGCCCTGGCGAGACAGTGGTCCGTAGAGATAGAGCATTTGATGGACTGGCTCGACTGGCATGCGTGGGTGAGCTGTAGTCCAGCTTGTAGTGATGAGGTAAGTTGTGGTCCACATTAAATCAGTCCAATGGATGCTAAATCGTGGCTCGGGTAGGAAATGTGTTACATGCCGACTTGGCCTTTTTTCGGTGGTCCACCTCCCGGTCCTGCTATGAGTCCAGAATCAGGCACTTCTTTTGAGACGAATCCAGAAAGTAGCTCGGACAAGAGCAATGAGTGGGCAAGACCTATGCCAAAGTGTATTAGGAAAATAGCACCTTATTCATTCTAATATCTCGCGTTGAACGTGTGCCTCTCGCAGGTTCGCAATGCAACTAACGGGGCCTGGACATGACGCGGACGTCGGGCTTCTAAATGTTCAGAGAGGCTACTATTCTTCTGTTCGCTTGCTTTTTGCTGATTCCAGCGTTAACGCTGCTCATCGTCACACGTATGAGCTGCCAATGTCACTGAGCATAATAAATTCGTCCTTTTCTTGATTCTATCACCACCATTCGTGTTTTCTCCATCCGTTTGACATTCACCATGAAGTTTTCCCTCAGTTTTATTCTTTTGCTTTCGGCTGTAAAGACCTATGGATGGGGTATGAAAGGACATGAGGCAGTAGGGTATGCGGCTTCCGATGTACTACGCTATTCCTGAAAAGTCTATTGTTAATTCTTCTTACAGATTCATTAGGGTAGCGCTAAATTGGTTTGGAGGTGTTAATAACATGTTATTAACATTGGGCCCTCCAAACTGCAATTTAACATGAGTTAATAACATGATTTTAACATTCACACGAGTTTGTTATTAACAAGTTAAAACCCTCAATATTAACATGTTATCAACATATGTGAATGTTAAACTACCTTTTGCAATTCAAATAGCCTCCCAGTTGATATTTTCAGTCCCTAGCACACTCAAAACAGCAGCTTGTGCTGCTGGCTGTACCTCTGGCTCAAGAGAGGAGAAGCGGATCACCTCAGTGTGGCAGAAGGATAGATTGGCCTCATTTTTGACAAGCACTATCCCTTCCAGCTTGAATGAATTTGAGAAGAATTTTGGACTGCCTTTGTTAAATGACATTGTCATCCTCTGAGTCTGAATCAATGGCATTGCACAGGTCCACAAATTCATCACTGGACTTCAAAGAGGTCAAGGCAAGATGGGACATGTCACGGAAGCCAACTAAATTGTTTGGCCCACTGGTACATTACTGACTAGGTGCTAATATAATTCTAACATGGTCTAACATGGTATTTTTGGGATGATGTTAATAACCTGTTATTAACCTGTTATTAACCATGTTAATTAACATATGTTAGGAACTTTTGAAGTTTAGCGCTACCCTAAGATTCATCGCCATGAAGGTATGACCTCGCGTTTTTCATGAATCTTATCCCAGTGCCTTATCCGGGCCTTATCTCATGGTATAGTTTCTCGCACCTGAAGCATCTTCATTCGTCGAAACCTCTCTAAGTGGTCCCCAATATCATTCTTCTCTTGGACTTGCCGCTCCCGTTAGTCGTGTCCTGTTGCAATTTACCCGTTTTCTCAGTATACTTCGTGTATAGTGGGCTGACGAAGTCAGAAGGCAGAAAGGATACGCGTGGTATATGTCGCGTCATTACGGTTTCAGCTCAGAACTTTTGCTCAACTTTTACTCCCTCAGGTCTGCTCCGCTTCATTTCGTAGACGCCGAAGGTATGTGACGGCACCTTCCCCCTGCCGCGACTTCTTGGGTAAACATATGATGTTCAGACCAGCCGCCTACCGAGTGTTCTGTCAATCAGAAGCGCGATTGTGCCGGCAATGGATGGATTCGTGAGTCCTAGGATGCTGTATTGTTGTTCCTGTCTGCTCATTGTGGCGTTGTAGTGACTGCGATTGCCAACTACACTTCCCGTGTGGTTGACACCAGCTTGTCTGATTCTGACCGGCAGGAGGCTCTGAAATTTATTGGTGTGACCCTCCATCATTGTTGTGATTTCATACTGACTGATAGTCCTTCCTAGACCACGTAGGATCTTCATAAGTTACTCTTCATGTCAGCAAAACTCATGTGAAAACCTCCCTAGTTCATAGGCGATATCGGACAACCTCTTCACGTAGAAGGAATCGAGCGGGGCGGAAACGGTATTCATGTGCAATGCGCAGGGAAAAATAATAATTTACATTCTGTTCGTCTTTCTCATTATCTTATATCTGAGGCTTACCTGACACGTAGGTGTGGGGTCAGTTAATATTTCCAGCTCTGAGATCAAAAATGCCCACGTGCTTGAATCTGTTTTCTTTGCAGACGATGGAATTATAAACAAGTTACTCGATGATAAATACGACGGCTCTGTGATTCAATGGGTCAATAGTTTGACTGAACGCATTCAGGTCCGTGAAATCCCTTCCACCTTGAGCACGGTCCCAAGAATAATCGATTTCTATACGGGTGAATATCAAACTTCTGCTAGCAACTGGATTGTCTGCGAGCCTGGATCAAACTTCCATTGGGAGTCCGTCGACGCGCAGACTGTCCTCGAGCCGTCTTTGGACGACACTCTGAACTGCCCCCTCGTTTGGGCAAAGGAGTCCAATGCTTATGACTGTGTACGTCTCGATGCAAAACTTGTTCGTTCTCCTTTACTTATACTTATATATATATGCAGTCGTTTGTATGGACCTACGACTCCTATGAAGACCTCTGCTCTGATGACAACGATTATTACTCTGGTGCTGTTCCTATCATCGAATTGCAGATTGCCAAACAGGGTTATCCGTTGGCGGCTTGGTTGAACGTTCTTTTCGATGGAAAGACGAATTTGCCTTGATGTGCATCAAGGTGATATTTTCGTTGAAAATTTGCTCATGATCATGCTGTGTGTACAGTATAGCCTAACTAAGTTACCCAATCCCGTACCAGTTTTTCGTTTGCATTTTTTGTGAAACATTATGATTGTCAGTTAATAATGAAGCTTGAAGATTCAAACTATTTTAGATATCCTGGCTTAACTGCTTGTCCTGTTCAAGTTCGAACAGTTGCGCATGCGATTCTGCAGACAGTTCCTTCGTTCGAATACGTCCTTTCCTCTCGCAATTATTGTGCTTGAGATGGGCAATTTTTCATATACTACATCCTATCCTATCCTGCGAGACTGTACATATCCAACATGCACATACTTCTACAAGTTATTACTTCGAGTACAATAATAAAAATAGCGTGTGATACATATACAATGGAGCTCAGATTATGCAAGAGGTCGACGGAGAAAAGGAGAAAGATAAGAAATTCAAAATCCCAACTGCTCGACGAAACTCTGCCACGATGCGTCCAAAACTGGTGTTCCAGGCAATAGTTGTGCATTGGCCGGCGGATGCCCAAGGGTTGAGAATGTGCCTGTCGAGAATGAAGGTGACACCATAGAATGTCCAAACACATTAGCCCCTCCTCCCATGGTAGACAGGTCACCCATGTGAAGGCTCGTGTCCTCTCCTCCCATTGACATATAATCAAAAGCCATGCCAGACATTCCAGAGTAATGAGAAGAAGAGCTTGTTGCTATATCTTGGTTCTGTGATCCAGCTAGAGCCGTAGGATACCTCAGGCTTGCATTTCCAAGCTGAGACATGTCGTGGCCCCCTTGTTGCCCCAGAGAAAGCCCAAACGGCTGTTCGGTCTCTGTCCGATTGGCAGTAGGTGGATCTAAGAAATGAAGCTCAAATCCTCCGAAGTTCATATCAACATCCATCTCAATATTTCGAATGTCTTGGACAATGGTTGGGTGGAGATTCTGAACGGGGGCTGGCTGTTGTAGATGCTGCTGGGAGGAAGAGGCCAGACTTTCTCCATGAGCCCAAGATATAGACGTGGGGAGCGAAGCCTGACTCTCCGGGCTAGGATGAGCATCAGAACCAGTATCTGATGAACCGGGCGGAGATGCAGGTTTTTCCACTGGCGTTGAGGGCTTTGAGCTTTTACAAGACGAAATTAGATGTGTTCGTCCACCTAATCGGTCAAGCTCGAAGGTCGACAATGGGATGCCTTGTGCCTCTTTCAAGTCAGCCGTGCTGGTGAACGAAACGGCGCATGGTGGTGAACGAGTACTCGGCGAGTGATCTGATCCTGATTGTATAGAGGATGATTCAGCAGGACTACCACTATTATTACTTGTCCCATCTGGAGAAGCTGCGGTATCAATCACCTCCCGCGCTTTACGACGGAGATTCCGCATGGTATCCTGGTTTATTGTCAGAGAACACAATCAATACGAACAACGAAGACGTACTAAGATATTAGCAGCACTACGTGATGTCGGTGCTGCTTCCTCAAAGAGAGATGTCATCCCGTCCAGTTCTTCCACCGAAGACTTCGTCATTTTGGAATTTGGTGCTCGGGTGACTAGGATGCACATCACAATCTGTCATACGAGTAATGAACGACGCAATGGGATTAACTAAACGAACGAACCGCTGAGCTTAGCACCTGACTCCATGCCAGATGGTATCGCGCAAGGAGATGCGGGATGTGCATCCAGGCAATCTGCATCGCCTTACTGAGCCGCCACGCACTACGGTATGTCGCAATCACCGAGGCGACATATTTATGCGTTGTGAGGTCATCGGGAGAATCTTGCAGTGCTTGTGCAAAGTATGCACGATGGAGGTGCATTAGCACTAAGGCAGTATGAGTAGATACATGAGTATAAAGCTCTACACTTACTGTTCTCTTTATAACACATAACAATTAGCCTTTGCAGATATAAGTCTTGTCTAGTCTCCAAAACACCGCATTTCACTCTCAGATTGACAGGAATAGGAAAATCTCGAATTTTTCGATCAAAATCAATGATGTTGCTGTATGCAGGTCGACTGGAGCCGAAGGTCTCTTCCATAATGGCGTGTACGAAGGCGGTGAATTGCCAGCTCCAGTAGTGAACTGCGGAGCAGGTTATTTAGATGAAGTCGAAAATGAGCGTTATTGACACTTGCATCCTGGCTCGCGTTCTCCATCTGCACTGACAAACTCCTCTGTATCTTTTGGCAGCGGACAGTCAACGTAAGCCCGAGATAACGATGGAGGGCGACCATAATAGAAGCTCTGGTGAAAGACATCGCAAGTAAAAACGTGAACAGTAAAAGGCGGATAGAAGAACAACTCACCGACCATGTATCTGCAGTGAAGACAGTCCAGAAGAGACGATATTGCATCTGCTGAATTTCTTGCGGAAGGCTCCATCGAGAACTGTTGAGGTCTAACCAGGGTGAAAATCTTGGTATTCAACAGGAATGTAAATTCCTGGATCACTCACGAAATCCAATCTGGCAATGTATCTTATAAATGGGACAAGTAGTATAATACATGGAAAGAATGCTCACACTAGTACCCATCCTCACAACATGTCCAATATATGCCCAACCAGCAGTAGAGCCCATAGCTTCCCAGTCACTAAATTCGAGGAACTGTGCTATATGAAGCTACAGCCAGTACGGAGAGTAATAAATAAGGGGGAACATAAGAAATAAGGACACATACACACCATGCACCAGATGCTTTTGAACGTTGTATGACTAAACGGCGAATTAAAACTCAATGCAGCTTTTGATAAATAAAAATATTCTTGTGCTTGTACGGAGCAAGAGGGTAAACTGGGGTCGAAAAGAGAAGCTATAGCGAATATAATGAAGATTAGAGAGAGGGAGTGGTAGCATCTAACTGTATCAAATGAGCTATACCGAGAAAGAACGGACATGAATTCAGTAAATGAAGGCGAAGATAGAATTGACGCACTCTGAACGATAGATGCTGGCTAAAATTTCATCAAAAAGTTGGGTTCGAGGTAGCGGTGTATACCTGAGAAGCAGAAGAATCAAAATTGGTACTTCAAGCCACCCGCAGATATTCTTACTTACATGTATTTCCCATATTCTAGATAGACCTCACATAACCGTATCGCCTCCGAAAGTGGCGGAAGTAAGCCGAATACTTCTTGACCAAGTTCGTATGTGTCCCGCTCAGATGTAATTGAGCTACTATAATTAGGTTCGCTGTCGTCACGACAAAAATGAGCGCCGTTGATGATCTTTTGAGACAGACGGGTGCAAGATATGGGAATGGATGATTTTTGCGGTTTCGCAAGAGCACGAATGAGGTACTACGGGCAAATCAATAGATGTACAAAAAGAAGAATGAAAAGACTTACTTCTGAGCGAGCAGTTTGACCGAGAAATTGGGTCTCGCCATTTTCGCGGATAGAGAGAGTGCCTATATTGCAATGTAATGTCCCTTCAAGTGGACATTCAAAACGAGGGACTACTAACCAAATGCGTCAATTAGATTTTCATCTTCTGGATTCTTAGTTGAGGTCGAATCGTTCTGAGAAGGGGACGGATGAATGCCACTGGCTATTGAAGTGTCTGCTATTTGATGGTCGGGTTTGTTTTTCGGATACACAGTATGTGGAGACTTGAGTTGCAACAGTTCGGATCGAAGTAAAGGGTGCTCCTCTTCTGATAGCTGAGCTTGTGCACCACGAAGGGCGCTTTCGAGCTCGCGAATTCTTGAGCATAGCTGTTCAATACGGTCATGGAGTTGCTCTGTATTTGCAAGGACCAATCTGGTTGTATATATGAGCCACTATTTTAAGGAAAGACGAACAACATCAGGCACCTATTACCCTTTCCCGCCGTCAAGGAGCCTGAACGAATTCCAATCAAATGAGTACTCTTCCAGGTCGACTGCATAAGTGATTCATGGCTTACCATCAGGGCAGATTGCAGCTGATAACCCGCGTTAGTTCAGATAAACAGGCAAGTGGAGGAGGTTGCTTACCGCATCCTCTGGAAACACATTTTCCACATGGTACTTGTCGATCACATCTCAGCTGTATATCTACCATTAGTACCTGTAGATTATGGAGCTTGGAGTTTATTGACCTTGAGACGTCTACATTCAGCGCAGGAGGTTGCGCTATTATTTGTTTTAGAAAGTGATTTCGGAGACTAAATTTGGATACAGACGTTCTCCCAGGCCGTCGTTTTGTTGTACTCTTTTTTGCATCCGTCTGTTTCTCCTTCACGCTTGCACCCATATTCGATGAAAGATTTGAAGACCGGTGGATATTCGAACGCTCAGAGTGCTGATGTTCGACGCTGAGTAAGACTGATCATAGCAAAACCCGTTGGGATTTGTTTGGCAAAAGCTTTAATTGCCGTGTTGCCGTGATGCCGATCAGTGACTCTATCAGCTAATTCGTTCCCTAATTCTACTGAAAGAGCCCATTTCCGTGCTCAAATCTCTTCTTGAGACTTGGAGGTCATCGGACATCGGAATGTCGTACTCATCTATAGGTACAGCAAATCTAAGCGCGAATCAAGCTCACGGTGCTGATGGGCGACACGGCAACACGGCGACTAAATAAAGTTGCGATAGAAAGCGCTGCGCCCGTTCAGCCGACGGCAGCGTGTGCCGTTTATGTACATATGTAAGTAGGCCAATTCTCTCCTGTTACTTCGGAAAGTTGAAACCGTTCAATTAACTATATATACAGCAAACTACACCTTTAACAGCTTTACCACCACCTCACTTTCGCTATTTTGTTCTCTACGGGCTATCTCTACCAGTATACGCTCACTTAATTCAGACTGTCGTTTGAAACGACCAACCACTTCTCAACTTGTTTTACAGTAAAGGAATCGAACTGACGGTATGGCCGACAGCCTCGACTGCTTCTCACTATGTTTTTGCTGCTTTTGTTTCTGTAAGCTTTTTTCATTGTACAAGCAAGAAATCGATGCTCACTATTTTGGCCATCTTAACTTTTCTATCCTTCCCCGATCACCTTTATTCACAATTTACTCGGAACTATCTTGCAGCAATATGCGGCCAGAGCGAAACATCTTCTTGTAGATGGCGTGAGTCGTACTTTCCACTATCGCCTTTTCAACTTGGTAGACGGTGTAAATCACTACGGTTACCAACTTTGAATCTGAGGTCTTCCGTTGGGCATCAGACAGTGAATTAACTCTATTCCTCATCTAGTCTGTCCTTGCTGCCATTCACACAGAAGCAAATTTGATGACGATCCTGCTATGAACGACCCGGAGCTCGATGCTATCGTGGAAAGGCAGCTGTACGAACAACGTGCGGCTTGGGATGCTGCTAATCGTCAATCAAAGGGGCAACATCATCCATACGTGCCTCAGGTCCCCGCTCCAGCTGCTTTGCCTTCGGCCGAGAAGGCGATAGCACGGGAGCCGAGAGGCACGATGCAACTGCCGACTTCCTCATACTTATCTGCCAGCCAATTGAACGCGTCAATGGCCATACCTGAACCCATGCACGTGCAGCCCGGCAGCGGGCCTACTATGAGTGAAAAGACTCATTTGGACATCGAAGAAAGGAGGAGTTGAAGATTTGTGGATACTCAGCCCGCGCTGGGGATTCGTTCCGAACTCGAGGTTAAATCTGAACGTAGTGTTCTGGTATACTGTGCAGTCACCTTGCTTGGCTCGCCATCTTTAATTGATGCCCTTTTCGTTCCGTATCGCTAATATGCCACCCCACTCTTCCTGGCCTGGGTTTGTTTGGCATCTTTGTTTGCTTACTGCTAGTCAGTAGTGTGTAAGCACTGACGAGAGTCCATCAGCCACCTGCATCTCCTTGTTTTATGTTTGTGATTCAGGTAAGGTCATTGCCTTGGTACGAGGCACTTTCCCACTGGGCTTCACCTTTTCATCATTTCATGGTATATAGGCGATGATCTACTTACTCATTGGTTTTCCTTGAATATAAGAAGTCGAACAACTGATTGAATCTCGCTGTACTGTTGGCACACCTAGACATTCAAGCCCATGCTTCTAGCATTTATATACATACTTATCGCGAAATGTCGCTGTCTAATGAAGACAACATGTACAGATTTCCTGCTCATGTTTCTCTCTTCACAGAGAATGTGATTAACGGTAACCTTGCTGGTCAATTGCATCCTTTTGAACTGAATCCTTGTCTTTCTAGCTAGTATGAATCACTTGATCATTCCATGCTCGATACAGAGTTGATAGGTTGATTATCTGCTACCGAGCACTGGTAATTCTTCCATTCTTCAATTGACCTCAGGCTCCGAATCACCCACATCTTTCCAAGTGCTTCATCAAACTTCCGCTACAGCTTTTCGCTATCCTATCGAGTGTCGAGCAGGGCTCTCAGTTGGGCTAACTCGCACAGCCCTAACCTTTAAGTGTACTAGTGGAAGCCACAGACGTGAAGGATTCAGATCCTTTTCCAAACATCCTTTAGGTGTAATGGAAACCGCTGACATGGCGTGTCTAGACCCTGTTCTGAACTTCTTAATGCCCACCGGATGCTCACATTCGTGAGTGCATCTGATATACACCTTGGCCTGCCTTGGTAGTTAGAGGGTGAGAAGATCACTCTGTTATGATGTCCACGGTCTATACATACAGACGTTTGGACTGCCACTGACTGTTCTCATCATCATCATCTTTCCTCTAAACCACCATCACTTGGGGTGGACAGAGCCCAACGCCCTGGAGGTAATCCGCCTTTGAACTTGTCTGTGATCACTGTGGATCCCCCCCGCTCTTTTAACGTTTCCATTTTCGTCCTGTTTCTCATTTTGAGCAGGTCTCTCATCCTCCCGCCTCACAATCTCTTGGACTCAAAATCTTGAATTCACTTTCCGCTTCCTTTGTTCGAAACGCGTCTGCTTTGAATCGTCGCACGGCATGCTAACTCCGGATCTGTTGAGGGCCATCATTGCTTCGCTGGAGGGCTCAGAGATCGCTAGGATTGTAAACATTGCATGCCTTGCATTGTCAGGTGAGTTTGAACTCTTCGAAATTACACCAGCAGTCGTTCTTACATCTGTGTTTGATAGTCTATGAGGTGCGCAGTCTGCTCTGCTGGTCTGCCAAGCAAGGTTGTCGCTGATACTGCCCTGGAAGTGGTTAATTACGCTTGATCAAGAGGTATTTGCTTACCGTCAGATTGATGTGGAATGTTCTATTGACATTGGTCGTCAACTAGATAGAGTATTTCTGGACCGGAAAATGGACGATATCACGAATCTTATTCTTTTTGGTACGTAAGGCAGTCATTCCTCACGAAGGACGTGCTGATCATTTCGCTAGAATCGATACATCCCTCCTTTTTTGGTTATGTTCGCACCTCCACAATCTAGCACATCCGTCTAGGATAGCTGATTTCTTTCTAATTTCCTTATAACCAGGCTCGGGCTCATTGGTCAGTGTCCCAGCTTATAACATTTAAGTCGTAGACGATCTCATGTCTTGCAGAGTTCTCCATTCCAAATCCTTCAAATGAAGTGAGGCCGTCGATATCATCAACTGTATCAAGATTGCTGATACGCTCTGTCCCTTTTCCACGTCCATTCGCTATTCAAGTTGTACGTGGCACTTCCTGCTTCGACCTACGTTCCAATCACTCAATGTCGAAAATAGCTGCATCTCGGCTATCCGGTTCTCATTCGTCTCATCAATCCTCGCCTTGGGTACCATCCAAGGTTCGTATGATTATTTCCTACTTTTATTCCTGCTTGCCTCATCGAAATCTCATTTCAGCGATGCTCATTCTCCGTATATGGTACCTTTTCCCTCACAATAAGTTCATCCAATACGGGATGGTCATCCTGTGGGTCTTTTCAGTGGCAATTTCCCTGGCTTACACCAGCGTAGCTGCAATGGGTTTGAGGCTACTGAACACATCCCTTTTCATGCAAGGTGCTCCCGGGTGTCGCGTTGCCAGACCGGTAAAATTTTGGAGAATGTTCATGCCGTCGTTGGGTTTACATGTGAGTTCCACCTACGAGAACCGAAGAAGTGTTTAACCCGATCTGTGTAGACAATTCTATACATCATGACGGCTGTAAGAGCCTTGCGCAATCGTAGAATATTGAAGGACGCCCCGGTTTTGAAGCGTCTTCTCCGAGAGTACGTGTGTTACTACATCCTTTGCAGTTAGCGGTTTACCCGATATGGCACACATCAGCGGAGGACTTTTCTTTTTTGTAGTATTCGGTGAGGGTAGTCAACATTGTCAGGTCGCATTCGACTCTAAAATCTCTTTCAAAAAGTGTCTATCGGGTTCACAGCTATTGGTTCATTTCTGGAGAATGTTCCTCAGGTGCGCCTACGCTGAATGATACTAATCAATAATGTGCATTGACGTTGTCGGGATAGATTAACATACCGGTGATCTTTTCAAAGTATGTTTACCTTCCTTCAACTATCGCACTCATAATCCTTACGACGATCCCACGACTGGTACAAAGTTACTTGCTCGCAGTTACATCCATCGCGATGTCCCGAATTATGTTTAGCATCCATTCTCTGGCCTCTCATCTCGGTTCTGAGACCGGCTGGCTCTTGAGCAATGTCGAATTACGGAGAACCAACTGGAGGAAGGGTGCTACAGAAGGAGAACTCATTGTCGAGTGCAATAGTTATGATGACTACGACGATCGAGAATCCAACCTGCAGATTAACAACGGCTCCCTTCGTTCGTACAGAGCGTTGAAGGTGTCGAGGGTTGGTGTGTTCAATGATGACACGATGTGGCTTTAGTCAAACCCACACAATTTTCTAATGGATGGAATACTTCGAATGGAATATTGGGGAATGCTTTGTGCAATGAAGTCAAAAAACTTCGTCCATGATTTGTTTCTTTGTTATCTGTTGTACAGTATGTATTTTGTTAATAATAGATGTTCGTCTTGCTGGTCGGGAACGCTTCACTTTATACTAAAATTTTTCTTGGAAGGTTGTTCGCGTTGAAAAGCGCTAATATATAAGAACATACATGCAAATATAGTTACTCGTAAAGGCGAGGGTCACTGTGACTTCATTGAATAACTGTGGAAATTCGGAATTCAGGATAGAGGACATCTCCTGTATAGGTTCAGCATTTTGTCCGTGCATTCCAATGCCATTTGTCACTTCCATTGAGATACTTTACTCCCCAGCCGTCAATGTCATCCTCCCAACTCCGCCACATCCATCCTATATTCATGCTCTTGAAGTAGTCTTCACAAAAAGAGTCAAGTAAATTCCAGTAACCTTCGGAAGACGGCACTGAAGCAACGATATCCGGCGAGTTGGGCGCGAACTCGTCTTCGTTTGTCGGCCATCCAGTCTGAAATTGTTGAGAAACGTTGTAAAGGAAGGAGATACGTTCATGTTTATTTCTTACCTGAGTCACCAGAATCGGTCTTCCATTGGCAATACTCTGGAAATATTCAATGTCTTGTATAAAATCATTCCAACTGGAGCTCGCATTTCCACCAGTAGTTGCGTCAAAAGCGAAATACGGAAAATTGTTAACCATGAAGAAATCGACTGCATCTGCCACAGGTGTGATGTTTCCAGAACTCTGCCATCCGTACGCTAGATCCGATATTGAAAGCGGGATGTCGAGTCCTGCAATGCTGAGATTGCGACGAACTTGGTTGATGTATGATGCTAACGCTGCAGGTGAGCCGGCATCATCGTCATACAGTGGTTCATCGCCTATCTAAGAATAAAGAACGGATGATTCATGAAAGACAGTCCAGCCTACCAATGGCGATAGCGAGAACAGGTTCTGGATTGTTGATGACTGCCTACAGAAATGGGTCAATTTACTTCAGTTCGATGGCGATGTTGAGATGATTCACCTGTGTAACAGCTTCGATCCGTGGAACACTTTTAATCAGAAAAGTGTCGTTGGGACCATAAGACTGCCCTACTGCATGGATCGGAAGGGTCCAAGCCAGCGGGATGATACTGATTTCTGCATTTCCAGCAGCGGTAATAACATCTGAGCATAACGAGACCATAACGTCTACATTGATAGGAATGTGAGGGTTTTCAATGCGCACCATCGTAGTAACCAACATCAGCGCCGGTTCCACAAAACTCGAAGGTAATGACCACTCTAGCTCCGTGTGCCTTCATCTCGTTGAAATCTTGAGTCATTTCGTACGTGGATCGACATGACTGCATGCGGTCGACATTTAGGTAAGGTTAGCGTCGCTTCAGTCGTATATACCACTTAAGAGCACTCACCTCAATGTCATATACGAACCCTTCCCACGCATACATGCTCTCAATTTTCTCCAACCTGCTCAAGCCGGTACTATAGGAAGAATCAAGGGTATCACTTGCAAAGACAGCCCATCCATAAGCAATAGCTAGGGCTAGGATGTTGACCAGGACCATCGTCAAAGCCAACAGGGAACTCCGGGAAAATAATGACAATTGCGAGCATCATAAGGTACTCTGAGCTTCTGACCGAAGCCACATGATGCTGTAGTTGCATGTGCGGGACTAGCTAGCTAGTAGTTCGAAGAAGAGGGGAAACCCGTTAAAGGCACTGGCAATCAAAGGCAGTAGATGATGAGATTTCTGGGGCGCAACATCCAGGGATCAAGAAGCCTTGAGAGATATCAAAATAGCTGTATGAACTGGGGATCATCGGACTTGATGGTGTATGACTGAAAATCATGTACTTCGTAGACCAAGGGAGAGTATACTTCAAAGGATCCGGACCCGGGAAGGACATAACTCGGCCCGAAGTCAAATCACGACCACGTGAGCGTAACATGAAAATTCGTGTAATATTCAGCGTTCAACTCAGACCCCCATGTCATTACACCACCATCTCGCCATGTCAGAGAATATTCCTGTAGCCTACAATATACCACCAGCTTACAAAGCTCTCTACGCCCCCATCCTTCCCACCTTCAGAGTCAGACTCGCACGTCAACTTCCTCACGAAACGAACCTCATCAAGACAGCAATCTTACATGGAATGCTCAAACCAGAAGATGCTCCTACTCGGCTTGACTCTCTAATAGATGCCTTGATGGACGAATCTCAAGTCCCCAAAGACACGAATGATGAGTATCTTCAATACCTTCTCGGCCGTTCCAAGAAGAAGATTGACAAGGAAAAGCAAAAAATTGACAAGGGAAAAGGATTACTCAGGGGATGGGTCGAAGAGGATCAAGGTATTAGAGATTCGGATATCTGGGAGGATTTGCTGCAGGTATGTCAAAGCGATGTCATATTCCATTCCATCATTGTACTGACTCGCCTAAACAAAGGTAGTCAACCTGACATTAAAAGGCGACGACTTTGGTGACATCCTCTTTGGCGAGATTACGCCTGAGCTCCGCGCGAAAGCTCCCTGGCTGCCCTCGAAATCGAGTCAAATTCTTCCGACTGCATTAGCGCTTCCGAAGCAATGGAAAGATGTAGAGAAAGATGAAGAACCTGGCAAGCGGTGGGTAGCTCAGTATATCTTGGGACCTTTGAATGAGGCTCTGGAGCCTGTATGGAATGATATGGAGTTAGTGTTAGAAGATATCCTTCTGTTTTGGACTAGTCAACTCATGCATCACTTTCTCGTTCAGACTGGCTCCTCCACACCCTAGGCCTCCTGTCTTACCGATCATAACTCAACGTCAACGGCTTTCCCTCGTGCTGCAGAACCGATTGAACCAGTGAAACCGATAGAATTTAGAATGTTGTATTTGAAAGCTCGAGAAATCTATATACAGTATAGTGTTAAGTAGTGTTTGAATATAGTACGCACTTTCTTCTTGTGTTCCCTGGGCCCTTCACTTCAAGCTTCGACCGAACCACTATGTATAGTCTCGCATCAGGTCAGAATTCATAATGAGTGAAGAGACTTCGTCCACTCATCATCGTCCGTATCGATTTTCCCACACCGGCTCACCAATCAATTATTTAAACAAGGTCAACACGAGGGTGACCCACCAAAATTTGCACCAAGTATGGCTGATGTTCCTCCTCGGCGTGCTATTGCTCTTGACAGACGGTCTTTGCCACTAAGCAGAGGAGATCCGTCGCGAAAAGATGATAGGACAGGTAGAGCCGACAAAGACTCGTCTAAATGGGGGGAACGACGCAGATGGACGCCATCACCTTCCAGGAATTTTAGTAGAGAGCGAGGAAGACCGAGAAGATCGTCAAAGTCACCCCCGGGACTAGCATACACAGAAACCTATTACCGGTCTCCTTCAAGGCGCAGGTTTTCTCCTCCTCCGCCGAACCTCAGGTTTTCTCCTTTTCCTCGAAACTATGGACGTAGATCCCGTTCATGGTCGCCTCGCCGGTTTGAACGAAGGCCGACTCCGATTTCACCAATTCGTTCTCCGCATCCCAGACACACAAATGCATATTCTCCTTCCCCTCCTAGACATACACCCGAACGCAACCGATGCCGGTCTCGATCACGGGAATTGCGATATCGTTCTCGCACTCCTTTACGCAGCCAGGATTGTACTGGTATTGTTGGTAGACCTCTACCGGCAGAAAGAAGGTCGTGTAACAATCTGGTTTCGCAGATGGATAAAGGAGCTCCAAGTTCGGTCCGAGAACCTCGTTCAACTCCGGTACTCAAAGAACCCAAAATGGCTTTTTCAAGGAGCACACCAACATCCGTGCTTCCCTCTGCACAACCTGTTACTGAAAAGGATAGCAAATTAAAGTTACTTGTTCCGGAAGAGGCCTCACCCAGAGTGTCATCTGAAGGTGCCTCACGAGATGCGCCCAGCGCTCCGCTAAATCGTATACTTACGCAGGAATCTGCCGGACAGCTCCATTCACAAGAAACAAATGTAGCCCTTTCCGAAACATATGCACCTTTACCTTTACCTCTCCCGAGCTCTCAACCCGAACATCTACCTCATCCCAATGAACCTGATGAAACTCCAGGGTCTTTCGAACAACAACTACTCAAACTAGCTGATCAGGAACTCATTATTACCAATCTCATACGGGACGAGCAGGCGATGATGGCTCGATCCAGAACTTTATACGACGAGTACATTACCGCGCACCAACGTACCCACCAGCTAATCATAGACCACCTCAAGGCTGCCATGGAAGCCCGTCGCGCGCTGCGCGAGTACGAAAAAGCTAACACCGAGTTGAAGCATTTGCAACAACGACGGCAAGCTTTGCATAGACATCAGGAGCTTGCTAGGTTGGGCATGCTCGTCATGGATCCATGAGCAAGGGGGAATGGATTCAATGGAATCGCCACGCCGGATCGAGTGCTTGCTTCTGACTGTGTTCCATTTGCGCTCATACCGACCGCTTCAAATAGTATCTACTCATCCTTGTTATCGACATATATGTAACCAATCTTTCATGTACCAAAAAATACTGAAATACAGATAATTATACATAGTACAAGAGTGCGATAATCAAAACAATCAAACAGGTACGGGAGGACGCTTTCTTTGTTGCCTTCAATATTGTTTTCACATTTACAGGCCCTTTCCCGTCGGCTGAACAATCCTGCCACCCGCCCCAAACGACTTTCCACCTCCGTGGACATTATAATCCCTTGTAGGCATCGTTTCCTCCGTCTTCCTACTACTAGGATAACTCTCCGTTCCTCCTCCTACGTTAGAGCCATGCCCGTATTTCTGGTCTTTTCTTAGGTGCGGAATCTCCTCCCTATGCTCTTGATTCTCCTCATTCTGCGAATGACTCGTAGGCCGAGGGTAATCGTCAAAAGGGACTGGAGACGGTTCCGAGGCGGCGGCCTTGGTGCGGGATGGTTCAAAGTTGTTTACTGCAGAAGAATTCCTTTCATCTGATTCTTCACTGAAAAGAATTAATTGTATGAGTTGCAACAACAAACGATGGCCATGAAGTCTGATGATGCTCACGAAGTGGCTTGCGCACGATGGGTATGCGGTTTGGAGTTTATTGATAGACGTCTTCCTCCGACTTTGACTGAGAGCGAATTGAGCGGAAATAAGTAATGTGTCTGTGTGGAAACCCCGTAATACTCACCCGCAGGAGGATGTTGGGCTAATGCTGAAATTTCCGTCATTATCTGCTCTTCACAACTTTGGGTAAATGCAGGTACGGTTCAGTTCAGAGTCTCGTTTCATCATACGGCTCCGTTTATATACTCGATTTAAGACATAGATTGGGGTCTGCACATGTCCAGTCCCAGTCTAGTCTCATGACGAGTCAAGCTAAATATGTAGGTGAAGAAAAGAGCGGATCTCATTTGCAGTCACAACTTGCATGGCAACAGCGGCCACATCTATTCTTTCAAGTACATGCATTATATAGCTTGCCACCGATGAAGAATATTCCTAGAATCTCCACTTCCTGGTATGGAATCTTACATCCTCGGTTTCTCCATCCAGACTCTCAGCAACCTCTCGCAGATTTCCCTAATCTGCGGCAATGGCCTACACTCATTGATCGCATCTCTTACCTCATCTGGGAGGTCATAATCCGTCAATAACAGCAGGTTCCAAATGGGATGCAAAGGATCAGAGCAGAGAACAGTCAGCTCATAGCAACTGGACGGATGTGTTTTTCTTTGACGATAATCCGCTTCTAGCTTCACAATGAGGTCCGAGATAACCTGCGGGTGCTGCCCAGTAACGATAGCGTAGTGCAGATCATCAGGGAGGTAGTAGTTTGCCACTCGGAGGAGATTCCAAATCCTGTGGTCAGGCCGAAACTTGGGAGGCAGTAGCCTCGGTTGGGGGATGATGTTAGCCTCCTCAGAATCGGATGAGACAATATCACCAGCGGAGTTTTGACCTCGACGACCCGGACCCAATGATGGTAGAGAGAATGCAGGAGGGAGATGATTCGGGTCGTTGTAGTATCGATCTGCAAATGTCATCTGCATGAACTGAGTCATGGGCGGGAGCGTAACTTGACGAGGATGGACGCTGATCCGTTGTTGGTGTAGAGGAGGAAGGGTCAAAGGGATGTGTTTCGGTGGTCCTTTGAGTTCCGATTCAGGATTGTGTCTGTGAGACGATCGTGATTCGTTAATCTGGAATACGTTTGATAGGAATGCATTGACGAACCTGCCATCGTAAAGATATTTGGGCGGCTTATCAACATCTTTCTTCATTGTTGGTTTTCACTTTGGGAGATCGACAGCTGGGAAAAAATTCAGCCTTTGAGCTGGGAAGGGCAATTTGTAGAGACGACGGACCGAGAACGTTGGAAAGCTGAGTAGACTCATTGGGACCAGGTGTCAGTGTATTTATACAGCAGACAAAAAAAACAAGACCATGGAAATAATGGGTTTTGCTTCATGGTCAAATGCTTTGGTCGGACGATATATTGGTTCGAATTGACCCCAAGAATGTGGTTGATTTTCGGTTACGCATCAGTCATTGAAAGGGGAGTGGATATCAGGTCAAAGTTCGTAGACCCATTCATAAGTCTGGTCAAAGCTTAGCGACAAAGAGTGAACTCAAAGACAAACAATAGGCCAGCGATCTAAAAACTGGGCGGTGAATTGAAATAGTACATCGCTGGTACAACAGTTACATGAATGCAAAAATCCTTTCTGCTATTCTTCACGACATTGATTTGCAAGCTCAAAATCAGGGTCTGAGAGCTTCAGGGTACGGGATTCTTGCCATTTTTGCCGCAGACTTCAATAACACATTGAAATCAGTCCCGTCTCCCTGGACAAATCAGTCATTAAACTAAGTCATGTTTGGTTAATAAGTTGAGACTCACAATGAAGCTAGTAGGGAAGCCGACGTCGAAAGGAATGACACTCTCGAGCTCCTTGACATGCTTGTCTGAGAGAGAAATACTCAACGCCTCGAGGTTTTCTACGAGATTTTCGACCTTGCGTCCACCAATGATGGGGAAGACGTAGGGAGTCTTCTGCATGACATAGGCGATTGCAACTGACAAAAAAAATCGTCAATTAACCACTGATTGTCTACTTCAGCCTTCGAACGTACCAGCAGAGATACTCTTTGCTCCAATTTCTTTCGCCACCTTTACCAACGCATGACTCATCTTGACCTCTTTCTCGGTTCGTTCCCAGCTACCAGTGAGCATGCGCCCATTTTCACCAGTAGCACGTCGGCGTTCCTCTTCTTCATCCGTGCGCAGTTTTCCTCGGGCGAGAACACTCCAGGGTGCGAGTGCCATGCCTGTGCGGGGCCGAATTAGTTTGGAGATTTCGAATAAAGAGAGAAACGTACCCATTGAACGCGCCATCGGGATGATATCTCGTTCAAACGAACGGTCCATGATGTTCCATTGGCCTTGGTAAACCACAAAGGGAGTCTTTCCATGGTCAGATGCATATTGATTCGCTTGTGAGACGACCCAAGCGGGAGCATCAGAAATACCCTGATATAACCAAACAAAGCAAGGTCAATCCAAAGGAGCCACAGATTTATAGGGATCAAAGGAAAGCAATGTAACGCACCAGGTAGATCACTTTTCCTGAAGCAACTAGGTTATGCAAACTGTCCATGACTTCCTGGACACTAGTATCGAAGTCCCACCAGTGCAGGTAGAGGATGTCGATGTAGTCGGTGCGTAGCTTCTTTAAGCTTGCCTCGACGCTGACATGCAACGATTTCGCATTGTTTCCGGTGAAGTTGACTCGTTGTTTGACCTTAGGGTCGCCATGTTTGAAGTTGGACGTATACTGTCGATGTGCAAGCAGTTAAGTAGGAGGGTCGGGAACCAACGCGGTTTACTCCGCACCTTGGTAGCAATAACCAGTTGATCTCGAATTTGACGCTTTTCCACCCATTCTCCGATGAATTGCTCCGAAGTTTCGTCCTGGCTGCATCGGTAGTGGAAATATAAGCCACACGCGAGAAGAGGAAGAGATAAACTATACGTAACTAGTTGTTAGCGGTGTCGATGAAGTTTCCGCCCATGTCAAAATACGCATCAAGTAGCTTGAAGCTGGATTCCTTGTCCATTGAGCCCATGAGCTAACAAATGCGTCAGGTCATCAAAATAGTAAAAATGACGATACCAGATAGCTCACCGAGTTCCATTGATCTCCAATGCTCATTGCACCAAGGCATATCGGTGACACTCTCACTCCTACAATTCCAGCATTCAGACGATGCAGGGAGATAAATTCGCTCAGATGAATCGCACCTGCACGAGGAGAAAGGACACGGTAGACACCGAGCTTGGTAGGAGGGTCAGGAGCTGGCTGCCAGATAGACATTATCGACTGTTCTGTCAAAAGGTTTGTTTTAGAGGAAAGAGTCTTGAAAGAATCTTACTTACCAGAATGCGTTGTGAGTTACTCTTATAGAAAATCGTGCTCGCAGAATCCAACTTCTATGTCAAGTTCCATCGAGTACTCTCCCGTCGAACATCCGAATCAAAGAGACAAATCGTAATCCGGATTATATGAACAGTAGAGGCCGATGTGGACGCATTATTTGACGATCCCCCCAGGTTTGAGGATAAGGCTGAATAAGGGCTCCGAGTTGTTTCTTGCTATATGAATAAGGATTCATGGGAGAGAAATTGAGAGAAAGAGAAAAAGGCAAGTCCGTCAATGGCCGGCGTCGTGTAAGATAATTTAGCGCCGTAAGCTTGTATATTTTTCTTCACCGTCGAACTGCCGCAGCTGAACCTTCTACCTGACAATACAATGCCCACAAATTCATGTTCAGATTTAGTATCTATATCATTTTCATTATACCTGGCTGAGCTCATAAAATCACCCCATCGAAAAGCGAACTGATCAATTTCTGCTTTTCCCGCAGACTCGTACTCACAAATTTTCGTAAATCCGACTCCGATCCGACTCGAACACCGATCACTTCTCAGTTGAACTCTGGCTTGCGAGAAATGGCGTCGGTGAAGAATCAACTCAAGGAGCGTCGGTGTAAGATTTACGTCCAGAGACTCTGGAGTCTTTCAAACTCGTTTCGGAATTACTAGGGAGCCACGCGTTTTTTATCATTGATCTTTTCATCCCTACCTTGAAACCACACCAGAAAGGTAAGGGAGTTACTGCAGGTATTCACTGTTCGTTCCCTTTCATCAAAGGGAGCCAAATCACGTTCGCCAACCATGCTAGTTCCTCAACCACTAATCTACCGGTCACCGGTTTACCATTACTTCTAATGAGAGCAGACGTGCGTTTTCGTGCTTTCAGATAATCTACGGATCCATTTATCATCCCTGGCAGTTCTTGTTTCGCCATTCCACATGGATTCCAGTGTCAAGTATCGAAGCCACTCCCGAATTGGAGAAAGAATATCTCGAAACCTACTTTAGTGCTCTTTTACCATTTATCTTCCGGCTCTTCTTCGATAAGTATCTGTCCCTTGTATCCTCGTGCCTCAGAGTGCATCGTGCGCTATCTGCCTAGAAGCCGTGTAATTCACAAATCTGAAGGTACGTCATTCTCAGCAATCAGTTCAAGCAAAACACGTAGTATAAGATGAACTACTTTGGTCAGAACTCTCAGAATTTGCCAGCAAATCCTTCGCAATATGAGGTTGACAGTGACTTTGGCAGCTTGTTCGATCTTGGCTGCTCGTAGTGTTCGGGGATGGGGCGCAATTGGACATGAGACTGTTGGGTACTAGGCTCAGTCCAACCTTTTTTCTCTTGCGTTCCGAGTTGACGTTTTGTTTTCCCCTCTTTTTTCAGATACGTCGCTATGAAGGTACATAGGATATGTTCTTGCGTGAATGTAATTTCTCATGGCCATCTTCAGTTTCTTAGCCCAAAGGCATTAAGCTTTGTCCAGTCATCGCTGGGATCGGAGTACTCAGAATCTCTAGGTCCCGCTGCTCCGGTATCTATCTTCGAAGCCTAGTATTGTGTCATTTTTATTTACTCAAGTCGTATTATTATAGTGGGCAGACGATGTTCGTTTTGAGGCTGCATTCTCATGGTGCATGCCATCTCTGTTATTCATTTACAGAAGGCACCGCTGACATCGGATTCCTTTTCCGCAGGTCTGCTCCTTTCCACTTCGTTGATGCTGAAGGTATGTAACTCTACCATTACTATGGAACACTCAAAAACAGAGGTGTATGTTCATTCTAACAGACAATCCCCCGACATCGTGCTCTGTTGAGCAAATGAGGGACTGCAGTAGCGGTACCTGTATCTGTATGTTCGAAGATATTTGCTTCACAAAAAACTAATTGAGTCATGTAGTGTCTGCTATTGCAAATTATACCGCTCGTGTTGTCGATACTAGTCTTAGTACAGAACAACGTCAAGAGGCGTTGAAATTTATTGGTGAGAATCAACTTTATCAACTTGGTGCACTGTTTTTACCTGACGTTGGATTGCAGATCATGTACGCTGAAGTATTTACGGGTTAGAAATAATATACTCATTTTGGCATAGTTCATTGGTGATATTGGTCAACCACTGCACGTTGAAGCCGTTGAGGTTGGGGGCAATGATATCAACGCTGTCTGTAACGGAGAAAGGACTAATTTACATGCGGTAGACTCTATTCAATTCTGATGTCTACTTCATTTCTGAACTTCATAAAATAGGTTTGGGGTCAGTTTGCGCACGCTTGCAATGTCGACCAGTTTGAAAGTGTATAATAGATTCTGGTATCATCAACATCTTCCTCAAGGCTCAATACTCCAACTCTGCCATTGTCTGGGCTAATGCTCTGGCTCAGAGAATTCAGGTTAGTCAGCTTCTAGGTTTACTTGAATATTTTGGTTGATGGGGATGAATATCGTACTTACAGACTGGTGAATTCAAATCTCTCACATCAACTTGGCTATCTTGCTCCTCCACCACGGAACCTGTGAATAATCGACGCCGAAGTATCGAAGACGATATCAACGGCCTTGTCAGCGATGCTACAATTACACCGCTCGAATGTCCCCTCGTCTGGGCACGGGAGTCGAATGCTTATGACTGTGTATGCTGACTACCTTTCTTCATCCTACTGTTCCCCTCTAATAATGTCATTAACAGTCGTTTGTGTTCAGCTACACAGGATTTTCCGATCCTTGTACATCCTCGTATGCGACCGGAGCTCAGCCCATTATCGAGGAGCAGATTGCCAAGCAAGGATATCGTCTAGCGGCCTGGTTGAATGTCTTATTCGATGGCAGTACTGGCCTTTGAGTCGCGGGACAATTTTTGAACCCCATTATATAATATCCCAATGGCAATGGTGGATCGTTATATTGCGAGTAATAGTACTGAAGCTGTTGCACTATCTACATCCGATTGTTGCCGAGGCTGCGCCCACTGCATGACCGCTCAATATTCAAGTCAGAGAAGAATAGATCCCAGGGATTGACCAACCGGCTGATCAATTGAAGTGTGCGTATTTGAAAACAATTGTCAGGCCCATTCTACAACTGCACCTTCAGTAGCTACACCCATTCCGAAATCACTCGTTACACCCGCTTCGATATTCCCATTCTACGCTCCGCCTCATCAGCGGCCTCTTTCTTTTCCGGGGCCATCTTCCAGAGTCGATATGCACGCTAAGATTACGAGCATCCAATTTTTCCGCTTCCAGCTGATGCGTCCGAGGAAGAGGATAAACAGACCAGGGCACGTACTTTTCGCTAAGCCATAGTATAATTTAGGATTAAGGCTACTTGGGCCACCCATATGAACGAGATTCTGGCATGCAAAGGACACCGTTCCATTCACTGTCAGGTTATTTCTATTTTTCAGTCATTTCACTAGGCTTCTTGGCCTTCAAGGACTTTTGAATAGTATTATATGTCATTTATATCTATATGAAAGTCAACCCCTGTCATCAAGCTGACAATATAGATTATAGTAGAAGTACAAGATAAAAGTGCACATAGCGTCCATATAATGCACTCGAAAAATTGTGTACACATTATGTATGTACCTACGTACATACGTACCGATATATCACAAAGTTCATCGGCGTTCCTCTCCTGGAATGCTGTATGTGCTATACCGAGACCTGAGGGTAAAAGGAAAAGACACTAAAAAGCACCAAGGGGCACAGCAGAGAGCAGCAATAAAAACATATAACAGAAGTACAACGAGCAGAATTAGATACAGGCTGATGATGGTACAAAAGAAGATGGAGGTGTGTCCTACCGAGACGTCTAATTGATGCGAGAGGGTCAAGCGGCAGGAGGAAATATAGCATAAGTCAGATGTAAAAGATTTTTAAAAAAAATTGGGTAGATGGGCGAAGACGAAGCTCAAGTGAAATGGAGTAGGGCGATCGTGAAGCACAAACAATTGTTGCCCTTTTGGTTTGATATTTGGAAATTTCTTTGGGATGCAAATGGTCATAAAGTTCATGCGTGTATGAGAAGAGAACGTGTGTATCCAAGATCTGGGAACGACCCAGCTTTTGTTTTGCTTTTTTGTTTTTGAAATTATCGACTACAATGAATCAACACTTTCGAGCCATGCAAGAAGGATTGGAGGTGCTCACGTCTTCCTTCACATCACCTGCAACCTATTACGATTACGATTGGGAGTATGAGGCGAAGACTCAGAGACTGCAGGTGAACCGCTTCCTGTTCCAGCAAAACACCATTGCTGAACGAATGCACGGTATAGCGGGTCTGCATCAAGAGGTTTGTCTACTCCTACAGACGGGGAAGAGATACCGACACCAGATCCACGGCCTGTATTATCGAAAAATCCTGTCTGATCCTCGCCAATAGTATCGTCATTAGAAAGCCAGGCCGCTCTCACGTCATTAGGTACAGGCGTGAGGTCGAGTTTAGATTCGAGGCTTCCTCCCATGTTCAGTTGTGACAACGTCGATTCACCCGGAAAAAGCTCATCAATCATCTCGGCGTATTCTCCATCAGTCGACACAGAGCTCGAGGAGCTGCTTCGTTCAAGCAGTGGAACATCCATCAGAGAATCAATGGAATCAGTGCGAGAGATGCTGGATGCACTAGCCTCTGAAGGGAAACGCTCGCGTTCAGATTGACGTATTGGTGGCGCGAACGACGAAGACCCAGAGATAGGCACGGCGTTTGTAGAAAGTCGAACTGGAGGAGCCGCAGGTGGTAATACTGATAACACCTTCACTGTGGCAGACGCTGGCAAATTTCGATTTTCTCCGGCGTTGACATTCCGGTTTGTGCCGGGACTTGATTGACGCAACCTGGAAGCCTCCGAAACGAAATCCAACAGTGTAGGAGGCAATGAACCCGAGGAGTCGACTGAACCTGAAACAGACGAACTCGCCTTCGAAAACGACGAGGTTTGTGAGTCTGAACTCGATGTATTTCTCCAAGGCCAAAACAACCCTCCAAGGCCACTGAGTGAACCGAGTCCAGTGGGTCTAGGTGCACGTTCTTTGATTTCTTTGATTATCTCATGGGAGCCAGAAGTTTGCTGTTCGCTTTCATCTGGGGTAGAATCGATTTTTCCCGCTCTGCTTTCATTTGCTGGCGGGAGTGGAGAAGTTATACGAAGCGCTCCAAACAACTCCTTCACGTCAGCTTGGTTTTGGGATCTGGTTTCGACTGTGGGGACCGATGCCATGTCGATAGCAGAGACAGGCATAGAATCAGCGGCGAAATCGAGGTTCGAAATCGGTACATCGGAAGAGATAGGACTAAGCTCTGATATTCTTTCTTTTTCCGTATTTGGAGCAGGCACAGGAGCAGGAGCCGGCGAAGGTGGTAGTACTTCGAGGAGAACAGGTGCAGGTTTTGACACTAAAAGATAAGACTCATCAGCATCCAGATAGCAAGTAAATACCAAGGGGTAGTCCAACTAAATAAATGAACACACACCATTAATAATCTCCACTTCCTTAAACCCGATTCTCCAATTCTTCCCTCCACAATTATCCCACCACTCTCCACCAGCATTACCAACAGCGAACCTTGCAACGAACTCAACGATTCTTCCAGGCCCCACAGCAGGTGGGAGGTTGATCCTAAACGCAAAACGATCCCATTCGGAAGAATTTTCCTCCTCGAGTGGATAGTTCGCAAAAACGATAAGGTCTCCGAGCGTGCGAGGAACTGCAAGCCCGGCTGTGCTAGGATTAGATGCGGCTGCGGCGGCAGCGAGGGACATAATCCGAGATCTCCCACACGATCCCACCCATTTCCCTCGAACCTCATTAACCGTCGACCAATCATCTGTCGTGAACCGGACGGAGACGTGTTTCTCGAAAGCTACATTTCGCACGAGGAAGGTCCCTTCGAGAGATAGTACAGAGTCCGTGGAAATGGTACCTTGCGAAGAGGCCGAGGAAGAAGAAGAAGAAGAATCCAGATGGACCTCTTCCAAGAAAACGTTGGTCGAACCGGACAAAGCATCTCGTACTGACTCGGGTCGAGGAATGGGAGAGGGTACGTCGAGTTCGATCTTTGTCACCTTCTTCGCAGTCCCTTTCTCTACTTCTTCTTCCCTTCTCGCGAACCTAGGTCCAGTCCCGGTGTTTCGTATATGATGAATACGTCCTCCCGAACTAGAAGAGCTACTGCTGCTCTCACCAGCGTCGTCTTCATTATTACCTGCTACTCCTCCAGCACTGCGCATACGGCCTAGTCTGGGTAGACGCGGAAACGGATATGCCCCAGGAGCAGTAGCAGATTCAGTTGACGCCGCCTTGACTGAAGAAAACCCATTCGACCTGGACAAGGGAGCAGCAGCATCCCACAGACCCCGACCACCACCCCAATACCCAGCATTATACCCATACCCATACTCCCTATCAGTCTCAGTCTCAGTCTCAGTCTCCTCTCCACCGCTCTTCACATCGTTCCCGCTCCCTTCAGCACCTTCACCTCCATTCGAAAGAGTCTCCAAACCATGATTAAGATTATTGGCAATCTGATCCCGTTCCTTACGAGTCACCAAGAGACTTGACGGCCGCGCTTCCTTCCTGAACACACGAACCCGTTCAAGGTCAGATGGGAGGGAAGGAAAATGCACACTACGGGGTGAAAGAAGGGCATCAGGAGACATTAACTCGGAGAGACCAGGAGACGGAGGTGGCTCGGTCATAGGAGATAAGGGACCTGTCCAAGTTGATTCCAGAGCCGCCTCTATCCCTTGCCCGGGTGTCATAGGAGGAGAGGGAGCAGATTGTGCTCGGACATGCCCGCTAAAAGAAGGTGGCACCGATAATACATTTGCACTTGGGCCATTACTAACAAAGTTCGTGAACGATGCGAACGAGGGAGCAGCTGTTCCAGGGATCGTCGGACTCGTCACTGGGGAGGTCACAGCAGAGCTCGCCGTGGAATGAACTGGGGAATTTCTGACAGAGTTAACTGGAGAAACCGACGGAGAATTCGCAGCAGAACCCATTGGTGAACTTAACAAGGAAGATATACGAGAGCCTTTCAAAGAACTTCGCAGAGGCTTTCCATTCGAAAGAAGAATGACTGCTGGTGACAGTGCGCGGTTGATGGCAGCGGAAGAGGTCGTGTTCGGTGCTGTCTCGACCAATTCAGGCGAAGACGATGTACGCGTCGGCACTGATGACCTCGTCATCGCAACGCTCGCTGGATTAGGTATAGCCATGGGACCCATACGCACTGGGGAATCCGCCGAAGACTTCGGAAATGGTATACCTTCGGAAAACGACGGCAGAACCTGAACCTTCAATTTGAGCGGTGGAAGATTGCGGTCGGAATGATCGTCATTTCCATCGTCATCTTCGCTGCTGCTGCTCCCACGTCTGTCGCCGATGCGGAATTTGGACGTGTTAACACTACTGAGGGTGGGAGTGGAGGCACTAGAATGTCTTCGGGGTAGAGATCCAAGACCACCCCACGCGCCACGGATACCATTGTTGTTTCCGTTTCCACTGATGCTCTGTTCGTTGGTAAACCTCGCAGAATTTCTCCCAGATGAAGGAGGTGTGTCAATAACAGACGAATATGATGTTTGCAAGCTGGACCCGGACCCGTAGTGAGCCTGGCTCGAGTACGAACGTCTGTGTCCCGGACGACCAAGTGAATGGGTGGAAGGATTATTATTTTGGTTTTGGTATGAACGAGAATGATGAGAGCGAGAGGGTGAAGACGAACGAGGTGGCGATACCGGCTGTGAATACGGCATTGGAGCCTAGACGTTCGGTCGACTTTAAATCTGTGATATCCAAAATCCTACGGATAGGTATCTGTCAATGCAGAACAACGCAGTCAGGCATTGTCATCGCTTACCTGGAGAACCTCAGGAAAGAAAGAAAACTGCAATTGTATATGTATTGTCCTCAACGGGCCTCTCAGATGAGTCTTGGTATGACGGTGGTGTGACCTTGATGAATCTCAAACCAAATCGTTATCCACGACCTAAACTAATATAGACCAATGTCAGAGCGCAGTATCTACACTGGAGATTGTGCCGACGCACCCTGATGTTGTTCTGGGGAAGGTCGGCTTGTTCAAAAATGTCTAAGGACCTCGGAAGAAAAAGCTGTTGAACTCTCGAATGACTGCGAAGCCAGACAATCAATAATCTGCAAGAAATTGCATGAATGAAAACGATTGAATGTGAGAGTTGATAATAAAGGGCAATCCCGACTTGAAAGGAAGGTGAAGAGATAGAGGGATAGGAAAAAAGAGGGGAAAAAACGCGTGTGGGCACAACAAATAAACAAACAGCGTGTAGATATAGATAACAGCACGACGTGTTTAGCAAAAGCCCACCAAAACTCACCCTTGCAGTATTGATAACGACTCGGCTCCCAGGTCTGATGAGAAATTGAGATTCCCGAGGCTGGTTTGTACAAACTGTGGTCGAGAAGTTGTACAGAAGAAGCTGATACGATATTGATTGGTTCAAAGAAAGGCTGAATGAACTCGGACCGACAAAAGGAACCCAATAAATGGTAAATAGTTTAGCTCTAGAATACCGAAAAGAAAACTGACAGTGGCTCAATAAAAAACACTGCTGTAACGCAAAAGAAACTCACTGATAGTCAACAGAACCCCAAAACTAGTTCAAGGCGCTGACTGCCGGGACACTTGGTATCTGCTTTGTCAAAACAAAAGGAAAAACAAGGTCAGAAGAAAAATTTCTCCGCCATGAGCCAAGAAACGAATCAAGTTTTGCTAATGGGGAAAATCTAGTCCGTGTGTGAGAAAAACGCGTCTTTGATTACGTCATTGGCGCGTCATAATCTTTCAGCCCCTGTGCTGTGCTCCACAACACTTCGCTTTTCTCAGTTCTCAAGGTTCTTTCTTTTATGCCCCGCGCGACTACTCTGCTTCCCAATTCACTGCTCGACTTTCCAATGCAAAAGATGCCTGCCGGTTGGTTTTGGGGGGTTTAGTAATTGTCATTCGTGTTGAAGACTGCGCTGATATCTGCCAAAAGCTTGATTTTCCGAGCTACGCTGCTGATAGCCATATAATCTTCTGATTCAGAGTCTATTCAGGTTCACAACCGGTAACTTGCGCGCTAAAAATATAGGTAATATTACAGAGTTAAATCATTCATCGACTGTCATTGGCTGGTTTGATAAACAGCGGTAACAGACAGCAACGGAGACAGGAGCAACAGCTAACGTAGAGCTCGGGTTTCGGAAATGAAAGGATTTCTCATCGCAAGAGTCATACTGTGCCAATGATTTCGTGCTTAAAAGCACCTACCCCCACGATGAGTGAAGTAGTGTTTTGCTATGTTCAAACGTGCGCTGTGACACACAGCTATACAGACAAATGTGCAGCGCATACTTATCCAAAGGCTGAGATTGATACAATGATAGTGAGGGAAGCACGGTGATAAGCTCAAGTACATATTCCACTCGGAAATGAAACAACAAGGCACCAACAACACCGACCCGCTAACGAAAAAAAAACGGGTGAGGTGACGCAGGGTGACGCGAAGATCAATTCCTGTCTTCAATCTGCTTCATTCATTTGTTGAATCCGTAGGATGCGGACACATAAGGACACATAAACGTTTACATGGATGGATAGCGCGCAATGTTCGCGATTACCTTGCGAATTATTCCGCCTTGATCTGAATCAGCTGCCTAAGAGTTACGTCAACTGTATCAAACATACTCTAACTTCTAGTCGATGCCATCGTTGGATAATATATCCCTCCCTCCGTACGCATATAACATAACTTCAAAACCCAAGAGAGATAAGATTTAATTTTAATTACACAGGTCATTGTAAATTAACAACAGGACTCCGGACTACTACCTGGGTCTTCTCTAGTAAACCCGTTCAGAAAGCGATAAGAAAAAGCGCTGCAAAGACATATGCATGAGGGGACAGCGGGAGGACATCTGACTCGGAGGATTTGATCGGAAGTTCTCGGGAAAGGCCTTAGAAGGCCTTGAAGAGTCGAAAAGTACACTGGCCTCCGACTCTGTCGCTCTGTCAGAATCTTAAAAAGTACTTTAGGCAAGAGGTTACGCTTGGTAACGGCGAGGGATTCAAATAACATTCAAGTTGACCGTGAAGGCTATCTATTTTTCTTCGAGGGCGCTGGTTCAAATCCTACCAGCGTCGCACCAAAGGATTATTATCATTATTATTTCTCATATATTCGATTGAACCTGACTGAACGCGTTTTTTTGCTAAATGTTCCTGATCCTGATCCTTCTGATTGTCTAAGTTTGCATATATACACACACCATAGGGATCACTGATAGAGGAATTCGGCATTGATTCGGAGGGTAGCTTTAACTTGAAGCACATCTATCGCATACACATCTATCTGATACTATCTTAGTCTATGTATGTACGAGGCTAGGCTAGACAAAGACCAGGGGCGGACCTCCAAAATAGGTTTCCACAGATTTCCACCTGTTTTCATCTGTTTCCAGCCCCGCGCTCCAGACCCCAGACTCCAGACTTCAGACTCCAGAACTGCCAGTGCCATGGTGGAATTGCGTGGAATTGCGATTGGATTGCCAGGATTGGAATTTGGTGAGCTATTCGAGTCTCGAGTCTCGGGAGGAGGAGAAGGAGGGCGGACTTTTAAATATTCATAGGCTATGTGGAACAGAGAAGATGACTCGATGAGCCTGTTGGACAGGCGGCCAGACTGAGATGACTTGGGAAAAATAGAAGGATACCTAGTCTACTGTATGCATTCATATGTACATACCGCGAGCCATGCCATATTCCAGGTCGGATTCGAATAGCATGAGTCTAGGTGATGAACAGAAATCACTGAGGAAGACCAGAGACTTGAGAAGAGGAGGAGGGCGGACCTTCAAATATTCATATTTACACTCAGGCTGGCACTAGAAAAATAGAAGGGTTCTTTACTCTACATTCATATACATGCCATGCCATACCTCAGGTTGGATTCGAATGGTGGACCTCCAGGTAAATCGTGATGAACAGAAATCTTGAAGGAAGACCAGAGACTAAAGAATGGGATTGCGTGGAATTGCAATTGATTTCTTGAGCCATTCGAGAGGGAGGAGGAGGGCGGACCTTCAAATATTCATATGCACTGGAAAAATAGAAGGGTACTCTACTCTATATTCATAGATGCCATTAGTCTCCATTAGTACCTCAGGTCGGATTTGAATGGTGGACCTCCAGGCGATTCGTGATGAACAGAAATCAAGGAAGACCAGAGACCAAATAAGGGCTATATGTCAGAAGGTTATACATAAGTGTCGGTCGGAGACAATACGAAGACACAGGATTGTACGTAGAACAGTCACTGAAATTTTCTCTTTCAAGTCCCGACCTCAAAACTGGTCAGAAGCGCTAGCCGAGTCAGAAGCCGAGCGACTTGGAAGGTTGGTATTTGCTAGCTAAAATAATCTCGGTACCTGCTAATGAATTAATGGTTCCGAGGTGAGTGTTACTCATGTTTATCTGAATGAGAAAGTCGAGAAAATTACTAATACCTAGCTTGGTAGAAGCTATCACGAAAATATAACTCAGGCTTTTATAGACTTTTATGTCCTCCTATGTGAGTCGCGGCAGTGGGTGGCTTTCTGTAAGGATTATTGGACAGTCAGTAGAGAGGCATCCGGTCCTAATCCGGACTCCCTATGTAGATGGTTCTGCGCAGCGTATCAACTCTCCATCTGTCGCATCAGACCGGCTCGAGAATTATTTACCCAGATTATTGGGCCAAGACTTATGGGAACTTGGAGGTCATTCAGTCATTTTATTCGTCTGGTACTAGAGGGTACTAGCTGTACCTGCTCAGTAGTAAATTGTAAACATACTGTTTACTACGGACATGCATATAGTCACATCTGTGACACATCACACTATGTATATATACAGTACTACCCTCTTAGATAGCTCTCTCTCGCTTACTTCCATCTATTCAGATAGAGTACTCTCCTGTATCCGATATCTCTCTCATCTTTCCTCGCTCTCTCTCAATCATAGCCGATTCCTAGTATTTGGATCCTCTGTGAGTTCCGACCAGTGTTACCTGCGAGAGCAGGTTTCCATCAGTGCTTAAGTGCCGGTAACTACATAGACGGAACAAAAAAGGGGCATTCAGGTCTTCCGATCAAGCAAACCTTAGCGGGCCGTTCCTGAATAGGGTTCCAATCTCTTTCGTTCCCCGCGTTGTCCTCCCCAAATCCTCATTAAATTTGATGAATGAGCAGTTCAACAATCACTGTGACTGTCCTGATCTCCAATCACGACCAGGAAAGCTTCATTATGCAAGTCTGTATAAGTAGTCTGTGTCGCAACCCCCCCTTTAGTCTCCTTTCTGTTAAAGTTCCGACGGCCGATGTGAGTTAGAAATCGTACACAGGAGATCGTATGAGTATAGGGAGTATTTGATATCCTGTCCATACGAGGTACACACGGAACAAAATATTCGTCATCACCAGGACGCCAGGAGGCGCGATTTAAAACTGTGCACCCTGAATCGACTTTGACCGCTTCCCCCTTCACTCCTTACACCCATTCGCATTCCCGTCATGGTGGTGTCCGCAAGAGTGGATTATGCCGCTGCGTCTATCATGTTTCCTTCCAAAGGGATGCAAGCACTGAGTTTCCTGATTTACATTTTGGGTAAGCTTGATTTCCTCCCCCCCCATGTTCCGTGGTTGTAATTATGCTTTTTCACCGTAGGGGTATCGATCCTCTCACATTGCTTATCGCGCCGTTTGGCTGCGGAAGAATGGACATCTTGGAACTCAATTAAGGAGATGACCTGGGCGCGAGTCTGCATTCTACTCATTTTCCTCGACTCGTGGTTGTTCCTCTTCGCTAGTGAGTAATCAGGAGTAATCGCGTCCAACCATTATACACATTAATAAATTCATTTAAAGGCGGTATCCTCACATTCGGGGTGGGCTTGGAGAGTAAAGAGATCGTTTGCGAATTAGCCATCTATCTGTGTATCATCTTCTATGCGACGTCGAAACTCCTTATCTACTCTTTTTTGGGTTAGTGGGGTAAAATTTCTTGAAGCTGGGGATCACTACTGATTTTTTCGTTACTAGTCGAAAAAGTGTACCTTGTCTGGAGTCCGACAGTTTCCAGCCCCCAGAGATTGAAGTCTCCTATCTACTTGGGCTGTGTCGCCATGATTACGGTATACGCAGGAGTTATTGCCACGATGTTTGCAGGTTAGTTGGTTTCTTTGTTATTCTTAACATCCAACTCTCATCGGATGACAGGCAAGATCTTTTTCCTAAGAGAGTCCGATGGAGTCTGCATCATTGGTCTTCAACAATATTCCTCGCTCGCATTGGTGGTATATGATTTGTACGTTGACCTTACCGTTTAATACTACCTACTCATGACGATCACTATTCAGAATTATCAATATCGTTTTGACCCTCCTGTTCCTCTGGCCCGTGTTCAAGGTCAATTTGGTGAACCCTCGTCTCAAATCGGTGGCCACACGCACTATGTTGGCTTCAGCTGTCGCGCTCACGACGTCCACTGTAAGTTACCGTCGTTTATTGACGTTCAATTGAATTCCTTAGGCTGACACTTCCATAGGTCAACATGCTAGTTCTAGCACTGGTAAATACGGTCTCTTAGATGAAGTGATTGCCATTTTTACGCGTTCTACAGCTCAAAGGACATGAAAATGGATGGATCTGCTTAGGATCCTGTGGTGCCGACGTAAGCTGTATAACCTACCATCCGTTGACTCTCTAAACACACGATTTCTAGGTCATTTTCAATGCTCTAGCTATTTTCTGGGTAACAAAACGAAGGAGTCAAACCTATAATTACCCCAGCTCCATCGGACCAGGTGTCAACGCCGTTCGTGAAAGTAGACGTCCTCCAGAGGTCAAGATGCATGGCGAAACCCCGAATGATTTTGTGGTCAGTTCAGGGTCTCCACCGACACCTTGGCAAACTCCTACTTTCAACGTCGATGCCCACCAGACACCCACTGTCATCGGCCCAGCTCCCACTTCTCCAACGTCTCGCAAGCCCAAGTATAGTCTTGCGTTCACGGCTCCCAGAGAATCGCGTTTCGAGGACATTGAGATGCGTAACCAGAAGCCTTCATTGTTTCGGTCCATGACGGGAATGTTCCGCAACGAGCGCCATCCTTCAGAACACGCACTTCAGGTACTTAAATTCGTTGTATCAAATTCTGATCATTTGACTCATGAGTTTTTAAACAGGTTACAGTCACCACGATGATTACCGACGATGTTGAAGCTGGAAACGAGGTTAAACTTTCGTCTAATGAAGAATCCGAATCCCATGTTGACAGAAAATGAGATCGGATCCTTTGACGAGTTCCAGTTCTTCGACTTACGACGTTGCCACCAACTTGACGAGGTATATATTTGCTATCTATAACTATTGATTCTTTCTTTGTATACAGTCCGTTCCTTTCCGACCTGTTGTCTCAAAAGCCTGTTTGCACAATTCCCAGCAATAACTTCAACCATACTGTCTATGTAGCGGTAAAACCAAAGTGCGAAAACAATGTATGTAGGTAGATAAAAGCGAATCAAATTGAAGGTGTTTACATTGTGTACATGCCCATACATGCCCAAGATACGAGGAGAGATATAAGTTATAGAAATCTAGGTGAAATAAATGTTACAACAGCAGATTGTATACTGCAAGATGAGTATACACAAAGGTATACAAAATTACAGAATGAGAAGATGATGTCCAAATGTAGGAGACGATAGAGATATGATATGTATATGTTACTGCATGAAAATCAGCAGCGACATCAGTTACGCCCAACCCCACATACGAGGAGGGGTATTTTTTGGAAAACAAGAGAATGAGGGTGATAAAGAATAAACGAGGAATAAAAATGGCCGCTACTACCAACTAATCGACGTACTCGGATGCACACATGGGCTTACCCTCCAATCTCCAAGCCAAGATTGCCTTTGTGAATAACAGGAGGATGTTCGTCCCGTTTCCAATTTTGATCAGGAAGCCCAGACGAAGGCATCCCAGCAAAGCACCATTGCTGCACGAACCAATTATATAACGATTCCGAGTTCGCCTCAGCGGGAGGGTTAGAGATGCTCGACGGAGATGCAGATTTGGAATTGGGCGGAGATGCAGCAGAAGAAGGCGTTAGATCTGGTGGGGTCGTAACTATGGATAAATGGCCTCGAGGTGAGGGATGCGTGGGGGGTTGTGACCTGGCAGAAATGTTGGATCGTGTGTCTGGCATTGACGATGATCTCTGCAAGGCGCCAATTATTTCTTTCTCTTCGCTTTGACTAGGAGCGGTCGAGGATGTGGGAGCCCCAGGAGCAACATAATTTGATAAACTGAATCTTCTTAGTCTCTGAGCAGTTGCTTGCGCGATGGCTTCCGTTCGTGCCGGGGAAGGCGGATTGGCAATTGGAACAAGGGGAGCAGATGAGGGAGCAGTCGAGATAGAGTTCGTTAACGAAGTGGGTGATGACGCAGTAGCTTCAGTCAACGAAATCGCCGGAGGAGAAACGGTCGGAGAAGAGAGAACAGAATTTTGTGACAGTACGGCAGCGAACGCTATATTTGTCATTAAGAAAGGAAAAACCCACATAACTTCATTGAACGCACCTGCAGAAAGATCGGCTGGATTTTGAACATCTGGATCTGTATTGAGAAGCCGGAACTTCACCCGCCAATTCCGTCCTCCGCAGTTGTCCCAATGTTCTCCTCCAGGTACAGTGTACCTTCCGACAAAATAAATAACCTTGGAAGGAAGCGATGCCAAAGTATAGTCAGAGAGATTGATGCAAAACGTAAACCGATCCCAGGAATCGGTATCCCTCAATGACGAACGCTGAGTTAAAAACGGAGAAGAGAAGTTGGCAGCCCAATTAGCTTTGATTTCACTGACTGTGCTCCAATCGTCTACCGTAAACCTAACGGCAACATCCTTCTGATAATTTATATTGCGCACAATGAAGGCGCCCTGTAGGTGGAGCTTATCATCGGGTACAGATGCAGATAGCGAGATAGACTCTAAAAGGATATTGGTAAAGGGCGAAGGAGGAATGGAAGATGGGTCAGGAATTGGATATCCAGTCATATCTAACTCCAACTTTGTCGAACCCTTCCGGTACTCCGAGGCCCCGACTGCTGGCGTAGGAGGCCAAATAGAGCTGTTCGAGGATAGAGGAGAATTAGCCATCTTTGGAGAGGGAAAAGATCCATTAGAAGGTCGGGCCGTATTTCCTCGATATGCATATCCCCAGTCACTACCACGATCTGTCTCTGTCTCGGTTTCCGTTTCTTCCCCTTGGGCTCGCACGGTGAGCAAGGATGCGGGCTTCGCGGATTTATGAAAGATGCGCACACGCTCGAGATGTGTGGACAATGAAGGAAAATGCACAGTTTTTGGAGTAGTCGGCGAAACCGTTCCAGAGCCAGGGGCAGATGGATTAGATACTGAACTATTTGAAGATGAAGATGAATGATCGCCAACTAATTCGTGTCCCGGAGTAGTAGGCGCGGAACTTGCCCGCTGATGACTCGAGTGGATGCGGTGTGCATGATGAATCGCATGAACATGCGGGTGAAGATTAGACGCTGAAGAAGAAGATTTCAACGAGCTTTTTAGAGGCCGTCCGTTAGATATGTGTGGTGAGGATGTTGAACGTGTCGGCGATGGCCGTAAAGGAAGAGTGAAGGCAGTGCCGTCCTGTGGTGAATATTTGTAAGGCGAGTAAATAGGATTCGAAGCCGAGATGGGTAATTGGGGGGTGTTTGAATCGTTAGGGGAGAGGAGGAGACTTCCGGTTTCAGATATTGGGGAATTTAGTCCAAGAGGACTGAGAAGGCCACTTGGGACACGAGTTGGTGAAGGAAGTGGAGAACCGAGTACTGGAGAAGAAAGAGGCGAAGAGCGAGGGAATGGTACACCATTAAAAGATGGCGATCCAAGACGGTTGACCCGTAACTTTAAAGGAGGGATGGCATATGACCTATCGTCATCATGGTCGTCATGGTCGTTATCGCCGACGTTAGTTTTACGCGGTTGATTGAGGTTAGAAGGAGACTCTTTGCCGCGATATTCGTCGTCGTCGTCGTCGTCGTCAGATGAATCGCTCGAGGACACTTCGGGACTTGACTTGAAGTGAAATCGTTTTGCTGTTGCGCTGGTGGCACGCGGATTACCAATTAAACTAGGTCCTGAACTTCGTCGAGGTAAGCTGCCGAGGGGGGTAAACGCTCCTGGACCGATTTCGTTCGAAAATTTATACGAAGGCGCGGGATGAGAGGACAAGGACCTCGTATGGGTCGGAGGTGAAGTAACAGACAGGGAGGTAGGCGGTGGTGTTGGGACAGAGTAAGGCATTCAGACTAAGGTAAATGGTTAAAGAAAGCAAAGCAAAGTTGGAAGGATATAAAACGTACAAGGACCTTTATATATATAGACTACTTCCTTCGAACTGGACCGTAGATATTATTGTTCCCCACAAGAATAGTACCCGGCCAGTTGCGATGATGGAAAAAGGAGTGGGGGAGAAGGAGGTGGAGGAAGGAAGGAAGTAAAAAGACGTGAGACAGACCAGACCAGATCGTTTGTCTATTTATTGTGGTTTTGCAAAAATGAAATTTCCAAAGCCGTCGGACTTCAAAAGTCTGTGATGAAGGTTGATTCCTGTTGTTTCGGGGCCAGGCTCTATTTAAAACATAGCCTCTGATAGATATAGGCTTAATTGATTCACCGGTGCGAAAGTCCTGGAAGATGGCTCAAGCGGAAGAAAGATTAGGGAAGATCTCCACATTTTTTTTTTCAATTGGTGTGCATACCGAGATAAGAGATAAGGCCGACTCAACTGCATCTAGCCTCTATAAGTGACATCCCAGACTGCATCTAGAAACTTCGTCGTTGGAAGTCGGGGGTCGCTTTGAAGCGCCACCTCCAAATCGGAAGAATGAGGATAATTTGTGGAGTCAAACGTCAGTTGGGTGCTGGTTGACGAATCCTGAATTCTCTTCGACAGCTTCCATTGCATCTAGTGAATATAGGTATGAGCTCTCAATTTTGGTACTCACACCACTTATCTTTGTATGAAGTCAGGAACTAACCTCATGAGATTGTGAGAATCAACGTCGAAGAACTTGTTAAGAACTTGGCAAGGCCCTTTACCGCCTTCCATCTTCGAAAGACTTCCATCTTCCATCTTTCATCTGCCAATCCCTTCGTTACCGAGCGTGGGTACGAACGTTCTAATTGCAAAATCAGTATTACCCAAATTGCCGAACCGCGGTAAAAATAAATTTGCAGTATTGTTGAGTATCCCATAACATACACAGCCATCTGAATCAAGAGGCGAAGTCTTGTCTACTCCAAAGGCGCATTGGCAAAATGGCTAGAGATGATAAGAAGAACGGTGAAGAAAGTTCACTGCTCCACAGTACATCGAGCTTATTAGCCCTCAGGAGCCCTCTCTACGATACTTTGACAGTGTGCGCGGCGGGTTTTGAGTGCGTCCACGGAGGTGAGGAAATCTTTCATTAGCATCCAATCTTCCATGGATAAAATGCATCCTTTCGCCCATCAGTTGTGTAGTCCTTAATCTGGAAGGGTGATAAAAACACAAAGATGCTTTCAGATGGTATCATCAAGGCGACTTCTTCGCAGAACGATTGTGTGCATCGCAAGGGTCACTTGGTCTGCGCGGGATGCCCATGTCAATATTGAATATATCATAGACTTTTAAGCTTCACGAAATGGCGCAGAGGGAGTTGGACACAATATAAAGATTGATATTCGTGTATAAACTGTGCGTGTCTGTTAGTGGAGTTTCGAGCTCATAGTGACGTACCTCTTGGCTTAACAGAAATCCGCTAGAAAACAGTCCCGTTACTGAACGAAATATTGTTCGACACGTCTACAGCATTTTAAAGCCCCCGACTTTCGAAAACAGAAAAGGAAAAGATGGAATTATAGAGGAAGAGGAACGTGTGTGTCGGCGTGAATGCGTGAGAAATCCGGTAGCGGCCACTCGAGCTTCTTCGACTTCGGTTCTGAACTTCACCTCACTTCGATACACCATCTTACACCATCCAGCTAGGCCATTACCATCTAAAACGTGTTTGGAGATACTGAATTTGTAGTATAATAATAACGCGGTGCGCTTCGTGGTGGTGTTCTTCGTCAAGTTATCTTAGGCTAGCAGAAAAGCAAACTTACACGAATTCACTACATATCTATCGCTGCACATTCAACATATAATATACATCACACCAGTGCAACAACAAAAACCCACAAATCGATGACAGCCATGACATATCCGTAAACCATGACCGCATCACAAATTGACACACGCCTTTTGCAACAAACACAATGTCCTTACCCAAATTTCGAGTCGCTTTGAGAGGAGAAGCCCTTTTAGCTCATCCTCGCTTCAATAAAGGCACTGCATTTACTGCATCGGAGCGAAAGGCGTTTGGACTCACAGGAAAACTGCCTTATCGCATCAACTCACTCGATGAACAATGTCAACGAGCCTATGATCAGCTTCAATCTCAAACCACCGATATAGGGAAGAATTCTTTTCTGCAAAGTATGAAGGATCAGAATTGGGTCTTGTTCTATTCGCTATTAACGAGGCATTTGAGGGAGTTGATTCCCATTATCTATACCCCTACGGAGGTGTGTCGTTCGTAAATGTGGAGCCTGTTGTTCGATCTGACTTTTTTGCTGCTTTGCTAGGCTGAAGCAATCGCCAACTACTCCCATCTTTTCCGCCGAAGCGAGGGCCTCTACTTGACGTTCGCTAATCGTGACTCCATGGAAGAAGATTTCCTTGAGGCAACAAAAGGCAAGAGTATCGACTTATTCGTTTCTTCCGACGCAGAGGCGATCCTTGGGATTGGAGACCAGGGTGTTGGAGTGCGTTACCTACTTGCGAGTTTACTTTGATATGTCGTTCTGATGGTTGTGACTTTAACAGGGGATTGGTGTATGTCTCACGTCCAATGAGCTACCATCAAACTAAATCCGCTTCCTATAATAGATATCGGCTGCCAAATCTGTCATCTATTCGTATGTAGATGCCCTTTCATTCGAAAATATCTTATACGACCCGTTTGTGAACGTAGGCTTATCGGTGGAATCGACCCGTCTAAAGCGATTGCCGTTACCCTCGATGTCGGCACTAATAATGAAAGCCTTCTCAACGACCCCTTATACGTGGTATGACCACCTCCCTTCTTCGCATTCGACTAAATATCAATTGTTTCCGGAAGGGATGGCCCCACGAACGGATCCGTGGCAAGGAATACGATGATTTTGTCGACAAGTACGCGTTCCCAAAATCCATCCTTCTTTATCAACTTAGCACCTCTCTTCTTTCCAGATTTGTCCAGTTAGTCCGCAAGTACTTCCCGCACAGTCTTCTCCATTTTGAAGACTACGGTGTAACCAACGCGCAACGACTTTTGCAACGTTACCGAGATACGCATGCAGTATTCAACGACGACATGTCAGTTTCCTACTTCCCCTGTTCATATATGTCTTTTTTTGACCTCACCGTAGTCAAGGAACTGGTGCAGTCACTCTCTCCACGCTAATGGCTGCCATCGGCGTCACAAAATCCAAGCTCTGCGACCAACGTATCATCATATACGGTGCAGGCTCTGCAGGCCTAGGAATCGCTAAACAACTCCGAGACGCCATGGTCTCCATAAACAACATTCCCGTCGAGGAAGCCAACGCACACTTTTGGCTTATTGACAAACACGGATTGATCAGAGAGTCTCTACCAGATGTTCGCGATGACCTCAAGGAATATGTGCGGAAAGACGCTGAGTGGGAAGAGTTTCAGTCAAATGGTGATATAAAGTTACTGGACGTGGTAAAAAAAGTCAAACCGACAGTGATGATTGGTACCTCCACCCATGCTGGTGGTTTCACTAAAGAGGTCGTTGAGGCCATGGCGGCAGGATGTGACAGACCTATTATATTCCCTTTGTCGAATCCTAGTAGACTCGTGGAGGTGGACCCGAGAGATGCGAATGATTGGACGAAAGGGAAAGCGCTGTTGGCAACAGGAAGTCCATTCCCCCCTGCAAAGATGCCTAACGGGAAAGATTATATGTAGGTCTCTTCCGTCCTTCATTTAAAAACGATCTGACCCGCCGCTCGTTCCTCCTTCTCAGAATTGCTGAATGCAACAGTGCGTCCTTCGAGTCTTCACATTACTACTATAACCTAATGCACTAGTTTACAGACGCTCTCATCTATCCTGGTTTAGGCTTCGGCTCCATGATCAGCCAATCTCGTATCATGACGGACACTATGATCATCGCTGGGGCACGTCGGCTCGCGTCGTTGTCCCCCGCTCTCAAAGACCCCGATGACGCCCTGCTGCCTGATTTTGGCGACGCGCCTTCGGTCAACTTTGAAGTCGCTGTGGCGGTTGCTGAACAAGCCATCGAGGAAGGTAGTGCGGGGGTGGATTGGAAGAAGGAGGAAGTGAGGGAGAAGGCGAAGGAGAGGCTTTGGCAGCCTATTTACGGGGAGTATGTGTATGATGAGAACGGAGATAAGTGAGGAGGGAAAGGAACGATATTGACACATAAATACTTGTACTTTTACATGTAGGTCTATAGATGTTAACATGGGAAGGAAGATTCCTGGTATCTTTACATCATGCGCACGTACAGGACTCCTATAATCATTCCGTTATCCTTATCTATCGCTCTATCGCTCCCACTATCAACATGTCGTACTCCATCTTCTGCGTCGGACACCCATTAATTGACATGCAAGTTCGGGAAGCAGAAGATCTTCTAGCTAAATATAACTTGAATGCCAACGACGCTGTTCTTGCTGGCGTTGAACACGAGTCGATGTGAGCAACCTCGTGTGCTTGACTCACTACGACCGTGTTAATCGATAAATGGACAAAATGTCAGCTACGACGAGCTGGTACGAGAGCGTCAGGTCGTTTATGTGGCAGGCGGAGCGGCGCAGAATACAGCTAGAGGCGCAGCGGTGAGTGTGTAAGTAGATGTGGCAGATAGCAGAGCTAATTAAACTCTTTGCCACCAGTATATTCTTCCTCCGAATTCGGTGGCATTCGCTGGATGTGTCGGTGACGATAATTTAGCTGAACAGCTCAGAGCAGTGAACAGACATGATGGAGTATTAGACGTTTATCAAGTTAAGAAAGGGCAGAAAACGGGAGCGTGTGCTGTCTTGATAAGTAATGGGCACCATAGGTGTGGGGATCCCATAAAGTTTTCTGATAATTTCAAAACCGAATAACCTGAGTCAAGGTCTCTGGTCACTACTCGGCGCTCGTCGAATGATCTTGATGAAGAACACTTCTGGTCGCCGACCGTGGCGCCTTTGATCAACTCGGCCAAAGTCATTTATCTCGAAGGTTTTCTTCTCACATACAGACCAGAGGTTTCGATAAGTTTAGGCAAGAAGGTGTCTGAGGCTGGGAAGGTATGTTATACAAGATCATTGTCTATAGAGAATGGGCGTACCCATCGGTAACTTCTCTAGATCCTTGTGCTCAATCTATCTGCACCATATATACCTCGGTCATACAATGCTCAAATCCAAGAAATCGCGCCATATTGTGATATCATCATCTCCAATGAAGCAGAAGCGGAAGCATGGGCAGCCTCCAACGACCATCCAGATCCCACCAATATGCCGGCGGTCGCGAAAGCTATTGCATTACTCCCCAAAGCCAACGCTACTCCGCCCAGAATCGTAATCATTACCCACGGCGCCCACTCTACGACACTAGTATCTGCAGATACCCCTGATTCTCCGAAGACATATCCTGTGCATCCATTGAAGGAAGAAGAGATCGTAGATACGAATGCAGCTGGAGATGCGTTTTCCGGTGGATTTTTGGGTGCGTATGTGTCGGAGAAAAGTATAGATGTGTGTATAGAAACTGGCCATAGACTTGCTGCGATGTGCATTGGGCAGGTGGGTCCTTATTGCCTTTATGTAACACTGAGGAGGTAATCAGATTTTTTCAGGAGGGCCCGCAGTTCAAGTGGCCAAAGGTGAAGATTTTGTAGAGGAAAGCGATGAGAGATAGCAATGTTTCTAGTCGCTGAGAGCATCATTCCAGGTTGACTCGTCACTAGGGTGAAAGGTAGTACAAATCGAGTGACGCGTGGCAAATACTTTGGGAACCAGGGTTGTCTACAATTATTCCTTGTAATAAATGTTGTGTAAGTATAGCAATGTATGAACTGCGGTTGACGGAGGGGATCGAATATAGTGCAGGGTCACAATGTCACGAAATTGCACGTGTACATGTGACAAACGCGTTTGCTTGATTTTCTCCGCTCATTCAAATTTTCTACTTACATACATACATCTACAAGATGCCCAAGACCCGCAACGAAAGCTCCGGTCCACGAGGACCCTCGAAGAAACGCAAGGTTGACTCTGAAATCGATAAGCCCAAGAAGGCGAGCTCGCGTTTGAAGCAAACCGAAAGTTTTGTAGCGAGGACGACTCAGTCAAAGGCCAAACTATCGATGCTACCAACCCTGAACTTGGATATTCTTTTTGAAGTGCGTTGCGCCTCTGTTTATTTGTCTAGACTCTATGGCGCTAATCTTTTATCCGACTATGTAGATTTTCAGCCACCTTTTACCGATCGACCTCATCCATCTGGCACGAACGACCAAGGACTTTCGGCGTCTTTGTGAGTAGTACGCCTTCATCTGGACTTTATCACTGTGCTGAATGAGCTCTACCGATAGTGATGCAGAGAAACACTACCACAATCTGGAAGTCGGCGTTCGCTCAAATTCAAGAACTGCCCCAATGTCCTTCAGATATGTCCTACCCGGCATGGGCTCACTTGGCATTCGAACAAGTTTGCCATGTACGTGTCTCTTTCAAATGCATTTCAATCATGACCTTCACTTCGGTTTATCTAGAACTGCTTCACAACAAATATTCGCAATATCAGCTGGATTCTACGAACGCGTCTTTGTAACCGGTGTGCTAAGTCCTGGTATGCATTAATTTTGAAATCTTTCTTTTCGCTTTGTTCTAACGTGAATTCCTCGTAGCCTTGAGAACGTCGACAAGTTTGATGCTGAGAAAAACGAAGTTGATAAGGACATTTTGGAATGTGTACCGTTCGACGATGATTACTGTGGAAGTTAGTTTTTTCTAATTGAGGTCCCTCCACATCTTTTCTGATCACAGATTTTAGTGGAATGTTGTCTTAAATCCGATCGAAAGCGGTTTGTTGAGGAACTCGAAGCGCACAAACACGATCGAAAGGATTTCGTTGAGCAGAAGATGACAGAAATTCCAGTGAGGATTGACGTACGAGTTTTGCTTGGGAATCCGTCGTTTCGTGTGCTGACGAAACCAATGCACTTTAGCACGCTATTGATTGCGAAGACTGGTCGGAATCCTTGGCTAACGGCAGAGCGAACGAGTTGCAGCAAATAAGAACAGATAGGCGCAACGCGTGAGTTTCATTGCTTGATAATTCGTGATAGGGCTTGAGAAATTGACACAATACACTTCAGAATCTCAGCAAAACTCTTCGAGATGGGGTACGATAAAGAGCTTGATTTCTTGACAGCTGAAAGACTGGAGGATGTAGAACACTCGGACTACATCCCTTTCCACAAGCATCCCCTTGTTAAACAGCCAAAACCATTCAAAGATAAAAGTACGAGTCAGTGATCACCGAATTTTCTGATACTGACACTTACTCGTAGATTGGGACTCTATGAAGGATACTCTTAAGGACTACATGGAGATTGTCAGGGCTTACATCAAAAAGAAGGAACGCAAAGATTTGATTTGGAAGCGGAGAGAATACGCAGCCCTTGCGTGGTTCGACTACCGCATAGTTGAATGTGACCCAGGAACCTTCCTCCCAAACCAGATCGATATTTGGCTTTGGTCCCCGGTCAAGGATATTATCGAACAACCGTCCGAGATCGAGGTCACCAAAGACTCCTTCGAATATGCATTCAGGGGCCTACCTGCATTCACCAACGCCTGGCAAACAGACAAACTGGAACAACTTATTCGTGTTGCTAACAACAATCTCAAATGGCTGTCGTTTCCCGAAGCTAACGACCTAGAGCGCGCTACCTGCGTTTTTTCATGTTCGAATGACTTTCAGCATAACTTAATGGGATGCTACCAGGAAGACGAGTCATGCATTATGTGGTTTCCTGAATTTATTTATCATCGGTGTAACTCTTTGTCGCGCAGGCGTTGGGGGGATAAGGACGAGACGATAACAGATTTAGATTCGTGCCAATCGCTATCGGCCGAATCGGAAGCACCAGGGTTCCGACGTAGGCAATGGTCCACCCGATGGCTGTTTTTTGACGACAAGGCTTCCCGGACTGTTAAAAACATCCTGACCGCCTGCAGGATGCCCCTGTCGACAAAGGTTCAGCACCTCGATAGAGAGGACCCCAGACTGGTTTGCTTGAAGTGTAGCTTTGGAGCGAAGTGCGACGGGGAACGGTTGTTTTCTGTCATGACATGGCGAACTGCGGTGAGACGGCCCTCGAGGAAGGCAAACACCGCATTTCTGACTCTGAGTTTCAACATAGGTTCAGCACAATCTGAAGAAACACTTCGGGGATGGCCAGACGACCTTCCAGCGCATATCAAGTCTTGATGTTCTTGAGGTGAAGCGGCTAGAAGCTGCAGAACCAGCTAGGCGAATCTCAGCGCTCCCCAATCACCCGCAACAACCAATTGACAGGCCGTGGAGGTGTACTTTGTGCAGAGATCGATCAGTAGAGAAAGGGGCGCTCACCCTCGTTGAGATGAAAAAGCATTATACCAGATGGTGTGTATTTTATCCGCGTACGGTTGGCTGCCCCGAAGTTGAAGCTTTTCATTTAGTCACGGTGGAATGAAGGTCACGATAGAGGAGGGTGCAGATTATTATCGGTCCTACGACCGTGCACCTTCTCAGCCTTATCAAGTGCGAATGAAGCCGAGGGATCCAGACGTCGATCCTCAACCTGGTCCAATGTACATAGCTGCAATCTAGTAACCTACTTCTTGAAATATTAAGCGCCAGAGGTTAGGCGCTGTAGTAAATACTCGTACACAAATTACTCTTGCATCCACCACCATCAACAACCTGCTACCTTACGACTAAGATCAAACTACGATGTCTGTTCCCGCGGCACCACCCGACGCGATGGCAAATCCCATGATCCCTCCAGAGATGACCGCTATACAGGCGGCACCAGCGGCTCCAATAGAACCGGAGATCGTCTCGGAAACGCTCTATATCCAAAATCTGAATGAAAAAATCAAAATCGATGGTTAGATACTTCAGAAAGCTGTTTTACTGTTAGCTCTTTCTCATCTCCGTTTACAGTGATTAAGGCCTCGCTGCGTGGTCTTTTCAAGACCTATGGTGAAGTTTTGGACGTTGTTGCGCACGGTAACTTGCGCATGCGAGGTCAGGCGTTTGTATCTTTTTCGGATGCGGAAGTTGCGAAAAAAGCTATGAAGGAAGTCAGAGGGTTCCCATTATACTCAAAACCTATGGTGTGTGTCCCTCAATTCCATGGTGAAAACTATTAATTAATTCATATCCAGCAAATATCGTTCGCTCGTACAAGATCTGACGCCGTGGTCAAAAAGCTAGATAATGAGCACTTTGACGAGCATAAGGCACAAAGAACTGAGCATAAGCGTATGCCTTCATGATGACGAGCCCATCGTTCTATGCTGAAAGAACGATTAGGAAAAACACGGTACTCCAACCCATTGAAACAGAAATTCAAAGCTAAGCGGCTGGCTTCAGAAAGTGTGTCTGATATTAATTAGTCTCGGTCTTTTCTAAATTCATACTTCAGTGGACGGAGCAACCAGTGCTCCAGCGCCGAAACGTCCAAACGTTCAAATGCCGGACGAATATCTCCCTCCCAACAAGATTCTCTTTCTACAAAATCTCCCGGAATCGGTCACGAAGGACCAATTACTTGGGCTTTTCAACCAGTGCGTTATCTCATTCTTATCTTACCGACTGAAAATATAACGTATCCCAGGTATCCAAATCTACACGAAGTTCGTCTTATTCCAACGAAGAAGGACATCGCGTTCGTGGAATATACAGACGAGGCCAGCTCCACTGTGGCGAAGGATGCTTTGCACAACTACAAACTCGATGGAGAAAACAAGATCAAGGTATGTCATTTTCAATCAACTAGACAGGCCACTGACTTGTTTTTCATTCAGATCACTTTCGCAAGAAAGTGATTCTCGCCAGTTGTTCATATCCATCTTTCTGCATGTGTATCTGTATATTCATACTATTCATTGTGCTTGTACGTTGTCAATCAATTCTTCGTGACTTTTCCAATACTGCATCATCGATGGTCTTGTCATTGTCACCCTTCCTTGTGCTATATTGTCGGAATACATGCCAGGTGAGTCTTATTGTATCTCACCTGGGGATAATATTTAATATATGGCATGTGCGAAATAGTTTTCCGAACATTGCTTGGTCACTGAGTGGTATGAAAAAAAGTTCCAGAAGTTTGGAACGTAAATCGTATAACTCAAGAATTGCGTAGTTTCTTGTGTCAAAGCTGCTCTCCAGGTTTCAACACAAAAACTTCAAGTTCAGTCTCAGAAGCACTTTTTACATCGTCGTCACTCTTGCCTTCTTCCACTTTTGCTTCCCGTTGCCTTCTCGCTACGTCTCGAAGACTCTCCCATCTCTCGTTCCACCGTGCTTTTGGTCTCAATACCACTGTGTGAAATTCTTCCGATTGGGTACTTCCTTCGGTTTCGAACGGATTTTCGGGACCGGCCGTACTTGTAATGTTGCGTCTCAGCCCACAGACATCGATTTGGAAGTTCGAGCCCACATCCCAGGCAGCTTCCTCAACATCAAGAGCAGCAAGTGCCTGCGCTGGTGTAGATGCAAAGAGGGTCAACCTAGAGAGAGATGGAAATTTGTTTGTATTCATCTCAGCATCCAACAGCCCCGCGCTGGCTTCAACCGAGTTACGTGTTTCTTCTGTTGTCGATGGCTCTCTGAGCTCTGTATTCTCTTCTGCTCCTTCCTCGGGTATATATTCTGGGAATTGGTCATCGAGGATCTCGCTTGGTAAGGTTGAAGTGGAGTCGTTGCACACGACTGTCAATTCTTTCAACCGAGGACATGTGAGATTCGGCGAGACCGGGATAAATGTGGTAGATTCGGAACCAGTGAAGATTGTGTTGATTACCGGAGTGGGTTTGCTGGACATCCCCCACGGAAGGGCGTTTGAAGGTGGACACGCGTAAAACATCGTGTCAAGACAAGGGAAGAACAAGGGTGAATGCGGACCTGGACCCGTGAGCGATAGATACGCTAAGGGGTCCTTGATGTTCTCGATGGCTTGGAAACCAATTTCAAGCTCATACAAATCATTTCCAACACCTCGCAAAATCCTTGCAATGACTTCCAGCAACTTCCGCTCCAAACCTGTCTTGTAACAAAATTGCGATGTCGAAAGCGGTGATAATGCGGATGACGATCCGGTGGCGTACGAACCTTCAGATAGAAGTGAGATTGGATCCTGGGGAAGCTCGTCGGCGACTAGAGTCAAGTAGCGTACGCGACTGCGCGTTTGGAAGTTTGAGAGGATGCGTTCGAATGCAAGCATCTCGCGCCAGCCGTAAATCACTACGGCTCTATGTCGTACTGGGGCGGAAGCCGCGCGAACATACTTGCAGACAAGAGACAGGGCGATTCCAGTATAGAATGCAGTGTAGTACGATGGTCCGGCGGTACATTCCTTTGTCGAGTTTGGAGTGCAGGCCAACGTGAAGATGTGTGTATGAAGCTCGAGAGGTAAGGTGAAGAAAGCATGCTCACTGCCGGTCATGGCGTTGTATTCTTGCAGAGACGATTTCGTGAGAACTTCCTGAACAAAATTTTCTGCGTACTCGAAGCTGAATGCGTAGTTTTCGAGTCAGAGATTGTGCAGGTCCTCTTATACTGGGGTGTCCCTGTGTTCTAGTAGTTTTCTAGACGGCGGCTTTTATGGTTCTAGAAGTGCTCGAAACAGTTCTCCTTTGGGCTGTTCGAGTCTCCGAAACACGTACCTAGCCTCACGGTAGCTCAAGGGTCGTCATCGAATCTGATTATCATGAGAGAAAGTTGAACGCTGCTGGCCATGACAGGTACATATATTTGGATGAGATACAGAGCAGCCTGCATCTTCTTTTCCAAAGGTCAGATGGTAGATGTGTCCGGAGAGTTATTCTACCAGCTTCTTGCGTGGATTTCCCTTCAATTCCCCGGTCAGGTGAACGATGATTTAGAAGGTTAAAATTCAGAATAACCTACATCTAAGGGCTGATCCTAGCTGCCCTAGTTTCCTATATGCTCGCCGCACAATCCGAGCTCTTATCCCGCTCTTATCTGAAGGTTCAGTTGTTCAGATGCCGTTTTAGCTTCAAAGTATCAGACAAGAACTTGCTATCAGGAACAAAATTTAGCTTTCGAGGGGCAAAAGTACATAATAGCATGACGCAGAATAGTAAGAAAACAGAAGTTGTAACGAGCAGATGATTACTCTCCTCCGTACAACGACGACAAGCATTCCGGTGAGGTCTGATTCCCGAGCAGCCAGTGAACCATGTATCTTCTGCGATGCACGGAAGATTGAAATACATATGGCCTAATAGTACAGGGTAGTGATGCAGACTTCTCACAAATTAAAAGGCATCTTCAAATTTCAGGGAGCATGCAGAGCACTTGAAGGGGCATGCTCCGATTCTCCCAGCAAATCTCGAGCATTACATTCTATCTGGCGGTTAATGAAATCAGTGGCTACGATTTACAGCCGTTGATAAAGGCGAATAGATAAGAAGGTATTAAGTACCTACCGTGTATCGGAATAGTTGTTGGATTATCTCTGTTGTTCGTACTTGTGTGTAGGACAACAAGGCTGAAAGGGCGGGGTCCACTTGTAGTGTAGCGGTGATGATACCAATTACGAAGTGTGACCTATCGGAGGATTAATTTGAATAACGAGGGGCATCATAAAACTCACGTAGTAAGGACAGAATTAGAGTATCCTGTGTATACATAGTAAAAACTCTTTGATTATTTTCGCAAAGAAGTAGGACATACATCTAGAAATAGAGAAGTAAACCCCCAGGTAGACGAAGTTACTTGGCGTGGTCAACCCACTACGCTGACCGTCAGGATAACATAAAACGCAGGCGGTGGGACACGATTATACTTACGCACACAGCTGTGACAATGACCACCGCGCTGGAAGGAATTTCGGAAAATGGGCGAGCTCATTTCTGCATGGAGCTTCCAAGTGGTCAAAAAGATACTCATCGTGTGCATTGTGGGTCCTCATGATCCCCTAGATCGCGTGGTATGAAGAGGAAAGAGGAAAGGAAGATCAGGGAAGATCAGTTCAGAAAAAAGAAGGCGAGAAAGCTGAGCAGTGCTTTGGATTTAAGCATGTACATCGGCCCACAGATATTCATTACCATGCTTGCCAGCAGAACCCAAAATACAAAGAAGCCTATTTACTGCATCGGCATGCAAAGGTTGCACATTTTGCAATTTGCAATTCCAGGCATGCAAATACAAAGAAAAAGTAGAATACTTGTCATTAAGCCTGAGCCCAGTATTGCAATGGAATACGATATTTGGACATCTCTGGAAGGGATGTAGCCCACAACGGGTTGAATTGTCCTGTTGGACATGCTTTTATGGCAAAAGCAATGTGCAGTGCAAGTTCTATTGCAGTATGTTGTGAACGAAGGTGCGCAGGGAGGGTAGTGCTAAATGCAGTCCAGAATGATTGTTCGATCTCTTGAGAATTGGGACGTAGAGAGAAAGAGTTGGTGGGGGGATCTAAAATACACATCAACCAAAATATGGCTTCAGTATCATACCCCAGTGGTCTTATATCAATGTATTCCCAGTCAACGATTCCGGAAACTGTGTCATTCTGAATGATGATGTTGGTGGAACTGATATCGCCGTTAGATATGGTCAATGGAAGGTGCTTTAGCTCAGCGTCGGTACGGAGACTATGAAGAAGTGATGCAAACAAAGGTTTTAGATCTGAGAAAGACTTCACATCCGTCTGCGCTTGAATTGCGCGTTGGAGTTGTTCTTCTAGAAGGTTGAGCCCTTGGGCTTTCTCCCCGCCTTGCGAGCTAATCAGCCCAGCAAGTTCTGCCTCTGGGATAAGCGCTTTGGCTAAAATTGTCCCCAATGACCGAGCGATGGATGGCATGCTATCAGTCGCGTGGCTACCTAAAAATCGCATGTATGAGTCAAAGCTTCTCCCCGGGACTCGGGACATCGAGTAAAAGAGTAGCTGCCGATTTGGACCATCATCAGTGGACATCAAAAAAGAGCCTGAAGGAACGAGAGAGCCAAAGGTTGAACGGGCTGTATCCAAGTTAGACAGAAGTAAAGGCCGGTCGGATGGTCGAACTTGCACGACGATCGATGTCTGGTCACCTAATTGCACCGAATAAGTTGTACTAGAGAAGCCTTGTGTTTCGAATGGCTCGATAGATAATACCGTGGTATGCGCATGGGCCTGATTGACTGCACTACGCACGAGAAATTCGTAGTTGCCTTTGGCTCGCCTCGCAGCCATGGCGGTTGTGTTCAAGATTGCTTTGAAAGTCCGCCCGGATGTGACCCATTCTGAGCGCCCACAGGCCTATCTGGCCGACACTATGCACACCATTCGGCACTTCACCTTGCTTGGTTAGGTTTCTAAACTCTTGTCGTCTTTTTTTTAATTATTACGAATTCTGTCCAGCGAAATTTTTTTCTTTTTCCGGTTTGAAAGCACCACTGACAAAGGCTTCGAAGCCTTTCTACATAGCCAATGCCAAGGGTTAGCGAACGTAAGAGGAATCATGATAGGGAAACAATTTGTCACTCATCGTGAGTTTTGGGCGGGTCAGATGCGGGTATGTATATGGGCGGTGAGTTCGATCATGCGTATGAGGACAGGATATTGTATAAGGTATATGCAGTTTCCGATTCTACAACACCGTAGATACATACTGCATTCTGTTATGTATTCTTTGGCATCTCTCGAACACTTTGCAGCCAATCCTTGACTTCCGATCCCCAACCGCCCAATCGTCTCATCTTCTGCTCTTCCGGTGCCTTCGAACCTATTCCTAAGCCCCATATCTTCATGAGTGCCGAGTGCCGCTCAATAACAACACGATGCTGGTGGAGACACCACCATAGGATACCGGATTTGGAGAAGAATGCATCGCGCACGGATTCGGGGCATCCCGGACTACATGACGACTCCAATCCGACGAGACGGAGGACGGTTCGCAAGAGGAGGCGGGGAAAGTAGAGCAGAAGGGGAGGGTCAAGCCCTGAAGTGTGTGTGCAGGACATTCTCAGAGCAAAGAAGTGAAATACACTCGACTTACAGATAATATCAGTGGCATGTTCCTGTGCAACGGCAGCTCCCTTCCGAGCATATTCACCTTCAATTACCCAGCCATTTGACTTATTTGTTTGCATAAAAGCCACTATTTTGTCACGGAATACATCATAGGGTGTAGTTTTCCATCCGGGTTGCCAGTATAGCTCATCTAACGAGAGATATGGAATGTTAAGGATAGATGCCACTTGGCGACTGAGTGTGCTCTATTCAACCCAACGTTAAGCGCTTCGTGTTTGGTATCCGAAGTTATAGAGGCGCAATATAATCATAAAGCAGAAAATAGTAGCGTCACCTTTCCAGATCCTACACCAACAAAATGAGTTTTTAAATACAGTAATGAAAGAGCTATATGCTCATACCACTATTACCCAATACCCTTATCCTATAACTTCCTTGACCGTCTCCAAGCAGAGGAGGAATATCACGAAGCTGGGACGCTGCTACCCTTATGACCATGTTGCGTGGTCGTTGTACCAGTTGAAGTGAGGTACCGGTTACAGCCTCGGGTTACAGTAATCAATTTGAATTACATCAATTTACAATCACGACCTCAGAAACGTAAATGTACAAGTATCGTCGCAACAGAACGAGCACATACATGCAGAACATTGATCACAACCTGGAAAACCGAGTGAAAAATTGAAACACAAGCAGTAAAATAATTACATAGTATATACATACTCTAAGATCAACGCAACGCAATGAAACCATTAAAATTATCAATAATGAGCAGGAGTTTCGCGTACTGGTACATACGGGCTCGAATATGAAGACGGAGGAAGGGGATACATCGCCGGGTCAATGGTGCCCGTGTAATCGACATTGGAATATGGATACGTTGATACCGCGGGAAGAGGCACATGCGTACCGCTAGTACCAGTGTTCAAAACATACGGGCTGGGTGCATAGAGAGGAGGTTGATACGCGCTAGTATATGGACTAGGAGATTGCAATGTGTTGACATACGGGCTGTAGAGGTTTGCCGTGCCCGGCCAAGGTGAACCGGAAGTGGGTTCCCCTGAGACAAAGGGCAAAACATAAGATGACGATGAAGGTTCAGGTGAGAGGGAGTATGAGGGTTGCTGAGGAGACAAAGGAAGGTTCGGTGCGGATACGCTGTGTGGGCTGTATAAAGAGACGTGTCCACTGAGTGTCGCAGGTGAAGCATGGAGGTACGGCGAATTAGCTGTGTATGGGGACTGGATGCTGGGAAGAAGGGAATTTGCAGGCAAGGGTGTCGCGCGAGGAGAGTTTGATGGACTATTGTGTAGTCCCAGGGCAGTGAGCCTGGCTTTGAGGCTGAGAATGAGGTTGTCGTCGATGTCGCTTTCGTCCGAGTCGTTGTCATTGTCGTCATCCCGTTCCGGGTCATAGATATCGAACGGTGAAACCCCGGATCCCCCTGGAACATATCGATGAATTTCACCTCGGGAATTGGCTACAGGACCACTCCATGGCGATGCACGCTGGGACGTCTTGCGTGAAATCGATACCTTCTTCGAGTCATGTCTGTCAACTTGAGGAAGTCTAAATCGGGTCAGTTCTGTTGTCCTGATATTGATACGCCAATGGGAAGTCATTTACCCATGCCACGATGATTTCTTGTCGTCCATCAGAACGATTAATATCTCATCCTCGCCCGAATTCTTGTGTTTATCATGGTCACGTCCTGAGTTGGAACCGGATAAACTCTCCGTTGAGCTCGTCGGTGATTTTGAGGAATCCCGTTCGCGTTTCTCACTGGACGACGTTCGATGATGATCACCTCTTTGCCTGCGGTCAAGTTCGTGCTCTCCATGCCTGTGATGATGGGACTTCGAGTCAGAGTCACTAGAACAATCATTGTAAATGTCACATTTGGTTCATGTACACGGAACAGAACAGACACACTCACATATAGCTTTGTTTCAGACTCGTGTTAGACTGGACTGTTGAAAGGAATAATTTAGATGATCGATCGATTTAGATTGGGAACGTACACATACCATCATCGGTTTCTTCTTCCACGGCTGTGAGCACTTGCTTGAGAGGAGATTTGTCTGAATGAACTGTCAGATACGGCGATAAACACAGCATATTACCGATTAGGCGAACCTTTTGTTGGCTTGCTGCTGCTGCCCGCGGCTAGAGACGAACGCCGAGAATCTGGTTAAATGTGCCCAGGTTGGTATAAGAAGATGTATCGGATGATATAACAAACCTTGCCCAGAGGAGGAAGAACTGTGATAGTGTAAACATAAGTGAAACGTGGAAATAAATTAAGTTGTTGAATAACTCACGCATCCGGGTTGACAACGACTAATGGGACTAATGCAAAATGGTAAGGATATCGCAGAGTTGACTGAACGTGACCAAAATACTTACGTCGATCTCCTAGGTACGGCAGGGATACTGCGCTACCGTTGCTGTTGATTCTACCGTACGGAGGTCGTGGAGGTGCTAACGGATCTATTTAGTGACGATTAGTTCAATTTCATCCATTGCGGTGTATATTTGCGAACGGTACGTACCGTTCTCGTTTGAAGACGTGGTAGTTAATACCGCAGGCGCTGATTCAACTTGAATTACTGTAGGCCTCGTGGGTTCTACTGCCGCATTGACATTGTCGTCTACATTTGAGATGTCAGGAAGCGCTGAAGATGTACCAAACGTAGATGCTTTGGGTGTAGGAGGCTCTATATCAAAAGTGGACACCTTCGGTGTAGAAGGCTCTACAGAAATGAGGCCGCTGTACAATCGTGATCGTCAACACAAAAATCCCCAGAGGGTGTTATTTGATAGATTGACTGACGATAATCTTTTGACTTTCTTGCCGTATTCATCGAATGACTTGGCAAGGCTCTTGAATTCTCCGTCGAGAATATCAGTCCGTCGGCCGGTACCTAATTCACAACACCCATTCAGACCTGAACATCGATTGAGATGGATTGAGCTGAACCTTTCAACCGATGTGCTTTCTGCAAGAACCGCAACGTCAGATCAATGACTCCTGAGGATCTCAAACTAGCTACGCACTGGTGTTTTACCCTTCCAAGTCATGTAGTAATCTACGACCTTCCTTCCTGCTCGTATTCCGGGGTAGGCGAGAACGATTGGGCGTGATTCGAAATGTCGAGCGCCCCTTCTTTTGCTCGAGTCATGGGACAAGGAAGAAGCACGGTCATCCTCTCTGAACAGGTAAAATGAGCCAAAGAGAACGAGCTCGAGAACAAGAAGCTCACCGCAAAGTCTTCTCATAAACCCTCGTGGCTTCGGATCCGGTAATCACTTTGAACTTTGGTAGTCCGTCTTGGTCCAAATCCTTGGGCAGTCCGCCTTGTTTCGCGATCTGCTTGAGCAAGTCGGCGTTTATGTGCCTTGAGGAACGGACGCTTTGACGAGCGATGCGCTCGATGATTTCTTGTGACAATCTCGGAGCGTCGACAGAGTGAGAAGAATGGCGCCTAGACCTTCGTCTAGAAATCGAAGACGTCTCGGATTTGATATCAGGATCCCCACTAACTTCTCCGGCCTTTTCCTTGCTACTTTTTCGTCTCTGGACCGAAGAAGCCTGGACGTCTTGGACGTTGTGTTGAAAAGTCTGGTCCTCGCTTGTATACGACGGTGGTGAAGACGAAGACATAAATCAAGGACAATTAACTATGGGAAGAGCTTGAAACTGCAGTACTTTTCTAGTGCTTAAATATGACAGCCTCAGTCCTGTGTGTTGTCGGAAGCCGGAAGCGACGGAACAAACTGAAGAAAGAATAAAAGAACCGCTTCGAGACAAGTTGGGAAACGTGCTAACCTCGAGGTGAGTGAAAAACGGTTTCAGGATGGTCGGGGAAAGTGACAAAGGAAGAGCATAATCAAAATCTACGCCACATTTACTATTAGCACACTGTCTCCTCGGATTACGTCAAGTTGCTCCTCATATCGACCTCATACCGGCCGAGTCCGTTTCTCAATACTCAAAGCCATAGAAATCGATAGAATTAGGGAAAATCGTACAACCGACACGTCGATAAATGTTCACATCTGATTTCGATGCTCTTTGATTTATATCCTTGGAGTGAGACGCGTCTGAGCGCGTGTAAGACCAAAGGTTCAAACATAGGCCAGACATCGAGAAAAAAATACAAGTATTCAAGTAGAGTACTTCTGGATCCGAGTCTGATGGATGTAGAAAATCAATGGAAGAGCTAAATGAGGATAATAATCAATGTGGGCGTTGATAGATACAAGATCCGCTTCATAGGATCCACGACGGAAAGAACGAGGCTTAGGCGCTTGAGGGAAAAAGAAAGAAAAGACATAGGTTCGACAGTTCCAGCAAGTAACAGACCGTCTGAAATGAGGTCGAGCCAGTACAGATAATAGATCATGATAGATAATCGACACCGCATCGCTAGGAGTAGGGATGACCGAGGAGCAATAGGATATTTTATTCACGATACATACTTGCAGTACACTCGCATGTCGCTACTTCACAAAACAGAGAAATTGAACATCACGCAAAATTGCTTTTCTTCAGAAAGGACACTCACTAATCGACATCATCATCACCTCTCAAAAAGCGATCGCCGCAGCGTCCCATCATCCATCTGTCTTACGCCACTACATGAAGAAAACCCACTGGTATATTTCTGCCTCTGAAGAAGGCCGGGATGAGTAAGGAAGCGCAATACACCATCACCTTCATAGAAAGTATTGCGTTCTCCGTCCAGGTTTTCCCTACGGTCACGATGCAGAGGACGAATAATAAATACAGAACCCAGCTGGGTGTAGGAGTAGATGGACTGGATTCTAGAACATTTCTTTGAGGTTGAAGATCGCACCGAAGAGACGGAGTTACTTGGCGATGAACGACCAAAAGTTGCTATACACATCCAAATCTTCTCTACATCCAAAAGCAGATTTTCCGTACGAGTAGGTACCGATGCGGCATGTGAGCGGGTTCCGACTGCTCAAGAACAGATGCGCTTACCAGGTGCTTGCCAATTAACCCTCGCCCCAACTGAGTGGAACTTCAAGCAGGGCGACCCAAATTCCTGCCAGTGTCCAAAGTTGATTCGCCAGTCAATCCAGTCTTCATTCTTGACAAAGAGAGTGCCATTTGATGTATAATGTGGTACATCGATATACCTGAATTCGCAAAGGGACAAAGAGCCCTTGGTAGGGGTGTAAGCGTTACTACGGAACACGGAGTCAACAGCACCATTTACATAACCACGTGCTTTCCAATACACTTGATCAACGACGTCCACACTGTCCATGAAGATATCGATGGCGAACCATCTGTCAGTGTGCGGCTGATTCTACTATGAACTAGAGCGTCGTCTTCGCCGTCTGTATTGACAACCTCATGTGGAGAAAATCACTTCATTACAACTCAGGAATCTCTAGGAATCTCTTCATCATCCTCGATATAACACCACTCATAAGACTCTACTTGGAACATTTTGACTCCTCGTTATCACCCATTCCAATCTTGACAACACAAAATTGCATCTATCCATACAAAATTGTCACCGCGAAGACCCGGTCATGATACATACTGCTTTGGAACAGCGCCTTACGTTGTACAAAAACCAAGAAAACTCGAGCTCATCACACACTGGCAGTGTATCGGCTCTTACGCTGATTACAGGAGAAAATCACTGCCTTTTCATCAAAGTATGGTTGTCCATCTAGCATTCTGTTATGTCGAATCTCGTTCTTCTGCAAATGATTCGACTTTCAATCGAAACCAGCACTCTTCTAATTCAGACACCTCTACGTGAACTCCCAATTATACCATTCCTATCTATCTGTTCTCAACACTACACATTGTCATATACGGGTTGCTCCAACGAAACATCGTCGATGTATCTATCATGATGTTCTTGTTCCAAGAGAATATTGGTATCAGCATCTGGACCATTAAAGATTGACTTTTATGTGGAAGGAGGTCATTGGTCATTCAAAGCATATTTTTGAGGTTGGTGTTGAACTCACAGTACGGCCTAAGCAATTTTTGAAAGTAACTCATATGATTCAGGTATCACCAACTATCTCTAAATGCCGAAGGACTGAAGGAGTAAAATTCTATAGATGCACCTAATACATCAGAAGAGGATGGCATCACTACGTTTGTACCAAATTTCCTGCCGTTCCAACTAATAGATGTTCACATTTGCACCTGGTACCCCAAGTATAGTCTCAATTAGTGCTCCTGGAGTTTGGCTCCTGGTGAAGCGTATTGTTTGCCAGTGGCTCCTATATCCCCAGGTATTAGTTCCGCCATTAGCCGCAAGAGTAATCCAATTTTCATTTCCCCCATTACTCCAGTCTTGGCCACTTGCAGTGATACTGACATAGATATTTGAGGAGGTATTGTTGGTTACCTTGATATTGCTCATTCTGATACTGGAAGAGATAGGAAGGTTTATCAGTGGGTATGCTGCATTGTAGCAGATGCTTACTTGCAGATTGTCAATTGAAGATGAAATATGGTTTGGAATTTGTAACCTGTGATTGGATGTACTAGATCTTAAATGTGAGCAGTAGCACAGTGATTCAATCATGACCTGAACGGTGAAAGTACATACAGTGCAGACAAAACAAAGGTTGGTGATAGGAACAAGAGCCTCGAAATGCACTGGTAATCACAGTAAGAAAACAAGAAGTGGATGGGGAAGGCAGTCATACTTCAGCGTTTAAATAGCAGAACCATGAATATAGTAGGTTTGTGGGACTGAGGTGATATAAATTGTTACTCTGCTCTCAAAAAAGTCCTTGACAAACAACATGCTTGCAAGTGCTCCACAGGAAGGATGCATGTCTTACAATTCAACTTGGAGCCTTCCACTTACATCGAACTGAACGGACATTAAAAGGCGCCGATGGGCAGTAAGTTGAACATACTAATACTATTTTGAGGTGAGCACTTTGTGCGTTGCTCAAGGAAACTTGGTTATAATGGGAGCTCATACGAAGATTTACCTAGCTCCAATTGAAAGAATTATCTGGCCATTGGCTTTTTAGGCGTAAATTTTTTCAAAAATATAGACTCACTGGGTCTTGTGCAGAGATCTTAACTGACTTATCTGTTGAACGCGGCTATGCTGTTCACATGCCACTATTATGATCATGTGTTATAATATGTCATATGTAGTCATATCTAGTTATTTACTATATGCGGATTCCTCAGTACTTCCTTATGTAATACTGTCATACAGTTATGTATATAAACAGGCCATATCCTGTACTGGAATCCAACTCGCTTCTCTCTTACTTTTATTGCCTCACTGAGACACTAAGCTCTACTACCAGGTATGGTACTGGAGAGTGTTCCCACTACGCACTCCTTGCCTGCTCAACAGGTTATGGGCCCCGGATGAACGCTTTGCTGAGCTCTAAGCTCGCAGCGCTCTCTGGTCTACTGTTGTCATTGACGCATCTATTTGATTGCTGTCTCTGACACAGACCTTTACCTGGAACGTCGCCTCTGGTGCTGAAGTCAATATCGCACTTAACAGTGCTGATTATGACATCACCCAAGAGTGCTTGACACTGTAGATGACAGCTTGCTAGACATATGTCGCAGCTTGTCACTACTGGCAATAACATTCATGACATTTTGTTTCCATCTGTTGTCATTGAGCGTTTATGAATTGCATGCTGACATTTTCTGTTGATTTTATCCAGATCGCAATGTCCTCTGCACTGTTTACCGCTGTTACCACCACCCTCAAAGGTGATAACTACGACACCTGGGCCTCCGAAATGGAAGCCTTCCTTCAGGCTACAGGGCTTGAATCAGCAATTACGACTGACCAACCCAGTGAACCATCTCCACTTGTTGCTGCAAACGCCGCCAGTGTTGAAGCCTGGAAGAACTATGAGGTTGTTTTCAAAGCCTGGAAGGAGATCGACACCAAGGCTATTGGTAACATTCGCCTCCGTATCTCTCCCTCCATCCGCATCCTTGCCAAGGAATACAGCGACACAGCTAAGAAGCTTTGGAACTATCTAGCCAAGACTTACAATGTCAAGAGTCTGGGCGCAGTCTTTAATGACTTTGCTGCCGCTATGGCTATTAAAATTCCATACAAGCAAAATCCGCTGTCCTCTATGATGGAGATTGGCATGTACTTCACCCGTATGGATGAAGCTGGCATTGGTCTTGCTGACCACCTCGAAGCTTTGATTCTTTTATCTAAGCTCCCATCACGTTACTCTGTCGTTATCCAAACCATGTCTCAGCTTGAAACTGCAGAGCTCAAGAAATTGACCTTTGCTAAAGTTCGTATCGCAGTTATGAACGCTTTCAGCGGAGACACCATTGGCAACTCCCAACCGCAGAACGCGAACAAGTTTTCGAACGTTCATCGCAAGGGAAACGATCCCAAGTTCTCCCAACAGCAGCATGGTAACGGTAGTAACCAGCAGCAGAAGGGACAGAATGGGAACGATGACAACAAGAAGAAGCGTAAGCGTGGCAGTGGAAAGAACAAGAAGGCTAAGAAGAATGCAAACGCTGCCCAAGCTGATGCAGACTCTATGGACTTCAGTCCGATTGGCAGTACTGTTGACTTTGGTCCGGTACGTACTGATCTTACTCCTTCTGTTCAAGATGTGCGCAAGCACTCCATCCATCCTCCTTACAACCCTCCTCCTAATGCTACGTCCCTTCATCTTCATAAGAAGACAAGGATGGCCATCAAACGTGCCCGTGATATTGGCGTCCGTGCGACTGCCGAAGTCATTCGCACCCTTGAGCCAGCTGGGCATATTTCGGAGTTGGACAGTGATGATGAACTTGATCCTCCAACAAAGCGCACTCGTGCAATGTCTCCTGTGGATGATGTTGAGAATGGCAGTAAGGCTCCTACGCCGCCTCCTCCATCTCCTCCTATGGACTTTGAGGTCCCAGGAACTGCCTCTTTCGACCCTGATGAGTTGATGAACTTCGACTTGGATCGTGAAATTTTGGCAATCACTGGATTCATGGACACCATGGGGTCAGTACCCTCCTCTGATCTTGACCATATGGGATATACTAACACACCTTCATCGGTTGCAGTGGCGAAGACATGCAAGTCAGCCTTTGAGCCTGATCTCTTGTCCCGTTTGTATAATTACCGTATCGATGCCAAGTATATATCCAATGAACATTTTTGTGTACATGACGTTAACGAGCTTGCCTCGTTTTTGTGTGAAAGAGAAAGGAAGGAATCTAATGGGCACTCCAACCAACCAATCTAATACACAATATGCGAGTTCACTGCTATCAAATTTATTTAATAGCAAGGGGTAGCGTTGGCAAAGGTTCCGCAAAGCTTTGAGAGCTAAGTACGAAGCTTTGATCAATCAATTTGAATCTCGAAGGATTCGATATATTCCTTTGATCAAGGTAGATTCAGCACAATTTGTGCTTTGGTTTGTATTGATTTGGGTATATCAAGAATTGGGGTTTTGAATCAAAGTAAATTAAAACCGAAACACACAGACCCCTACAGAGGGCTAGAACTATGGGCTGGCACAACCACACAGCGTGATTTGCCCTTAAGACCAACGACTGATCCTAAGTTCGAAGAATACCCAACAACTGGATAGACTTCTCGCAGTCACAAGGAGCAGAACACGACGTTCCTATACTCACAAGTGCCGGGCCCGAATGGCTGCTAGCGAAGAGGTTTCAGTCTGGCGGGAGTGTGTCTTTCCTTTTTACGGATTAGCACTGCAACGTCGTCCCAAAATCACTTGTATTCCAGATACATCGGATCGCTATTTATACATACAGAATATAGAGTCGCATAGTACAATTAATTTAATACAATAAACGTTCGGAACCGCAAGGAAACTTCTACACTCAGTCAGATACCATTTAATTTGAATCTACATGTCCTTATTTGGTCCATATTGGTTCCAAGATTCTAGTATACCTCCAAACATAGGTAGGTACTTCAATATTCATTTAATTTAATTGTTTTTAGAGAATGACTCGAATGGTGTTCAACTGTCATTGCGGTTCAACACTTACTTCGATCGTTTGTCATCTCGTCCGGAGGCAAATCAGCTCTCCTCGATTCTAATCCTATCAATCTGATTCATCTGGATTAAACTAATTGCTTCTCTCTTTCAATAGACACCCATTGTGCCTATACTCAATCAAGGGAGTTACACATAGTATTCATTTAATTGCATTCTTCAATATTTTCTACGTCAGGACTCTTTGACATTCATTTGATATGTCTTCGGAGCCTCGCAGTACTTCGATCGTTCTTCTAGTCATTTTCCTCAACCATGCAACTTGATTGGTCTATTAGACTAAATCGCAGTCCTTTAGATTAATGCATGATCTTGTTCTAGAAGGAGTATTTGATAATTCCTGAGTTCTAGAAAGTCATTTCGAGTCAATCCTCGGTTCATGGTCACTTGAGTAAGTTCTTCCAAACTCCTGCCAGTGTAAGGTCCAATAAGAATACCCTTGGTATGTCATACG